ATATTCCTGTGACTTTCTGTGTTTGTCACATAAGGAATTCATAAGTACATAAATAATGAAGAAATGCTTCATTGTTGGATCTCAGGAGCTCACAGATTGTTAACTACATGCATCAGTCACTACTGCTCAAATGTCCATAGTTCTTTGGTCAAGCAATATTTAAATTATGTTCATCCTCCTGCCTTATTTTGAAGAACAGGTTGTCTCAAATAATCTTTCCCTTCCTTGTTTAGTTTTTCAACACTACTTAAAATTATCACTTGACATTTATCAAACATCTGTTCTATATTGGGAGCTGGGGAAACCCAGACTAATAAGACATGGTCCTTACACTCAAAATGTGATCGTCTGGCAGAGAAAAAAACTTAGTGACAGATGATTGCATTTCATGATAGCGAGTACTAGACTAGAGAGAAACAGGTTGTATTTAGCTCACTCATTCAGTCATTGCTGAGTGGTTGCCTGCTGTGGGGCAAGCCCTGCTCCAGTCCATGGAACACAATGGTTAACAAGCAAGATAAGACACCTGCATTTATGAAGATTGCTTGTAGTTGGGGGGCAGGGAGAAGAGAGGGCATCTAACAGAAAATAGATAAACTCGACAATTTCAGAAGAACAAAGCAGGGCAAAGAGTTTGAGTTGCCAAACAGACATTCAACCAGAGGAATTAAGCAAATGGTTGAAAATTAGTGGAGTCAAGGGGCAGGACAGGGCTTGAGATTCTTGAGATTCTGTTGCATCTGAAAGATTGCATTCCAGCACTGCTCACTCTTCTTTCTGAGCCTTCTCTGGTCTTGTAGAGGCTGGAAATCTAAATACCACTGTCTCCTCTCCTTGGTTTCAGGACCACCCCAACCAGTCCAGAAAGTCAGATTTCAAATAACCAAGATAATACCAATTCTGAGCACTTTCTATACTTTGTCCTCATCAGTACTATGACTGAAGACAGAAGACTCAGTGTGATTAGAACCTGGATACTAGTTACTTCTCAGTCCCCAGCCCAAGGCTTAAATCACTCACGTTTCCAAAGGTTAAAATCTCAACTCTGCAAACTACTAGTTTATGTCTCGTGTTTCTTGGGTATGAAGAGAAGGATGAAAAGGATGAAGACATTAATTTGATATTTTTAAAATTTCTCTCTCTTCCTCAGACAGGCTCTTTCATCTTTTTTTTTGTTTTTTTTTGGTAACTCGTATCATTAAGATATTTCCCTCCACCACCACCCACTGTATCTGCTTGTCCCTTTCATGCTCCCCTCCCTCTTAACCTCAGGGCCTCAAGATGTTTATTGGTGTCCACAGGTTTTTGAAAATGATATCATCAAATGGTCTGCTCTATAAAGCTCCAGTATTTGTTTTTATCATTTTGACTTCCTTTACTGAAGGTAATACTCTCAAATTCCCTCCATTTTGTTGAAAATGGCTTCATGTCATCCTTTCTTAAGGCTATATCATACTTCATTGGGTGTGTATACCATATCTTCTTGATTTAATCATCCATCAATGGACACTTAGCTTGCTTCCTTGTCCTAGCCATTGTAAACAATTCTGCTATGAACATTGTGGGATGTATGGAGTTTTTATTGAGGATTTCATGGTCTGTGGATAGATGCCCAAGAATGGGATTGCTGGGTCATATGGTATCTCCATTTTAGTTTTATTAGGTAAATCCCAGATTGCTTTTCATAATGGTTGCTCCAGTTCACATTCTACCAGCAGTGTAATAGGGTTCCTTTTTCTCCAGATCCTCTCCAACACATTGGGGGTAAGACATGAATTTTAAATTACCTGGAAAAAAGGAGGAAATTCTGGGTTTATTAAAAAAATATTAACTCTGCTCCATCTCAAAATGTTGCTGTTACCTCGTATGATGTGATGGCAATGGTTTAGTCTCTCCCTTCACTCTTTGCACAGCTGGAGATGTTCTCCTAGTGTGAAATAGACGAAGGATATCTCTGGAGACATTTGGCTCCCGCCAACCTAAAGACATTGCCTAACTCCCCTGTTCCTTCCAGCATCTCTTGTTCCATGTGATATGTTATTTGACCTCTGGGATCTTGGAAGACTGTACATTTTTTTTAATTGTGGGAAAAATCTTCCCCCATAGTTTTGAGAAAAGTTTTAGAAATAATTTTGAAGGAGAGGAGGTGAAGAAACAAACATGAACAGAAAAGAAATTGAAAGCGTAGAAGCTGGAATATGAAGGTGCTGGAATATGACAAAGACATGTTTGTTTAATGTTGTACATCTGGTTGAAAAATAAAGACACTGGAAACAGATTATAAGAACAAAACATTGATGACTAGAAAGGAAAGGGGGGTGGGGTGGGTGGGTAAAATGGGTAAAAAGAGTCAATTATGTGATGATGGACAGAAATTAGACTTCTGGTGGCCAGCAAAATGGACTAAACGTAGATATTGATTTGTAAGGATAAATACCTGAAACCCGTATGTTGTAAACCAATGTTACTTCAATTTAGAAAATGAAAAGAGAACAATAAACTTAGGTAAAATAAAGTAAAATAAAATAATGATGTTGGTCCATTAGCCAAGAGTATTATTTCTACCACACCACTTTATTTTTATTTATTTATTTTTTAAGATTTATTTATACATGCAAGAGCTGGGGTACAGGCCAGAGACACAGGGGGTGAGAGGATTCACCAGAGACAGAATGGGGAACAGGAAAGGCAGATTGACTGAAATACACTGCTGAGGGGAGCAGCAGGTGAGTCAGTAGAAGTCTGCTGTGCCATGTAGGTTGCTCCCTGGCCAGCTGGGGATCAAACTCATGCTGCAGAGGCTGTGGATTGCTTCATAGTGCAGTGTTTAACCCCTTGCACCACCAGGGAGGCCCTACCACCAGGAGGCCCTACACAATTTTGTATAGTATCTACATAAAGAAAAGGCAAGTCAAAAGTGGTTGAAAGAATATTCTAGAATGTAAATAAGATAAAGAGAAAAAGAGGAATGGATACAGTAAGATTGACTATAAGGAACATAGCAATATGTCTCCTGTCTTCTATGACTTATATATATAACTGTGTCATATTGGGGGTAAAATCTGTAGAGCTAATCTGTGCTTTAAGTTCCAGGTTTTTTCATGAAATGTCAATATCTGCAAGTCAGTCATCAAACATTTCATAGTTCACCATGCTCTCTATGGCACTAGATTTCCTTTGCAGATATATTAAGTGAAGCTAACACCAGAATTTGGTCCCACATGAAGCTTCGTGAAGAGTTGTGGAAGAGAAGGTAGAAAATTAAGCTCAGATTTCACACAGTTGTGTTTCATTTTTCTGAAGACCTGCTTATCTGTGACATCAAGGTCTGTTTAATGCACAGACTAAGTAAAAGGTCACTTGGGTGCTAAAACTCTACTTGGCCTAGGATCACTCTCCTACTAACCTGCCCAATACCCTAAGCTGGTTTGTAGTATTTCTTTGGGTTACAATGTGAAATCTGTCCAGTGCAGATCCTCAGTTGGCCTTTGGGAAATGAAGTGAAAACTGATGCATTTGATGTGTCAGTGAGAAGTGAGGGAATATGAACGAGAAGGGTCTGTGGGGTCACTGGAGCATCTTGGAGCTGTACTGCCTTTGTTGTCTTTTGTTGTCATGGTAACCCTTTTGCAATAGGTACCAACATCTCCATTTTACAGACAAGGAAAGAAAGTTTGCACAGATAGTAAACAGAAGATCCAAGATTGAATTGAGGCCGGGCTTTCATCAGTGCCTTTCGGCAGCATTCACTGAGGTGGAAATTGAATTTCACTCATCTTTCAGAAGCTGAGTGATCAAACCTCACAAGCTCTGGACTACTCCAAAGTAGAATTTCTTGGGCTGCAAAGATTTAGCTGGGGGTTGAGAGTGTCAGGGATTCTGAAAGGGAAGAAAGTATGTCCAAAGCTCAGAGAATCATCTCCATGATGCAGAAAATCTTGTTTATCTAACTTTGATACACAGTAATCACACTTTATCACATGGTCCACATTTTATGCACAATAATCGCATTTGGTATTTTTTAGGAAGTTGTTCTAGGGAATGTTTTTGCTTACCACCACCTTTTACTTCCTTACTCATGGTGTGGTGTCTTCTTTCTTTATATTTTGGTAGTACATTGATTAAAGCAGCAAACTAGCTCTCAGTTTCGTGTGGTTTATGAATATTCCTTAATTTCCCCAGGTATATAGATTTTCTCTTATAATATATTGTAAGAACTTCAAAGAGCAGACGATGCATCCAGATCCTACTGTGTTCCCAACACCATGTTGAATGAATGCTTCAAAGTATAATGTGCCAACAAGAAGGTATGAACTTCAGACTTAGAATCCAGGTAGCTCTTTCATTTACAGAACATCAGAATAAGTGTTTTACTTGTCTGTAAAATAAGCATCAGAATCTTACCTTGCCGAGTATCCATGGAAAGTGGGGGTAAGAACGAATGTATGTAACATGTCTGTCTTAGGTTACATAAGCAATAAAAGGCTTCTACTGAGAATTCCATATCTCCTCTTACGATGAAAGCTCTGATATTAAAATTGAGATTCTTGGAGACTCAGTTTTACTCAGAGGTCAGTTTATTTACTGACCATATGGAATGCAAATTCTGTACTTAAAAATCTTGTTCAACCTGATGAAAAGAAGGGTGGAGATCCAGAACACTTCTCCAAAGAAGACATCCAGATGGCTAAGAGGCACACAAAGAGATCTTCACCATCTCTTAGTACTAGAGAAATGCAAATCAAAGCAAAAATGAGATAATACCCTACACCTGTGAGAATGACTGTTGGTCAAAAGAAAAGGAACAAGTATTGGAGAGGATGTGGAAAGAAGGGAACGCTTGTATTGTTGGTAGGAATATAAATTGGTGCAGTCATTATGGAGAGCTGATGGAGATTCCTCAAAACTTAAAAATAGAAATTCTATTCCATCTAGTTGCTCCACTTCTGGGTACTTAGCTGAAAAATACAAAAACACTAATTCCAAGAAATATATGCACACTCATATTTATTGTAACATCATTTACAATAGCCAAAAGCAGATGAATGCATCAAGATGTGGTATATACACACTGAAACACTGCTTATACGCTTATCCACTTATTATATTTCTGCTTATATTAGAAAATTTTTATGTCAATGAACTTGCAGATAGGAGGCCAATGAGTTAAGAAAAGGACTCACAAAATCCATAAAATGGAAAAAATATTTCCAATATAGGTATATATGAAATTTATTATGTAGTTTTCTACCTACTTGGTCATTTGACCTGTTCCATTTATTAACTTCCTGAGACCAAGTGGCAAATATTCATAAAACATCAGTTATAATATAGCATCTCTAAAGACTAGATTTTAAAATAAATAAAATAGGGACTCTATTGGTTTACTGAAATAAAAAAATAATAGATTCCTAAAGGCAAATTTTGAAGTTCTCTGGACTATAGCTATATTATTAATATTTATAATGGATATGCTATCAAATATATTGACATGAAATGATATAACTACTGTCAGAAAACCCATCAAAATGTTACACATTAAAAGTATCATACTTTTCAACATGGTAACTTAAACTCTTACTAAAACATCAGCTTTACAAAGTATCAGCCTTGCAAAAGAGTAAATATATGGACTTCCACAGTCTAGGTTAGAAAAAAGTGTTTAAGGTTTTGATAAAAAAAATAAATTATACCCAGGAACTTAATCAATCTTATAAAAGGAAACTGACTTGCTCAGCATCAGAAAGAAAAATGAAATAACAGCGACCTGCAGAGATTAGGAGTCTGTGACTAGGAAGTGGGCTCAGCCAAGTGCCTCCTTGCACATAATCACTGCTTTTGCCCTGCCCTCACGCCCCCTCTCCACCACATGAAGAACCATGTGTGTTTGCAATAGTTTCTAAAGATATGACATGGAGGCTATAAAATAAATGTCTTTTTAAAAAAGAAACACAGGCTTAAGTAGAAACAGGGTATTTAGGGCTTCAAGGCTATTCTTGTGCGAGATGCTTCCACTTCACTGAGGGGTGAAGTTCTTCATCTAGCTTCTGCTCCTTGGAGAGCTCCAGGAACACCTGGTTGGGGGTGGGGAGTAAGAAACAAAGATAGTGGTGTCAACCCATCTCCTGCAGCTCCACGTGTGTGCAAAGTAGAGGAACATACTATATTCATGGATAGTCCATGGATATTCCATGCAAGATGTAACACCACCGAAACTGACCCACCTCTTCCAGCGTGGACTGCGAGAGGCTGTACTCCTCCAGGTCGAAGCTCTGCTTCACTGCATAAGGGAGGACACATGTTAGGGGCTCATATATCCAACTGGTCTTATAAGTCAGCATAGAATTCAAAATTTTTTAAAAAATCACAAATAAATAGGTTAACATAATAATCACTCATGGTTTAAGTGCAGCATACAGATATAAATAAATCCATGTGCCCACTCAGGGGTGGGGAAAAGTGCTTGCTCTGACTTGTATGCCCTACAGTTTTTGAGATTTCTGTGCAGGGGAGGAAATGGTGCTGAGGAGGCTTCCTTCCCTCCCATGTGTTTCAGCACAGTCAGCACAGGGAGCAGTGGGAGGAAGAGACATTTTGCAAGAGTCTCATCAGAAGATGACACAGAAAGATGTCTGGAGTTTTCATGGAGCAGACAGCCTCCTGGGCCATTTTCCAGAAGTCACTGCATCTTGCCCCTAATTGGGTTGGAAATCTTTATGGTGGATCAAATCGATCGGGAAGGGCAGTTTGAACTCTGAGGGGAGCCTAGAAGACAGGGGACAGGCCACTGGGGGTACCAAGCCGTCACTGGCCACAGGAGTGTTGTGAAGGAGCACACGGCCAGAACGCTGGGCATTCAGCTCAGAGACTGGAAAAAGGTGGCATCCCTGGGATGGCAGATGCTATCGACAGGAATAAGAGTCTTCTAGAACCTGAAGACTTGAATATCTTCCTTAGGGCAGGAGACAAGTGAATAAAGATCACTGGGCATGTCGGGAAGGGGTTCTGGGTAGCGCAGTTCAGAGAGGCAGAGTTCACTGGTGAGACAGCATGGAAAACACCAGCCTGATGACGATGGGTGGAGTGTGGTCAGCTTCTAAGTGCTGAAGAGTGTGGTGATGAGCTGATAAGAGGTCAGTTTCCTAATATGCCACCCCAGACAATAAAACCTTATCCATTCATGTGGATGGATGCCAGTTCATTCAAAATTTTATTTTAAATATGTGTGCATCAATCTTCCAAAAAGATAAAAGTATTCTCCCTAAATGCATATGTAACTGAGTTCTGATTCACCTTGTATCAAGATTTCTTAAAAAACACACAGAAAACCTCAAGACAACAACAGGAAACATCATTCCATTAACTCTCTCTCCCCACTCCCCTGCCTGCATATCTCCTTGATTTCTGGCTCCTAAAATTTAATTTGAGACTCTGGCTTTTAAATTGAACACATAGTTCACAGTCCATTCTTGTCATGCCAGAGGGATATTTTAGGATCAGGGAGTAGCTTCTTTCAAGTGTCTTATTTCAAAGTGGAGAGCTCTTACCTGTCTCCAACTTGAAGAAAGCTTGGGCCAAAGGTTTAACGCCTTCCATCGGCAACTTATAGGCCATGAGACATGAGTATCTGGTGGGAAGGAGGGGTAGGTAGTGTCAGCAGGTAGTTAGTCCCCTTGGATGGATTCTCTCTGTTCACATCCTTGACGGGAGACATGACCCAAGGAGAGATGGGGTGAACACACAAGAAGGGGTAGGGTCCTTTATCCTGTGGCAGAGGTAACTTGAACCGGAAGCCATCTTCCCGGTCCTTGTCAATCAGAGTTGGCTTGGTATAGGTGAAAAGTCTAAGATAATCCATAAGAAAGAGGCAGTTCACAAGAACTGGGGGAGGGGAGAGAGACTGCCACTTGAGCATCTTTGACTGTAGGGATGGAAATGAGTTGGTGCAATGCAGATGAAATGTCAAGATTTGTCCATGTCACCTTCCACCTGATTTTCTCCTTAGAGTGCTTACTCCTCACTCCATCTGTAAGCCATCCACTGACACCATGCATGGCTTTTCACTACATTATTTTTTATTGAGATAATGTTGGCTTATAATCTCATACATGATTTAGAGGTACAGGATCACATCTTCTCAGATGCATGTTATCACATGAAGCCCACCACCAAAGCACCCATAATCTTCCACCACAATCCAATGGGCCCTCTTCCTTCATTCCCCAGTTCCCACCCTCTCCCTTCTGGTTCCCTCAATTCTACAGTCAGATTTCTAGGACTTGTTTTGGCTTTGTTTGGTCTGTTCCTTTGTTTTGTTTCTCCATATTCGACATATGAGTGAAACGATCTGGTGTTTGTCTTTCTCCTTCTGACCTATTTCACTTGGCATCATGTTGCCTCCATGTTGTAGCAAGTGATGTTTCTCAAAGTTTCCCATGTAGGTAGAAATCTAGATCTATTCTCTGGAGAAGTCATTCCCCTCCACCTTCTCCCGTCCCTCTCAAACTGCTTTCCTAATACGGGATACTATAATCGAGTATCTGATTAGGAGACTAGAAAGCTCCAGGAATTCAGCACCAAACAATGTTCAGCAACAACAATTTTCTAAAAATAATTTGTTTCAGACATGTTTGTCTTTTCTTCATTAGAAAATCAGGAAGATTTAGATTTAATAAAACCCCATTTCATATATTTATGAGATAATCACTCTCATCTATTTTATTCAATCTCTGCACCTTTATGAAATATGTCTAGTCACTCCTGGGCTTAATGTTGAGCTACACGCTGCTTTTATATTTGTACTCCATTGTAGAAATACATTTTCTGACTTGGTCATTATGACATTTTCCTTCACTATCTGTTTTCTCCCCTAACTCCTAAATTATGTCTTCTGCAGTAAATTCTGGTTTCTACAAATGACCCTAAAGTTAATCTTTGATTTTTTTTATTGTATTACTTTCTTTTTCTTTTTAAAAAGATTTATTTATTTATGCATACAAGAACTGGGGTGTAAGCCAGAGGTGTGGGTGGTGAGAGAATTCACAAGAGAGAATGAGGAGCAGAACAGGCAGATCTACTGAACACACCACAGAGGGGAGCAGCAGGCGAGGCAGGAGAGATCTGCTATGCCATGTGGGTAGCTCCCTGGCTGGCCAGGGATGGAACTCGTGCTACAGTGGCTGGTGATATCTTGATAGCGCTGTCTTTAACCCCCTGCCCCCAGGGAGGCTCCCCTATTGTATGACTTTTATGAGGATTGTTCCCTTGCTAGATTTTGTATAAATTGGGAGTATGAATATGCTTTGAATAAAATAATCAGCTTTCCATTCTAGTTTTGCCACTTGTTAACTCTGTCATGTGGTCAAGCATGTCCATAAACTCCCTAGTAAAAACCATCAATTCCATTTATTATGTTCCTTGGGGCTCTCTCATGGGGCTTTTATATCATCTTGTTTTTCAAGACTGATGGTATCTTTGTGGAAAGTCTCAGTGAGGATTACATAAGCTAACATAAGACCCAGATTGCCTACACACAGTAGGACCATACCACACAACCATCCCTTTGATATTAGTGGTCCCTTCTCTAGTTTACTTCCTGCAGTAAACAGTAAATCATGTCTTTCTTTTAGCTTTCCTTTTGGGCTACATGTGGGCTAGAATGACTCTAAATCAAAGAAACAGACAGGAAAAAGGCACCAGGTCAAAACCAATACCCATCTTTACCTTTCCTGCTGAACAGCCTGGGGGAAAAGTCTTAGAATTTCAGCATGGAGGGTCTTCCCGTGCTCGGGGGTCTTCACCTTCATCTCCAGCAGATAATCCTTGCCAAATTTGCTTTTCAGGTATTGGATGGAACCAATGCAGCTGAAGATAGGAGGAGAATAAGGTCATAACAGAAAGAACAAAAGACAAAGAACAGAATGTTTAAGACTCTTGATTTGCTGCTGGTTTTGAACTGCCACCTGAACTGGTGACAGTTCAGGCTTCACAGTGCTCTCTCTGTCCACAAACTCTTCCAACTGTGTAGGGTAGCTTGAGGGGTTGGAAATGGGGTCAGGTGTGTGGGAAGCGGCACCCACCTCAGCCTTCCAGACACCATGATGGCCACACGGTCACACACAGCCTCAGCCTCTGCCATGTTATGTGTGGTCAGGAGGACGCCCCTCTCCGTGTTCTTAAGGGTGGCACAGATGGCCTGCCTAAGTCAGCAAGAGGACATTTGCAATTCAGGAAGTCCTCCAATCGGTAGTAGTCATGGAAAGGGACTTTTAACCAGCATGACTATGAACAGTGAAGAGAGATTAAGCAAGGGGGGGATTCTTAAATGGGCAAGTGGGACCCCTTAGGGTCAAACCAGGTGAAATCTGTTAAGCTGGAAGTGGACATGGTAGAAGGGCATTTGCAGAGCACGGTACTGAATAGAGGTTGTGCTGAAATGGGAGTGCTGAGCAAAGAGGGTTTATAAAAAAAATTATGCAAAGGGAACTCAATGATAAAGAATTCAACAGTTATCATAACCTAGTAGGAAGAAAATAGCAATAATACAACAAATATTCATGATATCATCCAAAACCCTGTCTCCTTCCCACACCCAGTGCCCCACCCCCACCCAACACACCTTCACAGGCCCTAGTGAGAACTACGATTCTCAAGTGAGGTATCAGACACTGGGACCGTGGGACAAAAATGCACTATAGCACCCCAGAGTGAGTCATTGCTCACTCTATTTGTATGTTTGTCTAATGCTTATTTTTCTCTCAATGAGAAGGAAATAATATCAGAGAATGATTCCACAAAGTATTGGTTTTACCAATGATATGGAGAGGCCCTGCCCCTGCCGCCATTAAGTAATAGTTTAGGGACAGTTTTTACAGGAGTGAAACAATTCATAGATTTCCTACAAGACATCCATCCTCGCCCTGATGGGGTGGTGCCCTCACCACACTTGCTGCTGCCCCTTGGGGTCCATCCCCATGGATGGCTCGTCCAGAAGCACCACTGATGGGTTTCCCAGGATGCTCAGTGCAAAGCACAGCTGGAATGAGAGGAACAGTGTCTGGAACAGTCTGGATCTGTGGGTGTGCAGAGGAACCTAGGGTCCCACACTACCTTTCTCTTTATCCCCTCGGATAAGTTCTTCACAGGAAGCTTCAGCTCCTCCTGCATCTTGAACACCTCCACCAACCTGAAAGTAGTAACAACCATTACAGGCTTCTTGGTGACATGGAAAGCTGATGGGGGGTGGGCCACGCGGGACAAGGATGGGGGGCAGGCCTCAGAAGTGCCATTATGAAATCTATGCCAGAAGATCTTAATACTGGCTGGTATGATCCCCTGAAATGACAGGTCTTCCTTTTCAAAGGCTATAAGCACATTTCCGGATAACCAGATAGCTATCCTATGGTAAATGGTATGCACTGAAAAATAAATTTCAGTATTTTTGAAAAAGGATTATTTCTCCTGCCCCCTCTTTTTTTTTTTTTTTTTTTTTTTTAAGACTAGACACCTTGAAATCAGGCAACCAGTTTCTAGTTGTAGCACTACTCACCGTGGTCTGGTCCATGTTCAGCATCCCTGTCTGAGTTTACCCAGAAGGGGCCACTCCCCATCTGCTTCCACCCCTGGGGATAGAACATGTGTGGCTCCCACCTACCTGGCGATGGCCACAGTGGTGTCTGCCTTCCTTAGCCCTTTCACAGAGGCGAACACCTCCAGGTGCTCCCTGACCGTCAGGTTGGGCCACAGCGTGTTTTCCTGAGGGCAGTACCCCAGGAACCCCAGGGGCTCCGTGCCACTGCAGCCTTTAAGCAACACCTACAGAAAAGTGCTCTGTTCACTCCCAGAGCTACACTCTTCTCCCTGCCCCCACTTCTGTAGTGACAGCTTCCTCCTTTCAACCCTAGAAAAACTAGAGAAACTGTCACCATTAGGCATTGGAGAAGGGTCATCAGAGAGTGAGTACATGAAAGCAACTCAATCTGAGCTAAAAATCACATGTCTCTCAAATGTGGTGTCTTGCCATCATGACCAAGAGTTTATATCCAATGTTTAATTTTCCCATGTACTAACACAATCATTTGTGAATGTGTTATTCTGTTGTATTAATCACATCAACCTCTATCAATCACATCAATCTAATGATTTAATGGCATGTTGCTGTTTACAAAGTTTTAATATCTTAGACATTTATTCTGAGCACCACTGGATTATGTTATTTTCCACAGAATTCACCTACCTGTCCAGCAGTCGGTTGGGTGTCTCCAGTTATCAGCTTAATGGAGGTACTTTTACCAGCTCCATTGTGTCCCAGTAATCCTAACACCTCACCTGGAAGAAATGGTTACACTTAATAGTAATTGATTTTAATAGTAAAATTAAAAATAAGACAGTCTGAAGTATCACTCTGTGACAAATGTTGTGCTCTGTGATTTATAGACATATTTAATTGTCATGAAAATCCTTCGCACATATTTGGGGACAGAAGCTCTCAGGCCTGAGGTTGGTTGCCCAAGGCCACACTGATGGGAAGTGGCAAGGGACAGCTGGGAAGCCAACTGTGCCAACAACCTCCTGGGATTTACACAGTGACTGTAGTGTCAGTGTGAGATCACCCAACCTTGACTGATCAAGCCTTTAGAATGTGCTGGACACATCCTAGTTAGTTCTCTTGTTAAAAAAATAATGGCCATCAGGAAACCCATTGCATTCACAAAGTAGAAATATCATGGTTTTAACGGTTTATTTTAATAGAACGCTTAATGGTTTCTGTGTAGATGTGATGATGCCCCATCCAGAAGGCGGGTTCATTCATTGCATTTGGAAATGAGACACATAAAAGGAGCTGTCAAGGGCCTCCCCTGGTGGCACAGGCAGTTGAGCACAGCTCTGTGAAGCTGTCTGAAGCCTCTGCAGCTCAGTTTGATCCTGGTTGGCCAGCGAGATACCCACATGGTGCGGCAGACCTCTCCTGTCTCACCCGCTGCTCCCCTCAGCAGTGTATTTCAGTCAGCCTGCCTGGTCTTTTCCCCACTCTGTCTCTGGTGAATCCTCTCACCCTCCTGCACATCTGGCCTGTACCACGGTTCTTGTATGCATGAGTATATAAATAAATCTTTAAAAAATTTATAAAAAATAAGGAGCTTTCAAGGGCACCATATGATGGACACACATGAGAGCCAAGAGGGGGGCATTGCTACTCCTGAATGGCGCCCTGAATCAAGTGCAAGGACCACCATGTCCAACCTTTTCTAACACAGAAAGAGACATTTCTTGTGGCTATTATCTTCTTCTTGAAAAGGCAGCACTTCCTCCTCCTTCTGTACTCCTTTCGCAGACAGCTGGCAATGATGACGGGTTTCTGGAAATGGCAAGTAGGTCATGTCAGAACTTCATTGTTTCATTAACTGGGAAAGAGCTCTGCCCTCCCTTGGGGTTGGCCCTTGCTGCACTTCTCCTCATGAGCAAAGACCTTCTCCAGGTGACACACGGATTGACCATTGCCTCATCCTGGTACTTTTGGAAGGAAGAGCCTGCCCTTTCCTCTCCTACAAAAGCAGTTACTGAGAGCCTGTTGTTTTATGCAGCCCGCCTGACCCCCAGAACAGGAGCAGAGTCCTGGAGAAGCACTGACTGCCCTCCAAGGACAAAGCACAGCAGTCTGTGGAACTTGACCCTGAACGTGGTATCATGGGCTTGCCCCAAGCTGCAGCGATGGACATCCCTTTGCTCAGTTTCTAAAAATTCACAAGCTCTTTCTGGCTTTTGCCATTTTTATTGCACCTTCTCTTTTATTTTCTAAGAAAGAGGGTTAACATGACTTTTAGCCTGCTCATTTGGTTGCAAAAATGGTGACTAACTACTAAAATAAAGTCATGTTCCTCTTCATTTGTGGATTCAAGAAGCCTGGAGTCATTTAAGAATTAGAACCACAGACCCACCCTTTAACCATTTGTGTTATTTGATGAAATAACCACTTTATGCTTCACCTCATCAGAGTTTATGGAACTCAAGGCACTTGCTGTTCTCTCTCTTTCCATCTGGACATCTTCATCCTCTCCTTCTGGGTCTTCTGGATTTTGACACACACCATTGTTTCTTGGAGAAATTCTAGAGTCAAAACCAACCATTAATAATTTTGATTTTAGTTTTTCATCCTTGTGCCATGATATTGCATTCCTGAAATCGTACCCTTGAGTAGGTGGGTAAGTGCTAAATCCTCAGTGCAGCCCCCTTCTCCCTTTACAACCTTCTTGCCTCTGTCAACGGTACAACTGTATTTAGTGCCATTTGCTGCCTACATCTCTTTACTCTCCTTATCTAGTCAATCATCATTTGTCAGTATCAATGGACATCAGGAAATTCATCACAGTCACAAAGTAGAAATGTCGTAGTTTTAATGGTTCATTTTAATAGAACGCTGAATGGTTTCCATACAGTGGTGACCATGCCCCTTGTAAAACTTTGATTAGTATTTTCCATTGAGTATATACCCCATCATTTCTTTATCCATTCATCTACTGATGGACACTTAGGTTGGCTCCATGATTTGGCAGTTGTGGACAGTACTGATATGAAAGGAGTATGTAAGTTTTTCGTATTAGAACTTTTATATTTTTGGAATACCTAGCAGAGTATTGCTGGATGATATGGAATTTCCATTTTTATTTTCTTAAGAAATATCCATAGAGCTTCCACTAGCTTGCATTCCCATCAGCTGTGGGCAAGAGTTCTTTTTTTCCACAGCCCAACAAACATTTGTTGTTCTCATTCTTTATCATATGGGTCATTATCACAGGGATGAGGTGATATTGCAATATGGTTTTGATTTGCATTTCCTTTATACCAAGCGATGTTGAACATTTTTTTCATGTGTCTGTAGGTCATTTGAATGTTTTCTTCAGAAAAAAAAAATCTTTTTAGTTTTTTTGTCCATGTTTTGATTGGGTGGTTTTTTTTTTAATTGTATAAGTATTTTGTATATTTTGGAAATTAGCCCCTTATCAGTTGTGTGATGAGCAAATATTTTTCCCCATTCTGTAGGTTGCCTTTTTGTTTTTGTGATTTTAGTCTTTTGACGTACAAAAGCATTTTAGTTTGGTGTAGTCCCAGTTGTTTCTTTTGTTTTTTTTTTCCTGTGCCATTGGAATTGTGTCCCCAAATACATCTTTGTGGTGGGTGTCCTTCAGTGTATACCCTATATTTAAAAAAAAATTATGGCTCCTGTCCTTATACCCAGATCTTCAATCCATTTTGAAATCATTTTTGTGTGTGTAGTTAAGCATGGATCTAGTTTCATATTTTTTCCAACACTATTTGTTAATCTTACCTTTTTCCTGTATAATTGTGGCTCTTAGTCAAGGATTAACTATTCATATTTATATAGGTTTCTCTTCAAATTTCTATTCTATTCCATTGGTATTAGTTTCTGGTTTTGTTCCAATGCCATACTGTTTTGACTAATGTTGCTGTGTCGTATAGTTTAAAGCCAGAGAGTTCAATACCTCCATTTTTTTCTTTTCTTTCAGAACTGCTTTCATTATTCAGAGACTTTTGTGTCACCACACAAATTTTATAATTGTTCAAGTTCCTTCAAAGAAGTCATTTGAATTTTGATAGGTGTTGCACTGAATCTGTAAATTGCTTTAGGTAATATTGTCATTTTAATGATGTATAGTCTTCCAATCCATGAACATGGGATATCTTTCCATTTCTTTGTATCTTATTTCCTTTAATGGTCTTATAGTTTTCAATATATAGGCCCTTCACCTCCTCCATTAAATTTGTTCCCAGGCATTTCATTCTTTTTAGAACTCTTTTATCTCCCTTTTTTCTGATACATTGTTTATATAGATATGCAACTGATTTTTATGTATTGTTTTTTATCTGACTGCTTTACTGTATTCACTTATTTCTAATAGTTTTTTGGTAGATTCTTTTAGATTCTTCTTGTATATTATCATGTCACATGCAAATAGTGTCAGTTTCATGCTTATGTCTTTTTCTTGTCTAATTGCTCTAGTAATTACACTATGCTGTACAGTATACATAGACTATACTATATTGAACAATAATTTTGCCACTGGACATCCTTATATAATTATTGATTTTAGTGGAAATGCATTCAGTTTTTCACCACTGAGTATGATGTTGGCTATGAGTTTGACAAAGTATACCATAACTCAATAAAACACATTTTCTGAAACCCCTACCTCTGACACTGCTCAGCATTAATATATTTTCATGGGGAGAGTGGACCAGAATATTTTAAATCAGGATGGTCTCAGAAAAGACAATTTAGATGTTTGGCCTCTTAGTAAGTGTGGCCATTTCTTGAGAATATGTGTTAGATTCACTCTTTTTCTTCCACTCTAACTCTGGTTTTTCCTACCCAGAATATATCTCATTTTATTCTCTCTTCTCTCAAATCAATCCCCTACACTGATCTTAAAATATTTCTTAAAGGTATGTTTTCACCTTGGACATCTCCAACCTAACTATCTTTAATAAGTAAAGAAGAAACTGACATGGTATGGAGACATAGTCAGACTACAACAGTTATGTTTGAAAGTTCATGCATAGTGCAAAAAATTTGACTTTTGGTTCCTCATTAACTCCCAAGAAAAGAGTTAAGGCTATCTTTGACCTATTGACCACTCTATTCTTCCTTCCTGGTTTGGTGGCATTCCCTCAATGGCCAATCTAGTCCAACTGATTGCTATTTAAACCGAACTAGCCACATGTAACTTTCCCCAGTGCTCCACAACACACAATGTAGGACAGAACCCTCAATTTTTAAATGTTTCAGGTCTGTTTCCTCTACTAGATTATGATCTTCTCTGTATTAAACACTTCATTTTATTATTTGTATCTGTATTTGCACATCCTTCCTGACCCTGCCTATCTAGCACAGGGAGCCTCTGTGTTAATGAGTTAGCTTAAACATGATAGTATATTTTAAAATACTAATTCTTGAAAAAAATAGTGATCACTGAAATAAAAAAAAATCCAATTCAATTTCTCCTAACCTGAAGATGGGATCCTTTCTCATTAATTTCTTCCCAAACTTCCATTCCAGACATCGCAGAATAAAAACAAATATGATAAAATTCAGAAAAGGCTAGGAATAAAGAGAGAGATGCACAATCATAAACTTGAATTTTTTTAACATTGAAGGTGAATTAGAAATCATTGAACTTCTACAAAAATACATTGGACAAAATCATTAAAAATTTCTAATAATCTGTACAATTATGATACAATGAAATTAATTTTAATCTTCTTTATAGAAGCATTACAAACAAACATAATTACACATATTAATTTATGTTACTTCCTCTAATAATTATACAGTATTCTTAAATTTTGAGAAGAATGTTAACTGATTAGTTAGTCATTATAAAAATATATGCTCCATATTTTATAAATATTTCCATGGGCTATAGATGGTATATTTCCACTTTAATAAAAATTTTAATGTGTGTGCAGGAATTAAAATGTCTGAATATAGTAAAAACCACAATAATGTTTAAATAAGATCATGTTCTTACTATTAGGACTATCAGAAAGGGCTCAGCAGTCCTCATTATTTCTTCAGAAAGTAGACTAGGACGTGGTTCATACATGAAAAACTGAAAATGGAAAGATAACAGTTAAATAGGAAGTTATTTCATGAACTTCATCCATAAAATGTGAACTGGCCCACTGAACAGACTCACTAACATGGGCCCTGATTTTATCATGAGTATCAGGTGAGTGTCCATTTGAAATGTGCAGCGATGAACTAACTTCCCTTATCCGAATGCCAAAGAACCAGTCACTGGGCTCTTATTTGAAGCGGCAAAATCTAGCAATTATTCATCACCTGGTAAGAGAATACTGAGCATCTGTGCTAGCCTCCCCCAATAATGGGAGATGCAGGTTTATGTTTATCAGTCAGAGCTTCAATACCTTCCTGTGCCCACTGCTCCTCTCATAAGTCCCTTCTTTTCCTACCCCTTCCATGGATACCCCTTCAAAATATAGGTATCAGTCAACTAGAAGAAAAGGGAATTTATTTATATTGAATGTTTCTTTTGAATCCTAAAATCCCAAAGATGAGGGGTATTTCATTTTCCTCCTCCTAAAGATGAGTGTCCCCAGGAGGGTGAAGGGTCCAGAATGAATGCAAAGGCTGCTGAAGCTCCATACCTATTACCTTTCCTCCCCACATATTAATCGGACCCCACCATGTTTTCTCACACAGTTAGGTGGAGCACACTGCCCTATCTGGGAGTAATTCAAACAGAATCACAAAACAGAATCCTCAAATGTCATGTCTATTCAACATGTTGTAGGGTCCCAACCCTAAGCAATATTTGCACAATCGGTCGTGAATTCCAGGACACTGGGACAGATGGTAGCTTTACTTACTTGTATAGATAAGATGGTAACTCTACTTACAGGTAAAATTAATGCAGACAGTGGGATTAAAAATGTGATGTACACTGTGTTATATCCAAATGCATCTCTAGCCAACATAATTACAAACACAGAGAAACCGGTTATCTAGAGAAAAAACAAATGTGCATGTTAACCACCATGAATGCTAATATATATTCCAAATTGAGATGGCTCATCTTAGATATATATCAATTTCACCTCCAACCTCAGCTTCCCTGGCTTCCCACACTGTAGAATAAATCATTGACACTCCACTCATGGCCAGCAAGGTACTGCACCTTGGTTTTGATTCATATTCACACCAGCTTACTACCAGTTTCAAGGCATTTCCTGGAATTTCTCTCCTTGGTTTTCTGTTCATCCATTATTTTCTATTTGCATCACCATCCCTCTAATTGTTGAAATCTTGCTTTTCTTCAGGCTTCACTTCCTAAAGGAAATCTATGCTCTTGTGTTCATGGTTAATCTCTCCCTTCTCTGGATTTCACAGACCTCTTCATTAATCAGTTATATAATAGACTTTTAAAGACCAATAAGTCATCTTTTTTCTTATCACTTTATTTTAATAAGTGACTATTTACTTATCCATTTACTCTCCAAAGGCTCTTTAATGGTTGACACTGCGTATTTTTTTCTCTGTTATCAGTCTTAGTTTGTGACATATTGTTGGAAACTAACAAATGTTAGTTAATAATTTTCTTTTTGGCATCCTTAAATGATAGGGAGTTAGAATAGATACTCATAAATCACACATATTTTTAATCAATTTAGTGTTGCTTTATGGAATTAATTCTCAGTAGAGATTTGGCAAAGTAGTTTCTAGTTTTAACTATATTAGTAATGGTATGTGTAATCATGTACAACTTCATGGAGGTCTTTGGGTTTATTTCTTCTGCAATAAGAATATAAAGATGGTTTCCAGATTTCCTTCAAGTAAACATTTTATAGTTCTAGAAACAATTTGACTATTTTTTAAAAAGATAAGGGTAGAAACAGGAAGTTAAAAAAGATGCTGACTTTTGAAAAAGATATGTACATAAGGCAAACAAAATACTTTGAGCAGTAACCTTAATTTACCAATCTATTGAGAGCAAATGTTAAAATATTAGCTCACAAATATGTGTATTAAATGCATAAAATAAATGTTCCCAAGAAGCATACTTACAACAAGGAAGCAAAGTGACCAAATGCCACTATTTTTTCTCCCCTTGCGGAAAATAAATGCAATCACATATGTCAAGAAGATAAGTGATATGGCATAACCAATAGAACAGGGAATCTGAAATCAGCACAAATGCTAAGTTTAGTTAAAGGCCACAATGTAGGAAAACATTTAATATCCAAAACATTATCATAGTGCAAAATCTGTAGTTATTAAATTAATATGAATATCAATGAATCAATCAATATCAATTCAATATTTGAATCATCTTCAAATATTTTTTATAAAAAATTTATTTGTTTATGCATAAGGAGCTAGGGTGTAGGCCAGAGGTGTGGGAGGTGAAAAGATTCACCAGAGACAGAGTTGGGAGCAGAGAAGGCAGATCTACTGAAATACACTGCTGAGGGGAGCAGCAGGCGAGACAGGAGAGCTCTGCTGCGCCCTGTGGGTCAACTCCCTGGCTGGGGATCAGACTTATTCTGTGTTGGCTGCCCATAGCTTCATGTGCTCAGACTTAACCCCTTGTGCCACCAAGGAGGCCCATCTTCAAGCATTTTAATTTAATGGTACAATAATATTTGTTCTGTGAATATTATCACTTACTTGTATATTCTTATTTACATGTGTAAGATTCTCATGATGATCCAAACTGTATTCCATTAAATACATAAAAAGGAACATCAAACAGTATATTGGCACATCTACCAGTGCCTGCCCAAACCAGTAAGCTGAAGGGAAGAGCCCCGAAATCCGTAGTTGGGAATGGACCTTGATCTGATTAGGAGACAACAAAAATACACAGTGATGCTTCAATTTTTATTAAAGAAAATGTGGATTATTTAAGAAGATACACAAATAAAATCTTCATTTCTAGTAATTCTGCATCATGGCCACAAAGTCTGAACTAAGAGATGGGGAACTTTTCAAACACAAATGATGAACTTGATGATGTAAGAGGAGACCTCAGAACATTTTGATCAATCTACCGATTGATCGATAGATTATACGTCTATAAAGTTGTTTTATCCTTTGAATCTAAGTAAATGATGCATTAAGGAATTTGTGTCATAGCATATATGCACATATTTATTACCCATTGAAATATTTATGTAAATATTTATGTAAATGCATATAATGCATGCATCAATACAAATGTATTCTGTAGTCTTTGTCATTCTCTGTATAAACATACCATATTACATATTTTAGAGTGACATCAAATATATTAAACCATTGTAATAATTTTGAATACATTTTTCTCTTAAATCATTTAAATTCATTTGTGATGGACTCTGATGAGCTAAATCATATTCTTTTTTAAGATGAACTTTGACCTAAGGATTCATGTCAACATCCCCAACACAGGTCCACTGAGCTAGTTCAATTGATAGGGATTTGATATCAACTAGATACAGGGGTGAAACTGAGAGGGAAGAAGGAGGGTCTCAGGTTCCTGATGGGGAGCTGAGTTTACAGCACCAACAATTATGAAGACAGAAAATATGAAGGGGAGCACAGTAAAATATCATAAATTCAGTTTTAGAAACAGGAAGCTTGAAGTTTTGTGATGCCTACCATGGAAATGTTGAGAAGGGAGTTTGAATTGGCATTGAAGGTGAAATTGGACACTAAAGAGGTGGGCAAGAGTCAAATCTGTAAGTGACCAGTAAATGGCGGGGATTTGCAGTCCTGGGGTTAGGTGAGCTTGCCTTGGAGAGAATGATAACTGCCACAGGCAGAGAGGAACAGTGACAATCTAAGGATTTCCAAAATTTAGAAAGGATATAGAGGAATAGGAAACTCACAAAGAGACAGAAATAAAACAAAGGTTTGGGAGAAATGTGCTAAAATCTTGACATCACACAGGCCAAGGCAAACAATGGCTGCTCAATTAAGCAGGTGTAGATAGCCTCATGAATAATTGTGCAATTATATCACCTTCAGTTCTGATCGTACAAAGTAATGAAAGTTTCAGTGATTCAGTATTACCTTAAAATCATCAATGCTGCTCAAGGCAATAGTAGGGGCAACTATGGGTGCCAACAGGTACCAGAGCAGTCCAAACCATATGAGCGGGAATACAAGCTCGATGAGTGGGGATACAAACCACCCGGGGTGGTGCCATAAGAGCGGGAATATATCCATTAGGAGATTGTGTGGAAACCACATGTCCTTTTGCTCCTGAAATGCATAGAATACAATGAAATGAATGAATATATTCCATTTTCTGGAATATATTTAAAACATTTAAATATGTTAAATATTTTAAAATACTGAAGTGATTAAGTATAATCCTGCCTTTGGTCCTTTGGGAGTTCCCAGATTCTTATCATCCATACTATGTTTCAGTTTGGAGTTTGACTTTTTTTTTTTTTTTAAGATTTATTTATTTATACAAGCACTGGGTACAGTCAGAAGCGCGGGAGGGTGAGAGAATTCACCAGAGCCAGAGTGGGGAGCAGAGCAGGCAGAAGGACCTAAGTACACTGCTGAGGGGAGCAGCGGGCGGCAGGAGAGGTCTGCGCGCCATGTGGGACCCTCCTCCGGTGGGCGGGGAGCAGCCGGGGATCGAACCGGCGCCGCAGAGGCCGCGGGCAGCCTCGCAACCCAGCGCTCAACCGCTGCGCCACCGGGGAGGCCCTGGAGTTTGACTTTTGACTCTCTTCCCAAATTTATGGATAAGGGAAGTACTTCAAAGACACTGATAACATTGCACAGAAAGTAATGACTATAATTTTTCATTCTCTTTATGATTCTAAAATTTCTTCTGATGTTAAATAATAATAACTGGTGTTTTATGATTTCAAGTGTGATAGCTTGACTAAAAAATCTTTTTTTATTTTAAAGATTTTTTTATTTATGCATACAGGAACTAGGGTGCGGAGCAGAGGTGTGGGGGGTGAGAGGACTCACCAGAGAGAGAGTGGGGAGCAGACCAGGCAGATCTACTGAAATACCCTGCTGAGTAGAGCAGCAGGCAAGACAGGAGAGTCTGCTGCGCCATGTGGGTAGCTCCTTGGCCAGGGATAGAACTCATGTTGCAGTGGCTGTGGATAGTTTCATAGTGCTAAGACTTAACCCCCTTGTGCCACCAGGGTGGTCCTTTGACTCAAAAATCTTATGGGATGTTTTATTGATGGAGTAATAATAAATTATTTTTTTAGGTGCTCCATGAGCCCTGACAAATAGTGACTGAGGATTCAAAAGCAGAGACAAGTACTAGAAGGGGAAGTGAACTCTCCAAGGAAAACTTTTCCCCTTTGTTATATTCACCATTGCTTCTGTTTGTCAAGAATCTTTCGGACTGAAGATCCACTACGGTCTTGAAAGCCATGTTGCTTTCATGATTCGTGTAGTTATAGGCTTAAGCACATTACTGAAAAAAATCATAACCTGAGCCTGGTCTTTGCAGCCTGCAACCTACCCAGTGGTGTGAATTAAGCTTTTTGTCCACAGGACCCCGCCTCATGCTGGATGTGTAACAGGGGGCTGAAGACAGACTGTTACAGGTGGTGCCCCCTGGAGGTGGGTGCTGGTGAGGATGGACAGCCCCCCCCCGCCCCCGTGAAATACGAGCAAAGGAGCAGTGGGTGTGGAAACTCTGATAAGAAATATAAGGGACAGCAAAAGCAGCCCCCGGGATTCTGTTACAGGTGGATTTACTACTCAGCGACAAATCCATTGACTCTGGGTGGGCAGAGACAGGTGTAAAACTACAGAAAACTTTACTTGAGCAATGAGTAGTCAATTCAAGTAGAGTACAAAATGAGTGGCTGGAGATACTGAGACTGGGTAAGGGGCCTGACTCTGTTTCCTAACAGCTGCTGGCTGCAAGCTAGATGCTGCACCTGTCCACACATCCGCTGACTCTGGCTTGGTGGAGGAGCTGCTAACCGAGTCCTAACCCCAGGTAATGGGGTGGTGGCCACCTTGACCGTAAAGGCACCCAATCCCCAGAAAAAAACACTTCTCTGAAGAAAAGAAAAACCCCTAATCTGCATAGTCCCCACTTTCCCACCCTAGCAAGAAAAGTCAGTTTACCCTCTGTGACCACACAGCTGCTCTCCTCCGAGGCAGCCTGGCTCTGTCTGTGGAGTAGTTATTTTCAACAAACCCTTTGCTGGTCTGCTCTTGATTCTATCTCACTGTGGACCAAAGAACCCTTGGACATGACTGCCCATAACGATGTTAATTAAAGTTAAAATGTTGGGCACATAAACACTAGGTCAGCTAAACTCGTTGGCATCAGTTTCACTTTAGCTAAAACAGAGAGATTTCAGAGATGGAAGCTCAAGGCGATTTGTTCAATTATTGTCTCTTCCCTGAGAAACCAGAAAACTAACAAGGCCCACTCAGTCCTATATGAAGCACAGCATGTATTCTGAAATTAGTTACTGGCTGATGGTTAACTAAAACTTTTTGCTTTAACAATTAAGCTTCTTACACACCTTTATTGGGAGGGATTTTTGTTTCTTGAGCAGACAGAGGTACATTTTAAGAAGGTGACTTTTCTGTTGTTTTTCCTCTCACCATCTCTCTTCCCTCTTTCCCCCCTTCATCTTTCCTTCTTTCGTTATCTTTGTGCTAGTCACAGTGCTGCATGCGTCCACCTGCACTGCCTTACATTTTCTTTGAGAAACATTGTGTTAGTCCCAATTTGCATTAAAAAAATTGAAGCTTTCAAAGTGTATTGCTTTCCAATAGCTAGCATAACTCCAAATGCTAGTTTATTCTGCGGTGGCTTACTCAATTAGAATGAGATGCCTCTCTGGTGGTGCAGACAGTTGAGCACAGTGCTGTGAAGCTGTCCGCAGCCTCTGCAGCACCGTTTTGATCCCGGCTGGCCGGGGAGACACCCACATGGCGCAGCAGACCTCTCCTGTCTTTCCCGCTGCTCCCCTCAGCAGTGTATTTCAGTCAGTCTGCCTGTTCTGTTCCCCGCGCTGTCTCTGCTGAATCTTCTCACCCCCCACACATCTGGCCTGTACCCCAGTTCTTGTATAAATAAATAAAACTTTTTTTTTTTTAAAAAGAAGATGCCAACACTTAGAAGAGTAAGTAATATGGGAGATTCCTGAGAGAGGATGAATTTATAAAATTATATACTTACCCCCCAAAATGTACTTCTGTAAGTCTGGATATGGTCAGATTGTTTAACCATTCCCACTAGCCCATTGCTAACAATATCCATAAGAACTGGGAAGCAGTTCAGTCTCTTGGCATTGCACACTAATGAAAAGCTGTAATTCTAAAACATGAAAAGCAAGGTTAACATTTCTCTAAGATCTTCAGCTTTTTTCTAAAGAGATCAAAATTCAATATTCTAATTAAAAACCCATGTCTAACATTACCCTTGATCTGAGGCCTCCAAGAGGGGAGGGGAAGAGAGGAAAAGGGGGGTTGAGGGAGAGCACAACAGACTGGGGGTGCTTTGGTGAGGGAGAGCTAAAGTGACCTCACTTGAAGGGAGAAATCCTATACTCTCAAATTATTAACCAGGATGTAAAACAACGGTACTTCATTAATAAATAAATAAAAATAAATACAAATACTGAAAACCGTAACATAATAAATAAATCATCACCTGACCAAAAATAAATTTACAACTGGTGTTAAATAATCAAAATAAAAAACAAACACTACGTAAATGAAACAAAGTATGCATACAGACAACATTTAATTTTCAGATACTAGGTATCTGGCCTAAAACTAGAATCAAGTATTATTATCATTTAAATGCAAAACAGATAATTCAGAATTCTAAAATGCTTAAGACATTTCAGAATTATAAAATCCTCATGAATTCTTTGGACTTCATGTCTTTGACAGTGGGGATCATATAGCATTTGTTTTGTTACTATACACAAATTGTGTTGATTTGGGAAAGATTTATCATACTAATGACTATCATTCTCTCAGTAATAAATGAAAGCAGTATTTGTTTTTCATTTTGCTTCCTAAATCACAGATCTAACTATGTTGATATCATGTTGGTTTACCACACCTGTGGGAAAAATTATTAAATCCAGATCAGCTTACCTTTTCATTACCAGATACTATGATGGCTCCATTATAAGATAGGTCATCTACACCATTTTTATTTCCATATTCATCTACATCCAAAGCTATGTTCTGACGCTCCACAGAATGTATAAAATCATCAATGCTTGCTCCTAAGTTGTGATTTAATATATTAGGTATCACAAAACCAAGATCAATGTCAACTTGTGCAATGAAATCATCACTAAGGTCATTATATGCTATTTACTGTCATATGAACAGTTGGGATATTTTTCCAAACTCTAGCACACCTGCTACTGTGAATTAAAATTCTGTTTTCCTCCCAGGGAGTTTACTTATACTGTGTTTATAGGCTTAAGATTACTCTAAGATTACTTTTTTTTTTTTTTAGCACCATAAAGCATTTGAACTAGATAATTCCCCCAGAATCTCATAACAAATGTCTGTATTACAAGATTTTAACAACACAGATAATTTCTATTTAATTACCAGCAAATTTGCTAAGCTTCACTTTGTTCCAGCTAGATTATGAATTGATTTTCAAAATGTTTCTTAATACAGAGAGATAAGTGATATGAACATGTAGCTCCTTGGGCCTTCCTCCTAGCAAAACAACCATAAATTGTAAAAATTACTAAAAAAAAAACCCCAACAAGTTAAAACCTCTTGATAGTCTTAGGGCATATAGAAAATGAAAAAAAAATTACTTAAGAAAATACTAAATCTGGGCAAAAACACCGAGAAACTGTAGCATTTGAAACAAAAACCTATACTGTCACGCTCCCCTGCCCCCTTGATTAGGATGACAGAAGTTCCAGTCTTATGTCAGGAACTTGGGGTCTTTCTTGCTCAAGCCCAGTATAGGCTTCCTTAGCTTCCTGGGAGGAACAGAAGCGGGGATGATTTGGACCCACTGTTTTTGCCTTCTTGTGCCTACGATGGAGCTGCTACTTTACAGCAGAGAGTGAATGGAGGGAAAGAACTCCAGAGTCTTAGATACTCTTGCCTGGAGCAACTCTGACATGGAGCTGGGGTGATGAGGAAGGTTGGCAGCTTGTCCCTCCTGAGAAGATAACTGAATATTCACTGAAATTGTACCATGTCCTCACATCACACCCAGAAATTAGCTCAAAATGGATCATAGACCAAAATGTAAGAAATAAAAGCATCAATGCCTTAGAAGAAAATACAGCAAACATTTATGATCTTGGGTTAGACAAAGCCTATGCTTAAAGATGACACCAGAATGCAAGCCAGGAAAAAAGAAAATTCAGATTTCATAAAATTAAAATCTCATGTTTCAAGGACATTAATGAGAAAATGAAAAGACAATGTGTGGGATGAGGTAAAAATTTGCAAAATATTTATTGTTGATTCTTATTACTCAGGATGGTTATATTCTATAAAGTCACCACAAACATTGAACTAGTGAAACTTGAACAATCACCCCTAAAGGAAGCACAGGGCTAGGTTCCTGTGAGCCTCTGCTTACAAGAGTGATTCTTCGACACATGTCCATATGGTCATTAACTTTGATCTCATAGAAACAGCAGAGCACCTTAAGATTAACAAGGCTTGTTTAATTCATATTTTCTCTGCAAAGGACATCACAATCTTTCTGACTGGGAAATACTGGACTTCAGCACTTCGGCACTACATCCGGAGCCATGTTACACAGCAAGACCATCACGAAAACAGCAAATTAACATTGTGGCTTTAAGAGACCACGGAAAGAATATTTATCTACAGTAGAAGAGCTGGAACAAGAGAGAAAACTGCACCAGCTTGTTCTAAAGCAGAGAGCTGCTTTGCTCTACCTCAGCTGGAAATGTGAATCTACGGGGACTCAGGGGCTTCACTTCTCTGAGCCTGTCTGTGAATGACCATGAAAGTACAGCTGGAGTAATGTTTTCACTACAAAAGCTTTCATTTTGCAAAGTGCCATCAGATCATTTTTCCTTGGCAACACTTCCCTAATTCATGCTGGTCGGGGGTTGTGTTCATCACCCTCCAGCCTCATAATTTATTTTGAACATCTACTGAAGAAAAGCACACTTTCTTTTCTCCTGTTTTTGTTTCCTAAGTAATGCTCTGAATAGTGAATATATAAAAATGGAGTCTTTGGGCCTCCCCAGTGGCGCAGCAGGTGAGCGCTGGGTTGCGAAGCTGCCCGCAGCCTCTGCAGCGCCGGTTCAATCCCCAGCTGCTCCCTGGCCACTGGAGGAGGGTCCCACATGGCGCGCAGACCTCTCCTGCCGCCCGCTGCTCCCCTCAGCAGTGTACTTGGGTCCTTCTGCCTGCTCTGCTCCCCACTCTGGCTCTGGTGAATTCTCTCACCCTCCCGCACTTCTGACTATACCCAGTGCTTGTATAAATAAATAAATAAAAATAAATCTTTAAAAAAAAATGGAGCCTCTACCCCATTGTTACCTGCATTATTGATGATTAATAATTTAGTGAGAGGATCACGTGGTGGTTGTCCAGGAGCAAGGAAATATGAATGAAGAGAAAGTTCCCAAACGTAACTGCTTTGATAGACTTTCACTGTGATATACTTCAAAAGAAAAGAGCAAAGTCCAATTGCTAGAATCAGTGTCCTGTGGAGAAGAAAATTGCCATTGTGAATGTATTTCCTAAAATTAAAAAAGATCTGAGTAGATTATAATGTAATGAGATCAAGAAATCATGAAAATTAAACATATAGCTCTCTGAGTCATTTCTTGAATATGCTGTCCTTTTTCTATCTCTAAATTAGGGTGATAAAGTGAAGGTTTATCCTTTGTTCATTTCTCTTGTAACTGGCTATTGTACATCTTTTACAATTTAAGGGGATAGGCGTCCTTTAACTCTTTGTCCAGATTCTGCCTCTCTCCTGGAATTCCACTGTGATGCTCTCCCTTTCTGCTGGTTAATTTATCAATACCTTACTCTCAATGTCCTCTTCACACAGTCCTATATTTTATTCTCCAGGCTCTAATTCTCAATTATTTTTACTGTTTGTTTTCTTATATTCTTCATTTCAAATAAATTGAATTTTTTTTTACTATGCCTTTGCTATATCTCATGTTAATACTTTTCTTCTTTCCTAATTTCTAGTTTAACAATGTTACATCATGTGAGAATTCTTGCCAAATAATTGGCATCTTCCCAGACTCTGTTACTTAGTGTTGCCAGATTAACATTTAAGAATTTTCTTAAATCATGCAATTGTATTGTCAAAGATTCTCAATGAGTTCTCATAATTCATTTAGCAAATATTTACTGAGATTCTGTTATATGCCAAACCTCTGTCTCTGATGTTTAATTAGTCTTCATAGACAAGGTATAGATTGGCAGTCTGGTACCAAGAACACCAGGGTGCTAGTAGGAGGTGACATGATTCTTAGGAGCAGGATAGTGCTTTTTATGTGCATAGTAGGTATGGAGAGTAGGCATCACTTAAGAGGGCTGGAGGAAAAGTCATGACATCTAGGGAAGAGCAAGTAATATATAATGGCAGAATTAGAACATCCAAGAAAGTGCTAGTGTAATAATGATTTAGCATCTAAAATAGGGCATTGGCATATGGATACTGAGAAAAAGATTCGTGTCTCAATGTTTCTGTCAACTTCCATAGTATAAAATTTGTTTTTTTTATCTTTTTTTTTTAAAGATTTATTTTATTTATACAAGAGCCGGGGTATAGTACAGATGCGTGGGAGGGTGAGAAGATTCACCAGAGACAAGAGTGGGGAACAGAACAGGCAGACTGACGAAATACACTGCTGAGGGGAACAGCAGGTGAGACAGGAGAGGTCTGCTTGCCATGTGGGTTGCTCCGAGGCCAGTGGGGATCGAACCCGCACTGCAGAGGCTGCGGACAGCTTCACAGCACTGTGCTCAACTGCCTGTGCCACGAGGGAGGCCCAATATAGTATAAAATTTGAAAGAGAGGACATAACACAGGAAAGCTTATGTTATTTCAACTTTTTCCCAAAAATTGACTCTGAAATATTACAAATTCCAACCTGTTCTGCAAATACGTAACTTTCAGGACCATTGGCTCAACTTGTTATTATGCTTTATCCAGTTATGTGAATGCAGAAAATTAATTTAATTTTTTGTGTTTCCTCTTATTTTCACTTTAGATTTATTTTAATGCGTTGACTGAAAAAATTCTGATACTCACAATACTATACGAGCTCTTCTTTCGTGTTTTAACTTTAGGAAGCGAACCTTTGCGACTGACCAGATCTGCTGTCTCCAAAGGGCCATGCCACCTATGGTCTTTTTCATCTCATTAAGTGAAGACAGAATTTGTTCTATCTTTACCAGTCTTTCGGGGTCTCCAGCTTGTTTTCTTTCTTCTTTCCCCCAAATATTTGCAAAACAAAACAAGAAAGGAGTTTAATGTACCTGTTTGTTTTTCTAACAGTTAGTCTTCTGCATAATTATAGGCATAATGTGGAAGAAAGAATCAGTAACATGATGAAAGATGAATTGAGATTAAGTATAAGAAACACAAAAATATCTCTCTTCACGCTTTCTCTTTCTCCTCCTCCTGGTGTACTTTAACTATATCTCTAAATAAACTTTGCTTTTGTTTCTGTTAAAACATACACACACAACATACACTCTCTCACACACAAAGAAAAAAAGAATGAAGAAAATAAATCTCCAAGAAATGTGAAATTATCAAGCTTACCGACATACACTACCACATACAATAATGGGAGTTCCAGAAGAGGGCTATAGAGAGAAAAGGTCATAAAATATAATTGAAGGAATAATGGTTAATGAGTTCCCACATTTGATGTAAAACATAAATCTACACATATAAGAAACTGAAGAAACTCTAAATAGGATAAATACAAGAAAATCAACACCTAAAATGTCATAGTCAAACTGTTCAAAGATAAAAAGAGAAACTTAAAAGCAGCAAGAAGAAAGAACTCATCATACACAAGAGACCCTCAATGAGATCTAAATTGACCTCTCATCAGAAGCCGTGGAGACCAACAGGCGGTCACATGACATTTAAGTGCTAGGAGAGAGAGATTTAGAAGATTTTTTTTTTTTTTTTTTTTTTTACTTTTGTCTGAAACTGCTCTTGGAAAATGCAGTAAGATGAAAGCAATAAGCCCTTGGTGGAAGAAAATGGGTCATCTTTAATAACAAGGCAATATTGGTAGCAGAGGTAGCAGATGTGTCAGGGTGTATTTCATTTTTATATATTCTTATCTAAGAAAAAATCCAATTACTAGATGTTATGTTTCATGATAGCATCTTTGGAATGGTATCTTCATAAAATATATATTGCATTAGATTTTGTGAATATCTTTACATGATGACTTTCATGCATTTTCTTTACCTGATTTTCCTTCTAGTTTCAGGAACACCTCATTCAAGGTTGTCATGGAAACACCATAATTCTCAATTCCCAGGTTAGGATAACTTTCGAGATTCTGAAAAAGTTCTAAAGAACACACACACACAGAGCAAATTAAAGCACGTAAGTTACAAGTGAACTGAGAATACCTTGGTTTTTCCAAACTAAAAAAGATAAGTATTTGAAATTATACTTGTGATGTAGTAGACATTAAAACAGTTAAGACATCTTAAAAAGTAACCTGTTCTTCAAATTCTGTACCTTTCTTTTGTTTTACAGCCCCTTTCTGATCAAATATTAATTTATATATATTTATATTAAAATTTTATTTTAGTTTTTTCCTGAATTTCTTTTAACATTTAAAAGCAATATGACAGAAGGACTTCAGATTTTTTTTCAGCTCTAACTCTAATTGATTGAAGAGTCTTTTCCAGAAAATGGAAACAAATGGGAATTGTTTTTATTTTAACCAAGAAAATAATTAATTTTCTAAAAATTAATTGGGTTATGAAGAACCTTCTTACATTCAGAAAATCTATAAAAAGAAGGAATAAAATGTCAATTTCTAATTTCTTATTTTGACTATTGAAGAAATCCACACATGAAAGAAACAGATGTAATTAGCAAACTTTTCTTTCTTATTTAATTATTTTGAGATAATTTTAGAGTCATATAGTTGTAAAAATAATACAGACAGATCTGTGCATGTTACTCAGTCACAATACACTATCTTAGCCAGGGCACTGAAATTAATGTAATCAGGATTCCATTACTGCAGAGATCATGCTCCCCATTTATTGATATAACCACACCCATATCTCTCCTGACAGCATCTTCTTACCTACAACAACCATTAATCTTTTCTCCATTTCTATGATTTTTTAATTTCAAGAATGTTATATGGATTGAGTTATACAATATTTAACCATTTGAGATAGAGATTTTTCACTGAGCATAGATAATTCTTTGATATTCAGCCAGGTTGTTGCTTATGTCAATCAGTAGCATGATCCTTTTCATTGCTATTGTGTGACTATGCTTTCATATTGCAAGGATAAACAGCCTGTCTGTATTACTTGGTTATGTGACAACCACAGGTTTAGTGTTAAAAAGAAACAGCAAACTGTTTCCCAGGTGGTTATGATCTTTCACAACCCACAGCGATGTGTGAGTGACCCACATCCTCACCAGCACTTGATATTATCACTACTTCATGTAACTTTTAAGTCTTCCTGACAAGATATAGAAATATAGACATCTTTTCATTTGCTTGTTTGCCATCTGTATTTCTTTCACAATGAAATGTCTCTGCATAGCTTTTTCCCATTCCCACCTAGATCTTTTTTACAATATAGTTTTCAAAGTTCTCATACATTCCAAATATTCGTCCTTTGAGAGATACAGAGTTTATAAATAAGGTTTTGGCAGTATGGAGCTTGTTTTTTTTTTTTCATTCTTTTAAATGTATTTCACAAAGCTAACATCTGTAATTTGATAAATACAATTTATCTCTTTCCTTTTATGGATTGTGGTTTTGGCGTCAAGTCTAAGGACTCTTGTTTAGTTGTAGGTCTTGCAGATTTTTTCCCTCTTTATTTTTGAAAAGTTTTATAGTTCTGTATTTTATATTTGTCCTTGATTTCTTTGAGCTAATTTCTGCATCTTGTATAAGAGCTGGGGGAAGGTTCATTTTTAACCCTCTGGATTCACATGCTCCAGCACCATTTGTTGGGAAGTTATATTTCCTTTATTGAATTGTTCCATCTGTGTCAAAAATCAGTTGGACATATTTCTCTGGGTCTATTTTTGGATTCTCTGTGTTGTTCTATTTATCTATGCATTTATCTCTTTGCCAAAGCGGCACAATCTTGATTCCTCTAGATAATGTAACAAACATCATAGCTCATCTCTCTGGCTCATTACACAAAACTACAGCTGCCCATTTCTTCCTGGGAAGTGAAAGAGTTCACAGAGTTTCTAGCATTGCTCAATAGTCTGATTGGTGGGGGGTCTTCTGCACAAAGCAGTGTACAAAGACTGGGGGAGCTACCTACCTTATCTGATGCACAGATATCTAAACCAAGTGAAGTAAGATTAAAAAAAAAAACAAACATTTTCCAAATAATTGATAAGGTAAAGTTCCATAAATTGGCCCCAATGAGATGAAACTACATGGCTGACCTGTTGGAGAATTCAAAATAGCCATTGTGAAGTACACTTGAATGTACAGGCTTGAAAAATCCAAAATTATCACAAAAGTCTTGGCAAGGCAAGAAACAGCCATATCATGAGGCTATTTATCGTAAGTGTTAAGCCAGAGGTCTTCAATCATCTGTATAAACTCACAGTTATAAATACTAGAAAATTCTGCTACACAGTAGAAGGGGAATAAAGGATTAAGAGAGCCCCTGAAATGCTCATGCAGTGTAATGCAACTATTAAGACATAGTAATATTTCCTGCTTTAGGAAAAATAACATTATTGTACTATTCCCAGTTATTATACTATTCTTTTGGTAATGTTTCATATATCCAAATATATTATAAGCTCTTACTATATGTTATTTATAACAATTATCATTAATATTATTATGAATTATTTATATATTTAATTTCATGATCATGTGATCATGTATATTACCTGGAAATCTGTTTGTTCTTTCTAGGGGCAATGTATACACAAGTTTTCCTTCACTTGCTGCTGATAATTTGGCATCAGGAATGTGCTGTTTAATAAGTGATGTGATTTTTCCCTCCATGCACATTTCATTCAACTGTAAACTGGTATTCAAAAAAAAAAAAAAAGGAAATACGTTATTTGACAGTTTCCAATACAGCAGGAAACAGTTACTAGTCTCTATGGGATAAAAAAATAAGCTAAAATATAATGTAAGACATAAACCATCCAAACATGAAATAAGAAGACAAAAATTAAAATCAAATGTGGTGGCAGAAAGCATACAATGAGCTAACCAGAATTATTAGTCATGTTACTCAAGGGTGATACCAAGAAACAGTTGATTTTACTTAGGTCCTTAAGGGGAGAATAGTTACAGAGTGGAGGTTCCAGGGACACATGCAACAAATATCACAACTACCAAGATGAAAGTCTTGAAGATTTTTTTGAAGGGAATTTATATTGGCTAAATAGGATTATTTTGTTGGGGATGAACAAGGGACTTTTGAGAGACAAAGCCAAAAAAAACAAGTCCAGTTATTCAATGTAGTCATCTAATGCAAATTTTTTAAGTTCTTAGTATGTGATAAAAATTACCCTAAGTTCTGAGAATACAATGGTGACTGAAACAGCATTTTCCTGCTTTTATGGAGTTGACTGTCTAGTGGGAAAGACAGAAAATAAATAAGCTATATTGAAATAATTATCAATAATAATAAATTAAATGCTGTGAAGCAAATGGGATTATAGGTAGAAATTGGTTATAATCAGTTACGGATGGAAGTGGGTTTGGGTTGTTAGGATCTCTAGTTTTTGCTTTCTTGGTAGGGCTAATCCTCGACCTTTGACCAAGAACAAAGTATCATCAAGATAATCAGCATATCTGTTTAAAAATACCACATATATTTTCCCATCATAGAAAACAAAAAAAAAATCTATTAATCAAGTTTATAAGGTAAACATAGATTAAAATCAATGGTGACTTGAATTTGAAACTTTTTCTATTTGAAGAATATCATTTAGCCTACCTGAACAGTTTCCTCATTAGTAAAATGGAATGAGGAGTCCAAATATGAATAATAGTAATGCTTGCACTTAGCAAGTCCTTAAGTAATGACAGTTATTTCACTTTATCAAATACCTATGTCAAAATTAGTCCATTTACTCATAAGGTATGTACAATGTGTTGTGGATAGATTTGCTATCACATTACTTAAATTTGTCTAAGTTATCTTATATTCTCAAAAATCTATCATTAAACATCTTTGGATATGCATAGTAAATAAGTCCATATATATAAATAGGTGCACACTTAAATATAATATGCATTTAGGTATGTATAAATATATGGATACATAAGGTGGATACATAAGGTGTATGTATATGAATACATAAGGTGTACAATTAAATAGAGGGTATATATAGGTGTGTATACATGGAAACATTCGGTGTACACTTTAATACGTCTACAGGTGTGTGTACATGGACATTAAAAAATCTCTCTTCTGTGTTGTCTTGTGTTGTTTCAACCATCGTGCCTTACTCTAGTCCATTTCTCACTTTCCCAGCTTCTCAAATGACTGTACCTTAAGTGATATCCAATCCCCCATTTCTTCTTTAGAAACAGAGATGAGCCTGCACATTTCAGCTGCCCTTTGGAGAGAAACACTTTCCTATCTGAAAAGAAAGAAGCAAAGAAAACACTTATTTATTCTTTCCCAAGAAAACACAGGTGATTATTCACAGAATCCAACCCTAACTCACAAAAGTCTTGTCAAATACAAGGCTTAATAACGACTCATTGAAACAGACACACTTTAATCTTATTTATGTACTTTAGGCTACTATTCTGCCATCCAGTCAGTCAGAGAGCCTAGTTATGTGGGCATCTCTTTTAATGCAGAGAATTGTCATCACATTACACATTTTAATGAATCAAACATCAAAATTATTTGGCTATTTCAAGTTGATTTATCTCAATTTGAGTAAAAGATTAAGGTCTTCAAATATAATATATACTCTTGTTTTGCAATGACTGGTCTGGAAGGTCATGACCCTGTGTAATGCAGTGACACGAGTCTAGGAGATGTGTGATGTGACAAGTGTTGGGAGTGAGACTTGTTGGGTCCAGTTCAGGTCATTGCCAGCTTCTCGGATTGCCACATGCAGCCAGATGACCAGGTTACCAAACCCTCATCATTATACTTAAAGGAATACTTAAAGGAAGCCAGCCATTACCAGCCAGGATATCAGCCTCGTCCATGAAGTGGGTACTGAAGAGGATTACTCGGTCTGTTTTCCACTTCTTCAAGAGATTCCAAACTTGATGCCTTGAATAGGGATCCAATCCAGCAGTTGGTTCATCCAATAGGAAAATCTACAGGGGAGGGTGTATATAAAGAGGCTCTACTCAAATGTATTTCCTTCAGAAAGCATGGAGGAACAGTATTATTAATTTAAAAGGATATTGCAGTTAGGAGTTTTTCTTTTATATTTAATGGTCTATCATAAATGTTTTATCACAGGTGACTCCTGCAAATAGAAGGTTTGAGCTACTACCAAAATTTCATTTAAAAATATTTGAATTTCTCTTAAATTTAGTGTCACATACCTGCGGATCTCCTAAAATGGCAATTCCCAAAGTAAGTTTCCTTTTCTGTCCACCACTTAAGTTTTGAGCAAGGGTGTTCTTAATATTTGTCATTTTCAATTCCAGCAAAACTCTTTGTATCTAAGCAAATGACCACATTTATGTCATAAACCAAGAATTGTAAAGTATAATAGTTTAAAGCATGGACACTGAGCCAGACTGATGGGGTTTGACTATCACTCCACATCAACTAGCTACACAACCTTGGTCAAGTTACTCACTCTATGAAACCTCAGTTTCCACATGTATAAAATGGGATAATCATAATATCTACCTCCAGCTTACAAACAGTACCTATCTCAGGAATAAATAAGTTATTATATCTAAAGTTAAAAATAATACTTGGCACAATGGAAATTGCACATGTCAAATATTACCTAAATTATATTTTTCCAACATTTATACAATATTTTACACAAAGATAACTTAATTAAAGCATAAAATCTCAGTGTAAGTAGGGTTAGTAATCTAAACTTGACAATATATTAATTCTAATATATTTATGTACCTCTTTATCCACTTCATGTGACTGAATCCCTTTTATTTTAGCAAACAACCTGAGATTTTCTCTCACTGTGAGGAAATCGAATTGCACATTGGATTGTGGACAAAGTCCAATGAACTTGCTGATATTTTCTTGGTCAGCCATTTTGGAAAGTTTGTTATTATAGATAGTGACTGAACCTATAACAAAGATTAAAAGTTAATATCAGAAGAATGTTAAAGTCAAGACCTTTCTAAATGAAAAATCACCTTATATTTTAGATACAAGTATCTCCTGCTTTTCAAAAGTTCTAGGTAAGGCACTTATGAAAGACCTACATTATTACCTATATTTGCTAATGGAAAAAAATCTGAAGAGTGATGCCAGTGTTCAGGGTTTGTATTGCAGTAGCCATTGTAGATGGCACCAAGCTCCTTCTCCTACTATAAATATGCCTCTTCTCCTAGCAGCAAGTATGCAGCAACTTTATACAAACTGTCCATTTATCAGATAATTCCCACATTTACTATATGGTGGTGTGATTTTAGGTTTTAGTGTTATTTGATATGACCTGCTAGGTTATTTCTGGGAATACTCAAAAAACTTCCACATAAATTATTGGCAATTGTTTCCTCACTTTATGACATTTTAGCTTACAAAAGGTGACCTAGGAGCACTCTACTTTCAGATGGTGGAGGAAATCTGTTTTATAAACTTCCATTTCAATTATGTGATATATTGGAGGCAAGGGGAAGTCCCATCTGAAGCATTTTTCATTAATTTGTAGTCTATTTATCTATCCCTCACATTTAGGCTCCACAACCAATGGATCTTAGCAAGTGGGGTACAGGCTTGGCTCTACAGCCAATGGGTTCTTAGCAGGTGAGATACAGGCTTGGCTCTGCAGCCAATGGGATATTTGCAAGTGGGATACAAGCAGAGGCTGTGAGCTGCCTCCATTGGCACTTGCCCTTTCTTGGCTTCTGGAATCATGGAAACCACTCTGGTGTGAAGAATCCCAGAGTAGCCTCCTGGAAGATGAAAGTCCATATAGGAAGGGAGGTGCTGTCCAAAATAAGCTTCATGTATGGGAGTGAGGTCACACTAACCATGCAGCCCAGCCATGTCAGTCTGGACAGAAAAACTGCCAATCAACCCACACAGATGAGAGCTGATGAAAATTTTTATTATAAGCCATTCACTTTAGGGTTGCTTGTCATGCAATAAAAGGTAACAGATACAAGTTGAAATGTCAAATGGCAACTCGTGACCAAGCGAATAAGGATTAGGAAATATTCAAATTGCATGTATACCAATTAAATATTCTATTCTTCTTTAGAATAACACTATAAATTAACAACCACTCCCCCCTCCACCTCCTACCCCCAGTTACATGTTTTTGTGATTAATGATCAGCAGAACTTAGATTAACAATTGTTTTATTTGTCAACCTGACTTCAGAATAAAAACACCTCTTACCTTTGGTGGGAATAGACAAGCCACTAAGAATATTTAATAAAGTTGATTTTCCAGCTCCACTGTGACCAAGTATTGCAGTGATTTGGCCTTCATATATGTCAAATACCATATCTAGGAGGAGAAAAAGTCAAAACAAGAAGGATGGGAGAAAGGAAAAGTGATAGGGAGGTAGGAAGGAAAGCATTTGGAACCAAAAAGTTCGGTTATGAAGCTTATGAGTTGCCTTTTTATTTCCTTGTATGTCATGTTTTTTAATCATGAGTATACTGTCATTAAATTCAAAATAAAATATGATGCAATATCTTTTGGTAAATTTATTGTCTCTCCTGCTTGTAATTTTTTCATTTGCTTGTTTTAAAGAAACAAAACCTTCCTTAAACTCCCATGTTCAATTGCACTGTCTGGCATAAGTTAGGTGGATGCTAACATTTATTGATTGGAAGAGCAGATAAATAGTTCAGTAAATTGTAGCATAGTTAAAAATCCGTTGAGTTAAATGAACTTTTGTTCAAAAGAAAAACATACAGTATCTATAACAGCTTTGGAATTGTAGAAGAAAAAATTTAGTTTGTAGAAAAAACTCAGATTATCCATAAAAAACAATTCCTCAGTATCATTACATAGCATACTATTCAAATACATACCATTCTAAAGCATACTCATTTATTTTTCTAACTTTTCTGCAAAAGTAATATGTTGGAAGGGAAATTGCATCGTGTGACTCAAATAACACTTTTCAATTTGAAATGCCACCAGTAATTGCTTACCAAGAACAATATAAAATTGATCTTAAATCAGGAAATCAATATTATAACAATTTGTTTTCTTTTTACCTTTCAAGACTTCTATTTTATCATGTTTCTTTTTATATTCTTTTGTAACATTTCTGATTCTGAAAAGAAAAACACAAAATGTGACAATTTCCTTCAGTTTCAACATTGGATGAATCCTACCTTCAGGGTACAGGAGATCTGGGATTTCACTCTTTTGCAAATCGTGTTGGTGTGAGAGGATCAGTTAGAACACTGCTTCCTGGCTCTGATCAGACATCACTGCCACCCGAGGAATTGAGATAATACACCTCTGTTTAAACCCACTGACAGATGCTCTGATTCCACAGATTAGAGCATGAGCTAATGTCAGTGTAGGGAACCAGTATGATCTCTGAAATGCAAAGCCAAGAAGTGAGGCCATAGGTGACAAGTGCATCTAATACTGAAAGGCTTGGGGTGAGCACAGTTGAAGCTATCTTTTTCTGTAGCACCTGTAGTTGAGAGATGCTAAAAGAGAGAAGAAAGGCAAAAGGAAACACATAAATACATCACAAAAAAATGATTGCTTTTCTCTGAGCAGCTCTGTTGGGTAAAATCTAGTTGAAGTCACGGGACACAGCTAGATAAATATATGTGTAACATAAATATGGAGCCAGCTTAAATGAAAACTGAAGTTGATTCCAGAAGCCAGTGGGCTGGAGTAATGACACAGCTCAAGGAGGACTCAGATGTTCTGCTCACTGATGGGTAAATGAAATATGATCTCAGGGACTTTGAGGACTTTCTTCCTATTTTTTTAATTGGACATAAAACTCACCAGCATCAAACAAAATGTACATTTCATTGTCTCATGGAGAAAAGATGTGCCTGACTCTAAAAGCATCTCTCACTTTCCATCGTGTCTGTCTCAAAGCCTCTTCTCCCTTACTCTTCCCTATTCATTCATCCTCTCTGAAAGCCAGTAAATAAAAAAGAGAAGTAAAAAAGTTTAGGGAAAAATGGGGAGTATTGTCATTGAGGTGGGACCAAGTGTGAATAAATGAGACCAGACAAAGAGACGAGGTAAGTTAAGGATGGAGATTGAAAGTTCAGGCAAAAGTTCTATTGAATGACTTTTGTGGGTACAACTCTAAGTCTGAATTTAATGTCACTATCAGCAGTAGAAGACAACAGCGTCCAAGGAATTTTTCTTTAAATTTAAGGCAGAAAGTGCTGGGGACAGCAGGGATACGTGAGGTCACATGACTGTAAGGCACGCAAGAGAACTTTGCCTTCTTCAGGAGAAGCAGTGGCTCAATCTTTGGCCTGTTCTCCAGCTGTACCCTTATTACCTGATGGCTTCTTTCCCATGGAATTCTGGAGGTATTGGTTCAAAGAAGTCACTGGATAAACAATAGAGATCTATTTCATCTTCAAGGTTCACATGACCAAGTTTTTGTTTCTGTGACCAAAATGAGGACTTCAGGAAGAACAAGGGTGGATACTGGTGTCCATACTCATCTATACACCAAGAGACAATGACAGATTGGATAAGTCACCACTTAAAGGACAGAGTCACCCAAGGACACCCTCATGCACCCCGCGTTCAGTTTTATAGGGTCACAAATCTGAGCATTTGGTTGACACAGAATAATGAATGTATTTTGGTATGTGTAGCTTCATAAGGAAAAAAAATCATGAATATGCCTCCATTGCAACAATTGTTTTGTGGTTTTAAAAAAAATTCAGGAGGAATTTAAATAAAGGTTGATCTTTCTTAGCCTCCAGAAAGCCAAGTAGTAGACCATACATGCAAGAGAAGCAGGCATGGTGGATTCAATTTAGGATCCCAAGTGTCAAAGGAAGAAGAAATGGAGAAATGATTAGTGGATAAATAAAAAAAATATTCCAAGAAAAAACAGAATAAGTGATACATCCTAAGAAAGAGAGAATGCGGCAAAATAATTTATTGAAACTTAACACAAAGAAGAATTTTTAAAGCCACTCTGTTATACCCTATCTCATCCCCCAATACTGGTTTTCCTTTAAAACAAATTCACAATCTGCTTCAAAAACATTGTCCATGAGCCTCTTGCTGAAAACTAATCCACAGTGTATTTGCACTTAATTATCACTTGTTTTTCTATATATTAGGAGGCATGATGAAATAGAAGAAATATATTTCTCTAATATTTTGGAACTGACTTCCACTGTAAGATTGATAGGTTTTCAGTCTTACATATATTTTTCACATTTCATCATTCATTCACATGATGAATATTTACTGAGCACTCTCTGTATACCTGGAGCATGGTGCATTATTAGATCTAATCTCTTTCCCTTGATCAGAACACCTAGAAATAGAAGCAGGTAGCTATAATGGGAACATTCAGCACCAGATATACTGTTATATGGTTCTGTCACTTTGTCTAGTTAATTTCCCTTTCTGTCATTCATATTTCTTATTTTTAAAATGATTTTGAGCAAAGTTGCATCTGGTCTTAAATTCAGGCTTAGTGAATAGATAACTAGGAACAAGATTTAAAAATTCAGCTATATTGGGTTAAAGAAACATTGTAGGCATATTCATAAAATATAGTGATTTTGAAACTAGGAACACTGTACAGATGAAAAACATTTGTCATGAGAAGAACATGTTGAGTAAGAAATAAGATGGAGGGATAAAAACATTTCAATACTAGGCATCAGAATAGGCGAAAATACTGTAAGATATAATATTTTAAGTAAAACCATCGGAATGTATTTAAAGCAAAGACTGAAGAAAGAAGACAAATATCACATCATGCACAACAAGAAGATTTAAATTAGAGGAAACAGTTGCCCAAGACGATGCTACTAAGTGCTCGAAAATACAATGAAATCTGTTTATGGATATAGTGGGAATAAACACATTGGGAAAAACAAACAAAAAAGGAGGGAACTATAAATAGAATTTTTGAAGAAGTAAAAGATAGAAGAAAGAATTAATAATTGCAAAGGTCACAGGAACAGACCTCGGGGTAACTGTCCCAGGTATAGAACCCAAGGAACACACACAAGCGCTGATCATAGAGATTTCTTGTGAAAGCAAAACCACGAGAGTACAACAGAGGAAAAACTATTCAAATACCCTTCCTAGAAGCAATGTTAGCAGCTTATAATATTAGTGGGTGAAAAAAAAAGTTTGCTCCATAGCTGAGTGATTTTTCTCTCTGCTGGAAAGAAATAAAACTAAAACATACTATATGCATTCAAATAATTCCAATCATGTAATAAATGAATGGACCTAAAATTGTCAGTACAGACAACCATTATTCTGAATGCTTCTTAAAGTCAGAGACAGTCTTTGTTCCTAAGTGATTACGTAAAAAAACAACTGATTGTCTCATTACTTCAAAACAATCTCTGAATCTTTGATCTCACCCTTTTCTTTCTTTCTTCCCTTTCTTCAAATACTTCGTCACTTGTTTTGGCCTACTCAATATATTATTTCACTAGTAATTTTCATAATTTTTCCCAGCTTCACTAAAGTGTGACTGACAAATAATAAATGTCTTTATAGCAGCACTATTTACAATAACTAAGCTATGGAAACAACCCAAATGCCCAAAAATAGATGACTGGATTAAGAAGATGTGGTCCATATACACCATGGAATATTACTCAGCAATCAAAAAAGATAAGCTCATGCAATTTGCAGCAACGTGGATGGAGCTAGAAGGGATCATGCTCAGCAAAATAAGTCAGAAAGAAAAAGAAAAATACCAGATAGTCTCACTCATAGCAGGAATTTAGAAAAACCAAATAAGGGACCAGGAAAAAGACTAATTAATACAAAGTAAAAATCAAAATCAACAAGCAACTATAAACCAGAGACACACTATGGGGTGGGGGGCGGGGAGGGGAGAGGAAGGACTAGTGTCAAAATAAGCGGGGGGGTGCAATTGTGTGGGGAATATAACCAAAATGAAAATGCATAAATTGTGCAAAACTGAAAAATGATGTAAGAATTATATAAAATAAAATATAAAAAAGGGAAGAAAAAAATAAAATAAAAAAATAATTGTCTTTATCCTAGGTGTACAATGCGATGTTTTGATAAGGCTCTACATTGTAAAAATAATCACCACCATCAGGCTACTTAACTTATCAATCCATCTCACAGTTACCCGTATGTGTGGTGAGAACACTTGAGATGGACTATCTTAGCAAATTTCAAGCACAGAATACATGTTTATTAACTATAGTTATCGTGGTATACATAGATCACAGAACTTATTCATGTCAAAACTGAAAATTGTACCCCTTGACTGAATCTCCCATTTCTCCCACGCCTTAGCCACTGGTGACCTTCATTCTACACCATCACTATGTTTTATATTTCTACTTTTTAAGATTTTACAAGTAAGGAGGTCGTACAGTACTGGTCTTTCAGTGTCTGGCTTATTTCACTTAGTATAATGTCTTCTGCATTTATCCAGGATGTTGCAAATGACATGATTTCCATCTTTTTTTTTTTTAAGGCTGAATAATAGTTATATCCTTTCATCCATAGATGGACACTTAGATTGTTTTCCTGATCTTGGCACCATGAATAATAATGCAGAGAGTGAGAGTGTAGATCTGTTAGAGTGATTTTATTTCCTTCAGCTACACACTCAGAAGTGGAATTGCTGGATTACAACACATATGGAGAGCCCTAGATTTTCTGTTTTCAATTAAAAAATGCAGAGGTGTAAAGCAAAGATGCTGCCATTGTTTATAAAAAGAGGGAGAAAATAAAAATGACCAGCAATTTGGCCACACGTATTTACAGAGGTGCTTCAGGCACAGAGGTGGGTGCTTTGGGGAGCATTTATAGCAAAGCAGATCCTTGCTTTGAGGAACTCAGATTCTTTTTAGTTGCAAGGTGATAAAAATGAAAATGAATGACCTCTTGGCTTTCCTATTGCCAAACTCTGAGCAGATATTTTACAATGAGACACCCTGGCCCCATCTCTGTGAATTGACTTAGGTTCTCTCTGGTGGGGCAGGGCTTGGTGTCTCTGCACAGCTTTGAAATAGTCAGAACTCAGAAACTCTGAACTGAATATTTAGGCAAAGCTGCTACAAATTTCCATAACTAAGGGCCATGTCAGACTGATTTAGAATCGGGCTTTCTAAGCATCTCTTAAAATACTAACAAACCATACACTTTAAGTAGAGTGAAGTTCAAACAAAGCTTAGTGACTCAGTAAACAAATTTCAGGCTTTATTTCTGACCCATCTGGTAGCAAAAGAGAAACAAAGCACACATTTGTCCAGTAGCAACAACTTTCATTTCCTTCCTGGTGGTGCACAAGGACCTCTCAGATATAAATAACACAAATGCCACAAGACTCACTTTGGGAAATAAAATTCATAAAATGTTCAATTTTAATCAATTACTACTCACTTGGCAAAACTTTCTCAAAATAAATTGCCAAAGCCAGATAGAGGAAAATATCAAAAACCAGGATGAAGTGGGTGGCTATGATTTCATTTGAGAAGTCCAGGGTAAAAAGTGCATTTGAATTCAAATCATAGTCGAGGTGTATAAGCTGAAAATAAAAAGTAATTAATTAAAGAAAGTCTGATTTATGAGGCATTTTAAACAGTTGGATTCAGCATAAAAATAAAATAGCTACTTTTGGCCTCATACTGGGGATACAGAGTTAGCAAGGAGAAGGTCTGCTTGACAATTTTCAAATCTATTGGAAGGCAAGGGCATGTGGCCAACTATAATAAAAGTATGTCCCAAATGAAATTGGAGCATTAGCATTTTTACCAAATAGGACACAGTGGGAAAAGGTGTAGGATTCATTGATAATGGCTGGATAAAAGAGAATTTATGCTCCCAGACAAAGCACTGAGGGAAAAACATTTGTCTGTAATGTTCAAGTTAACGAACACTTAAACAGTCATTTTGCTAAGCACTAAATAATGGATCTATAATGATTGTTGCTACCAATTAATTGGAAGGATGGCAGAGTTCAATGTGAAATAAGATGAAAAGAGAATTTATGAAAAGAACTTGATAATCAATTAATGTGTTTCCACACTGAACGTTTAGCTATTTTTTTTTCTATATTGATGTACAAACCTATTCATTTTCTTTTGAATTTCCAACTGGCACTTTATTTATATTATTTACTTTATTTTTTTTAAGGCAATGCCAGTTTATGACACCGTATATGATTCAGAGATAGCGGTTCACACCTCTTCTGGTGAATGTTACCACATGCACCACCAAAGCACCCACAGTCCCCACTCTCCTGTGATGGTAGTTTTTAACCTTTAATTTGTGTTTCTTTCACTTTGTAGATTTTTACAGCTATGTGTGTTGCTCAGTTATGAAGTGAAATGTGAACAGGAATAGTTATTTAGAATTAGAATTGCAGTAAGTCCATATTTAATTAAAAGTCAAAGAACAACTTTGTATTGTCTCTAAGGAATGATAAATTGAGCCTCCATGTCCATTTAACAAATGGCTTGTCTTGCAAGGCTTAAACACTTGCAAAGCTTTTAAGAACTGATCTTTGCAAACTCCCAGTAGTCTTCACTAAGGTTTTAAATCTTATGATGCTGAGTGTGGACATGAGACAGACGACTGAATTCGAAAGAGGAAAGATCTTAGAAAAGCCATTAAAAAACATCAGATTGTTCTCACCTGGGACATTCCAAGCATGAAGGCAAAGGGGCTAAGAAAACTTAAAATCCACTCCAAGGATGTGGGTAGCTGTCTGTTCAATGCCAACAATCCCAGATTCCCCCAGAAGATATTGAGGAGGAGCACAGTCAGCCCAGTGATGAAAGCTTTCTTTACCAACGTGCTCATTAGAAACGCCAAAGCTATCTAAAAGGAGAGAAGATCCAGTTGGTTTATGTTTCAATAAGAATTATTACTTGCATAAAAATGAGATCTACTATATCAAGTTAGAGTTATGTCATTTATGGTGTGTAAAATACAAATTATACTGAAAATTATGCTACAAATTTGCATGACAAAGGTAGAGAAATTGACTGTTACCAGTCTACATGCAGAGAAAAGAGAAGAAAATGTATATGGAGAATGATAATCTAACTGGAAGGCAAGCATTGGATGGGAAGACACTGTATAGACCAACTCACCAAAGACAATCCATACAGGAGAATGAGGGAGAAGACCACCGTGAAGCCAGACAGAATGACAAACTGGGAAGATTTTAAAATAAGTGCCATTAAGAGAGCTATAATGAAGATGAAGCCAGCATACATCAATCCCCAGGAGAGCCTAAAAGGGAAACAAAACGTTATTGTAGTACTTTATGTCAACCATAAAGGAGGCCCTTAAATGGATTCTAACATCATTCATTCATCAACTCATTCATTCAGCAGATGATTATCATGGGTTGAGGATAATACAAGGTAAATATTTTGGAAAGAATTCTTTAGGAAAAAGGAATATTCTTTTTTCTAAAATTATTTTTATTTTTTTAAAGATTTTATTTATTTTTGAATAGAACTGGTTCAAAAATTTTGCTGCATTCTTACTCTGTGGTCTCAGGCTAACTCTGGGATCTCCCTAAATTCTTACAGCCCTGGAGAGCTGGGAGAGACCCCTCAGTGACACTTGGGTCATTTTCTCTTTTCTGGGGCATATCAGGGGTGAGAAACTTCGCACATTTCCTTGGGGACAGGAATTCTGTCACCTCTCGCTCCAAAAACTGCTTTCATCTTTCTTGTATATGGACACCAAATAATCTATATACTTGCCTTTAATGCATCATTTAAATAGTTTGCTTTCTTTTCTTCATCACTTCCTTAACCTTGTTTATTCATATTTTGAAGGGTATAATGAAATAATAACAAAAATAAAAGTAAAACCAACAAAATAATAAATGACACAGAGGAGCTCCTGATTCCCGAACTCTTTCTTTTCCTTTCGGTCCCATCTGGTTGGATTCAGTCCTGTTCAGTCCCTGGATTCCATTCCCATGTGGCTTAGACACCAAAGTCACCATTTCTACCATAGTTTTACCAGTAGATCAAAGGCCATTCCCATGACTCCTGCTTCACAACCACCCAGCAAACCTGAACCTGATGTTCTTTCTCCAGCCAGACGGAAGCATACCATCTCTCCGCCTCGGCCTGGCTGGTGTCACACCAGCGACAACTTATTTCATTTGGAGAGAACAAGGGAAGAAATCAGGGAATCATTTAACCTGGAAGAAGTCCCAAATTCCTACCTTCATTCATCTGAGCTACCCTTTACTCACCAGAATGCTGATTCTCGAAGACCCATCATGGTCATCAAGCTCTTCATCTTCTTCCTCTCTTTTGTGACATTAATAGACACATAATAGATGACTAGAGAAAAGGAACTAACACATAGGGAAAGGCAGATATCAATTATGGATCCTCCTTGAACAATGAAGGTGTCTATCTTCATGATTTTTCCAGTCGTTGACATCAACTGCTCCATCACAGGGTCATTTATCGTGATCTGAAGAAAGATATTGGAAAAACACAATTTATATTTAATGGTTCACATATCCAATTTTTCTTCAATCATCTTTTTTCCTATGGGTCTGATGCTAACTACTTATTCCACGTACTGAGACTGTCTCAGCTGCCCCAGGCATTCTGCGCTACCCACAGTTTTCAGATTTTTACTGTGTATTTCATCACCCTCCCGCCTAACGTCGCCTAGTGATTTGCTTGAAAGCCCTTGATTGCCTTATGTATTCAGCAGCCTCCTTACCTCAAGCTTTATTTTTATTTTTTTAAGATTTATTTATTTATGCATACAAGAACTGGGGTACAGGCCAGAGGTGCGGGGGTGGGGGGCAAAGGTAAGAGAGACACAGTGGGGAGCAGAACATGTGAATCCATTGAAATACACTGCTGAGGGGGGCAGTGGGGAGACAGCAGATGTCTGCTGTGACATGTGGGTAGCTCCCAGGCTGGCCAGGGATCAAACTCATGCTGCAGAGGCTGCGGATAGCTCCACAGTGCTGTGCTTAACCCTTGCACCACCAGGGAGGCCCAAGCTTTAGTTTTAAATGTAATTTTAATTAAGAATTTTTTTATGGCATTTTCCACTTAAAGGCTTTTACTTGTACACTTCTCAGTTCCTTAGTCCTGCCTCTTGATAGCCTACTTCTCCTAGTCTACTAATTTTCTTTTTTTAAAGATTTATTTATTTACTCATATAAGAACTGGCATGTAGGCCAGAGGTGCAGGTGTGAGAGGATTCACCAGAGACAGAATGGGGAGCAGAACAGATGGATTCATTGAAATACACTGCTGAGGGGAGCAGCGGGGAGACAGGGGAGGTCTGCTGTGCCTTGTGGATCAGCTCCCTGGCCGGGGATCAAACTCAGGCCATAGTGGTTGACGATAGCTTCATAGTGCTGTGTCTTTAACCCATGTGCCATCAGGGAGGACCTGTTTACTAATTTTCTTAGTATATGCTTAGGTAGAAAATTTCTGGTTTTTTCTTTTTATGTCTCTATTCCGTAGGGCATTTAGCAATTTAACCAAATTCTGTTGGAAAGAAACCCTTGGGTAAGTAAAAGAACAAGGTTATCCAATTATTTTCTTCCACAAAGCTTCTGATGCTTCTAATGCTGTGAGTCTGCACTGAACATTAATTGGCACACAACATTTTGTACTTACTTCTATTATGGCCGCATTGATGGCAGCTTGAAGAGCCACGAAACCTTTCTTCCAGAATTTTGAAACTTCACACTCATCATTGTAATAAGTTTCATAGCAATGAGCTTTCCGAAAAGAAGAAAATCATAACTGTCAATTTGAGTTATTTCAACCCTGATGGTTGGAAACTGGACTTTATATTGACCCCAATTCCAAATGTTCTGATTTTGACCCATAGCTTATGAAAACATAAATTGTAGTAATGATTCTCAAAGCTGGATGAGCAAGGGAAGCTCCTGCATTAAATTATAATGCACATTGTAATCTTTCTCACGCTCTGTGCTTCTTTGCCAGTCGAGGATTTTGTAGAACTCATTTTTCCCAATACATTATCACTAAATGTTTTTCAAAAGTTAGCAGGGTCTAATATGAATTGAGAAACACTGGAAGTTTGGAGGCTATAGACAACTCTCTAAATTATATCAACACATCCTTTGAAGAAAAAGTTAAGTTTTTAAAAAAGGTCCACTAGTTAAGTTTATGAAAAATTTTATCCTTTTTCCGTAATTGTGATCTTAGTATTTTTTTCTCCCAGGTAAATTATTAGTTGCTACTATTTTTCTTTAATCAGTTATTGATTGTATCTTTTAAAAATTGTATTTTTCAACTAATTATTATTATTAACATTTGGTGTTTTTTGTGGGTATCTTCTTCCTTTCTTGTGTTTGTGATTCTTCTATTCTTGAACACTTTAGACATGTTTGTGTAATATTTTCTCTTGTGTTATATTATCAGTTATATTGATAATTTCACTGGGAAGATATATCCTGCTTTGTCACTATATCCTGACTCTCAGGAGATACCTTTTAATGCCTATTCTCCTCAGACTGAACTATAAATTCATACCCAGAGACATTTTATCTTTGTGTACTGAGTTGAAGGTTTATAATCTCTTTTGTTGTGGCACCCCAGAGCCTGGCCAACCCAGGATCACTTTATCCATGTTCATTGTTGGTTTTCCCAGACCTGGCAGGTGAGAAGAATAAGAATCCCAAATTTAAGGGAAGGTGACCTGGAGCTACAAATTCTCAAGGGGGAATTCTGTTTTGTTATCCAGGGCTCATGAAAAGACAGACAAGCTTCCTTTTTTCCCCTTTGTCCATGGGAGACATTATTTTGTCTATTCTTTCACTGAAAAGAAAGCTTTTCCATATTCCAAATGAATATGGGGATCTTCACCTCCTATAAACCCAGGATCCTCTCACCTGTCCCCTTGTAGTTACTGCAACTCAAACCTCTTGGTTACTGAGGTTGGAAAGGTCATGGAGCATTAATAATCTCTCACTGGGATCTGGTGCCCTCCTCTTCTGGACCCTTGGGAATTTCCCTTATTTTTCTTCTAAGGTTACTCAAATTTTTTAAAAAGATTTATTGATGCATACAATAGCTGGGGTACAGGCCAGAAATGCGGTGGGTGAGAGGATTCACCAGAGACAGAGTGGGGAGCAGAACAGGCAGATCTACTGAAATACACTGCTGAGGGGAGCAGCAGGGAGGCAGGAGAAGTCTGCTGTGCCATGTGGGTCAGCTCCCTGGCAGAGATGGAACTTAGGACTTAACTCCTAGGTCACCAGGAGGGCCCTTACTCAAATTTTTAAAGGGAAGTTTGCTCAGTTTTGTCCATAAACAGCTTTACTTTCCTGTAAAAAAAGTATGTTGTATATAATAGGTGTGTCTACAGGCAAGTATATGCATATGTATGTGTGTAAATACATGTATATATGACCATATTCAAGCACCATGTAATACAGTATGTTAATACATACAAAAATTAATATACTTTTTTAAGTCTTGTTAATTGCTGATCAAATTTTACTTATTTGCTAGTCATTTGTATAATGGGAGGTTATGACTTTGTACCTCAATGATGTACACGTGTCACTCACCTGCTCCAAATTTCAGTGCCAACTGTGCCAACACATCATGAATATGTACATTTTTAAACATGCTGATTGGTCTGTTACATCAATTGCAGACAGAGCTTTAGGTTTGCTGCACTAACATCTGTCCCCATACAAGGCTTATGACATAACTGAAAGAAAGAATAGTGTCACTTAGAGCTGGGCAGTTACCTGTGTGGTCACTGTGTTCCTTCTTGATCGGGATTCTCCTTCCCAGCAAGAATTTCAAATGATAAGCGTGTGTCGTAGTAAAAATGACTCTTACTATTTCCCTATGCTGGAGAGAAATGCTTTCTCCACCATGGCATGATGATAATTCTTTCATACTTTCTTCATCAGGGCATCCCACGATTTGTTCACCTGCCATTACAAAAGGGGAATAGTATGTTAATCATTAGGAGAAGACCAACTTCAAGATGTCCTTTTCAATTGCTTTTAGTAGAATTCTTAAGGAAATAAAATGAAGTCAAGTACTAACTTTGAGTAAGTCAGGCAGAGTAAAGTTTGGGAGAGACATTTCTAAGTGCTAACAAGATACAATTAGAAGGAATATATGAAAATTTTTATTTTTTAAAAAAAATCATGGCTTTTGGTAGAATCACAAAGTTGGACAAGCTCTTTAAGCCACTTTTAAACCAATTAACTGCTTGGTGAGCTGCTTTTCAACTCACATTTATGGGACAATCTTTGTAGATACCCACTTAGGGTGTGCGTTCATGTTTGTAAAGAACAACTGTTTTTATTTGCCTAATATTCAGCCGATTGAATGCCCTAAAACTCATTTGGGACACTGCACCTCTTCCACTCAGCATCATGTAATTTGAATGTGGTTCACAGGGTGACCTGGGATCCCAAATGATGGGCAATGCTAATACTGTATCCCCTTCTCCAATGAGGCTCGTTCTTGATGGACCATGCCCAGCACTAATCCAAAGGGACCATTTGTTCCAGTGGTTATATCATTTCAAACTGCATTAGGAAAGATCTGAACTCCCTCTGGAGCTGTGTTCATGTGGGTTTCTTTCTTTTCTTTTTTTTTTTTTTTTTTCTTTTTTTCCTTTTTCTTTTTTTAAAGATTTATTGATTTATTTATTTATACAAGAACTGGGGTACAGGCCAGATGCATGGGAGGGTGAGAGGATTCACCAGAGACAGAGTGGGGAGCAGAACAGGCAGACTGACAAAATACACAGCTGAGGGGAGCAGCGGGCACCGACAGGAGAGGTCTGCCGCGCCATGTGGGACTCTCGCCTGCCTGCCGGAATCAAACTAACACTGCAGAGGCTGCAGACAGCTTCACAGCGCTGTGCTCAACCACCTGCACCACCATGGGAGGCCATCACGAGGGTTTCTGAAGACCAACTCTGCTTCTGTTTGGGGAAAGCCGGCCAGCATGATGGCGCACACCCCACTACAGACCTGAGAGGTAGAGACATGTTTTCCTTTTTTGGTGACACACTATCAGCTGTGCATGAACACTGTTTTTCTTTAAGCTAGGCAAATAAGACTCCTTTTGTTGGGGGTTATAGGGTTAAAAACAAGTTCTAGCTTGCCCAGCAGACAAAGATGGGCTTTAATTCTGCTCCCTTTTGCAGTGAATTCAATAAATCTGCCTTTTCTGTCCCTCATTCTGTCTCTGGTGAATTCTTTCTTCCCCTGTAATACTGCTGTGGGGACCTGCAATGCCTTTTCCTTAAGACATGTTGAATTGGGATTCTCACTCTCAGTTGAAATATTCATTAAAAATCAGGCATCGTTCATCTTATTTTGAATATGGTGGTGATGGGGCTCAGAGGGCTAGATAATTTACAAAAACTATGCTACAGTCACATTCCAGAACTACATTTGGTCAGAGGACCCTGATCTCTTGCTGTGCACTAGACAAGCTTCTCTGGCTTCAGGAAATCGCAGAAGTGATCGCAATAATCATCATGCTCCATTTAATTCCACTGGTAAATGTCTTAACATAAAGGATGAAAACTTGAAATGCAGAATACTTTCAACAGAATCTACAAGCAAACTAAGGCAATCTTTTTGGTAGTAACAGGTAAGAATAAAACTCCTACAATCAAATGCAAGGAAAGCAAAGAAAGAGTTTGTTTTTTTGTGTCCATAATAACCAGCAAATATTAAAGCAATAGACTCACTCAAGTAATAGTGCTTCCATAGCAACCTGTCAACACATGTCTGCTTTTCAAAGTCTGCTGATGTGTGTATTCCGTGCTGCTCCAAGCCCATGAAAGATTAGCAGATTTTTGGTCAAGAGACTGCACACTCTAAATGATATTTCCTTGCCTGGCCAGAAATACATTCCCAGTTTTGACTTATATTGAGTAATGGTGTCTTATTAACAACAGAGGGAAAGTATATTCACCTGTCATGTAATCTAGAGATATTGACAACCGACGTGGTTTAACAACTGATACTGCAAATTAAATGTATGCTTCTGCACACAAATGAGCCAAATATTGACATCAGGAAAGGAAAACTCACCTTTGATGAAGGAGGCTGAGGCTGCTTTAGCCATTATCTGTCTGGTTGTTTTGTCCAGAGGTGCATATGCAATGATAAAGTCAGAGTCACTAAATGAATCTACCTGTCCCAGGTCTATGGTTGGCCTCTGAGAAAAATAATTAACATGATGACTCCCGGGAATTAAGTACAAAATAAACAGTAGGAGCAACGTGAAGAACCATTCCTACAGGATCCAAAAGAAAGAATAAAAAGAATAGTTATTCCAATCAGTCATCCACAAACATTTGCTCCTATAATTTGTTGTACCTTTTTTTCTCCCTAAATTCAATATATCCCAGATTATGAATTGTTGAAAAATATATACAATGAAGAATTCAGCAATCTGAGTAATCCCGATGGGCTATTAAAAGAAATTCAATGGTAATAATCCATGAGACAGTCTACAGCATGCATTCATTATAATAATATGAAAGGCAACAGCACCCTTCTGTTATAAATTATCAGCTGGTGTTACAGTGAAGGCTTATGCAAGCTGGACTTGATTCAGCTGAAGGCCAGTGTGTTACGACATACATTTTGGGTCATTGCTCACTTAGTGATAATATATTGTTTGCATGACAAGATTCTGGTATCAGAAACTCAACAGAATGCAGGTGACCTGATAAACACTGTCTTGGTCAATTATCAGTATTCGTCATTTGTAAACTTCTAACCAGAAATCACTTTATTTCCTCAATGTCTGACTGTAGAAAAAAACTCATATTAAATTTCAATTTAGTTAAATATGTTACTGAGTGACACACACACACACACACACACACATATTTGATTATAAAAAGCTACTAAAGATGAACCAGAATTTTTGTTAAATGGTAAGGTTACAAGAACTAATGATAACTTTCCTCTTGGTACTGGAAACATTCCCAATGTTTCTTTTTTTTTTTTTTTTTACTATTTTTGAAGAGAATGATTTTGTTTTTATAAAGGGAAAGATATAAAAGTGAAAACCTTAGTTACTCTTTCTGTGAGTTAATTTGTTTAGCATGTCTTCAGAAAACCAGTATTTAACCTGAGATCCATGAGTGGGAACAATTAGTAAAAAAGTATGACCATTGGCTTTGAGAACATTTATTGGATTCTGTATTTCTCACTAGCTCACGGCTTTTAAATCTCAATCAAAATGCTTTCAGGTTTATTTGTGGTTGAGGAACTCCTTCTGTTGTATAAAGGTCTTTATTTTTTTGGAGGGTAGAAAAACAAGCCACAGATACTTCCCAAGAGATCTATTTTCTGATCATAAGTACGCAGTGACCCAGAAGTAGATACATACTGTGAAAAGCTCTCTTTTCTTTCTCCATTTTTTCAAAAAGTTCTTGCAGAGTAATGCCCAAGTTTGATGACACACACTTATCTCTCTCTTTCTCATTTCCCCTTGTTTAATAAGGAATAAAAGGAGAAAAAAAAGTAAATGTGAAGGTCTTAATAAGAGTCTGCAAACACATGAAATAAGACAATTCTCTGAGAACTCAGCTTTCCAAATGAGAACTTAGAATCCGAGGGCCCCAAAATGAGCAGTTCATTGCTCCCCTGCTCTTCCCACCCCTCAACTTCCAAATTCCACACCTCCTTATTTTTTCTTTGTTGTACACTGTGTCAGTTATCAATTTATTGTTTCTCAGATACAACCTCATATTTCACAGCATTATGAAAATAGATCCGGCCCTTTTAATACTATGATGAAAAACTTTTTCCTACTCCAGTAGAAAGGACTGGAGAGAAATAGCAGGCCGAAGAGGTTCTTTCTCCTGCATCAGTGGGGTTCATTTGCCTGGTTCTTTGAGAATGTATTTTTTTCCCCACTGCTTTGACTAGATGCTTTTTCCACTGCAAAATGCCTGAAAATTGCTGGTTTCACTGTTTTCTCCAGCTCTTGACTTAGGGAACAAGGGTGTGTCTGGGAGCCTCAGACCGCAAGAGTGTCTCCCCCAGAGCTGTCTCATTCAGTTCTCCTATTGCAAAAACAGTGCATTCCAGTCCATATGCTAAAAACATTGGGGCTTCCCTGCCATTCTGGGGGGCTGCCAACACACCCCATCAATCTCACCTTATTCAACACCTTTTCCCCTCATAAAAGTCTGTTCTTCCTTCAGCCTTACGATGCCCTTTTCTTCTCCCAGTCCTTATTCAGTTATTCTTCTACTATCGCTTACTAATTCTCTCTCTTAAATCCTCCCGTAAGTGACTGTGGTTTCCTCTGCGGTCACCCAGACCAATGCACACATGCACCCCTGTTAGCCTCAGTAAACACATCCTTGCATATCTAAAATAAATGATCATCTTAAACATTAATTTATGAAAATTCAGTGGAATCTCTGTTATTTCTAGCAGAAGTCCTTGCACTCTGTAGTGATTTCTTAGGTAAATACTGTAATGTTTTCTTTCCCCATTGGGAAAAAACCCTTATTTTTCACTTTCGTTCTATGAAAATTTATAATGTTGAGATAGAAAAATCGCCAGAGTTTAGAACTCGGCAGATTGTAAGAGGGAGTATATTCTAGAATATTCATATCCCTCTATCTATCCTTCCATTCATCTGTCTGTCTACTATCTATCTACATATGTTTATCATTTATCTGTTCATCTATCTAACTATTCTTCCAAATCATAATGCATAAAGTCTCAAGAAAATGTTGCTAACTTCCTAACAACAGAAATCCAGATGGTTTATAGCTTCTTGAGGCTACCAAAGAGCTGAGGTCACAAGGAAACCAGGAGACCTGACTTCCAGAAAGTAAAAGCCTCCTTCCATGCATGATGGGGCCCAATAACCATAGTAGTTTCTGGCTTCTCAGAATGTTTTAAGGGAAGGAGGTGTAAGCCTCCTGGAGAAGCTTCTCAGCCTTTTACAAAGACCTGCTGTTGCCTCTTGGGTATGGTCTGAAGCAACAGCCACTACTCCTGGCCCAGAGACAATCCGTCCATCCCCCACACCCAGGCACACTGACACTGTGGCTAAGGGGTAGGTAGAGGCAAACAGTCATCTTCCCCAGAAAAGGGCAAACACACCACCTTCCCTAGAACTAAGCCTTCCCCCTTGGAAACAGCAGTGGCATCTGCCATTGAGAATGGGCTGGAACCCTTCCCGCCACTCCCCCAGAACAAAGTTGCTGCTGAGGTGTGCTGTGAGGACCTGGTGTTGATATGAAGCACAGATAGGCCACGGCTGAAGGAGAGAGGAAGCTCTCACCTCCCATGACCGGCAACAGATAGAGGAGGGCAGGTGGCATGATAAACCAGGAAAGTCTAAAAAGATGGAAATGGCACCAAATGATTTTCAGGTGGCGATGGTAAAAAAACTAAAAACTAGAAAATTTACAAATATGTAGAAACTAAACAACGTAATCTTGAACCACTATTGAGTTAAAGAAGAAATCAAAGATGCACCAGTCACCCCAGTTTTAAGAAGCCTAGTGTCAGCCGATAACCATGCAGAGGAGGAGCAAACCTATCCAAGTCCAGCAGTGCCCCTGAGACAGGCACCAGGCACCGCCAAAGGCTGTGTGGATTTTCTGTCGGTGTGAGATGTAAACACAGCGACAGGCCCAGCTGTGTCCCCTCCGCCTGACTCTTCAGCTTCTGCTACACTAATGTTTCTCTTCTTTCGGGGACTTTTCATTTTTGAGTTCGAACTTGGTCATATGATCAGAGGAATGATTGCTCTGGAAGATACTGCTTCTCTGAACTATTTGAGACAGTTACACTAAATTTAACAGAAAATGTAATTTCTTTCACACAAAAAAGTCTGTGATTTCCTTCCATCATCCATCATGATGCCGAAGTCACATAAGCCTAGTATGTAATCACGACATCCACAATACATCAGAAACCTTTCGATTATGCATGTACAATAAATAATACAATGAGAGCGCAAGAGAAAATGTACCAGGTTGTTAGAAAGGGTCGGAGACTCAGAGAAGGATCAGCAAAAGCTATTGTGCGTGAGTTGGTAAGCTGTAGAAAAAAGCACTATTGTGATAGCAATTTCACTCAGCTATCAAAGCATACATAAATTACATTTATTTTTATCACCCATTGCTAACTAGACATGCAATGGATTTTCCAGGCTAGTGTGGTGTGGGGAGTTTTTGATAGATTTGAGTTTGTGCTTAAGATAGAAGGTAGAAATGTATTCAGTCCAACATGATGGGCTTGGATAGGGATGAACTGGATTAAGAACCCAGCACCCTTTGGCTTGAGTGTAGGCCAGTTCATGGTGAAAGTATCCCCTGGACTTTACCTAGAATTGCCTGCAGAGAGCAGCATTATCCCTCTGTCGTTGTACCAAGAACCAGAAACCAGACAATCAGAAAGCAGTGTCTCCTACCCAGGAGTTAGCCCATTCAACCTTGAGCTGTGTGTGTGTGTGTGTGTGTGTGTGTGTGTGTGTGTGTAGGATTAGGTTACTCCTTTCTCTCTCTATTTTTCTGTTGCAGTAGGAACCCAGAATACCTCCCAGAAAGAGATGCTTTTGTGCATAACCAAAACACTACATCTTTCCATAATCCTAATAAGCCAATACTACACAACTCCTGGAAACCATGGGACTTGAGTGCACTCAAAAGGTCTTCACTGCAGAGCAAAAAAGTGTTTGTGAACCAAGTTAAAGAAAGTTAAGAGATCCTGGAGCAATCATGGTCCCCTGGGAAGCATGCCAGGGAGGTGACTTGGAAGATGAGTCAGGACTTGGGGGCTTGCAGTTGGCAGTTGGCTTTTAAGTGGTGAATCTGGAGCAAGGGGTCAGGTCCCTGTACCTGAAGGTCAAGCTGGCCAGGGATAAGAAACCCCCTCGTGGCCTCAAACTCCTCCACAGCCATAAGGAGGGGGTGTGCCCTGCCTGGAGCAGCTGTTCTATTCCTGGAGAAGGATGATGCTCTGGGGGGTACTATTTCAGAGGAAAAACTCAGTTCTAATGTGCAGGGGTCAGCTCCAATGGGAGGCATGCTTGGCGGAGACAGCTTCCAAAAGTTATGCCAAAAGAAGAGGCTACCGAGGCTGCCTGATGAGGATGAGGTGAGAGTAGGTAGAAGCGGAGGAAGCACAGAGCTCATAAAGCCCATGAACAATATTTGGAGGATGGAAGGCGGTTCCCAGGAAAAGACATTAAGTCAGCGTGTCCCTACAAGGACTGGGGATCCCCACAGGTGGTCCCCAATACAGAGCATGCAGCATAGACACTTGGAAGGGGACTTAGCAAAGCAGGAAAATAACATCTCACTGTGGAATCAACCATGGCCCCGTGGAGCAGGGGAACTTCATTCTGGCTCCAAACCCTTATGGGTCCCGTCATGAATTAGCATTGCCTGCTTTCTTCCCCAGTTTCTGTCTGCTTGGAATCTATCAGGAGACCAAAGAGTACATGAACCCCCATTTCAACATGGAGTAGGTTCTACTTTTCCCCTCTCATCTGGTCATTCCACTGAAGACAAATGCAGACATCCTAGGAGCATGAAAGGTCTACTTATTGCAAAGCGTGTGATAACACTGAGGTAACACTGCGCTAAGAAGAGCTACATATTTCCCATTCTGATTCATCACTCAGTGTGCACAGAGCAAAAAGATCTTGGAATTCATCTTACATTCCCCAAATTCTTACATCATGAGCATGAGAGAAAGGGACAATAAAAGTATTTCTGTAAACATTCTTGGTAACCAGTCTCAAAGTCAGAACACGTTTTTCCAAAGTGCTCCTCCCCCAGATTATTGTGCAATAAATAACTATAACTTAAAGCACAATTCAGGTTTGCAAACCCATTCTCAGCATTCTTTTAGTTCTTCTCAGCTTATCAACAAATTTTAGCTTTTGCCTACAATTGGTTTCTGGCTTAAAACCACTTAATTGTTGCATAATTTCCCAAAATGTATGTTTTACCTCCATACTTATATTTATATTACATTTAAACCAAATATTCAAAAACATCAAAATAGTCAATTAATTTTCAAAATAATTTCCTTACTGATGGTTGGCATTGTGTTCCTGAAGCCTGATTTGTGACAAGAAAATGAGAAAAGTCCAAAGCAAAATGCACAAGACAAAACAGAAAAAAAAAAAAACTTACCTTTGAGAAATTAAAAGCAAGGAATCTAGAATCTAGAAACACAGTTACTCCACTGATCGCCTTATTTAGAAGAAAATAATTCACAATTTTTTTCCCCTGGGCTCTAGACTTTGCTGTTTGACATTTGGGAAAAAGTCGTTGTGAAGATGGTTTTCAGAAAAGTATGATCTCAGTCTATTGGCTCTTTCAAACCTCACGTTGATGTGATTACACTTGGCCGTTTGCTTTTTCATTGACATTCAGCCACATCCTGTGGGGCAGTGGTACTTATCCTTGGTAGCTTGGGGGCCATATATTCTAAAGAGCAACCAAATAGAGGAAATTCAACATCAGCAATTATAGCATAGTCCAATATTATCTTATGTCCAAGATGATTGTGGCTAATATCAACATTTAAAGCTGCCTTTAACCCTGAGACAGTAAACAGCTTCATCAGAGAAAGACTCTTCTCTCCACTCTACACATGATTGACATCATTGCTTGGAGACTCAGGATTTTTATTCCTGTGTGTCAATTTCATTCAGCTCAGAATATTTTCTGTTCTCCCCTGAGACATATGCCTCACTCTAGAAATCATTTAGATGTGTGTTGTTTAGTTTCCAAGTGTCTAGAGATTTTCCTGTTATCTTTTTGTTATTTCTAATTTTATTCTTTTATAGTCAGAAAATTGACTTTCATATCTCAAATCTGTTGAGACTTGTTTTATTCTTTAGGAAATAATCTATCTTGGCAAATATTTCCTGTGTGCTTGCAAACAGGAGGTTCTCCTGTTGCTGAGAATGATATTAGATAAGATTCACTGGCTCTAGTTGGGTGATGGTGTTCAGTTTTCTATATTTTGGCTGATTTTCAGCTTACCAGTTCTGCTGATTACTGAGACTGGGGTATTAAAGATTTTAACAAACATTAAGGGCTTTTCTATTCTATTTTTCTAATTTATTCAGAGAGACCTATTCTCAGATCTCTCTGGTGTTGCATCACGTCATTTGAAGCTGTGTTGTTAGGTGTATAAACATTGAGGACTGGCATGTCTTCTTGGTGAATTGACTTTGTCATTATGTAATGTCTGTCTTTATCCCTGGTAACTTTCTGAATCTAGTTTCTCTGATATTAATATACCTGTTCCCATGTGCTGTTAATAGATATTTTGATGGTACATTTTTCCATCTGTTTATTTTCAACTACCTCTTCCATTATTTTTGAAGTGAGCTTTTTTTAGACCGCTGGTAGCACAGCCATGTCTTTTTGATTGCAGTTGTAGCTTTTTAAATCCAGTCTGATAATGATGTCTTTTATTTGGTGTGTTTAAATGAGTTACACTGAATGTAGCTACTAATATGTTTGGATTCGGGTCTGCCATTTTGGTATTTGTTTTCTCTTTGTTATCTCTGGCTTTCATTCTTCTGTTTCCTGTGTTCTTTGGGGTTGAACTTTTTAAAATATTTCACTTTAATTGACCCATTTTTTAAACTATATATGTTTGTATCATTATTTTACAGATTGTTGAAGGGATTACAAATGACTCGCCTAACTTTGCACTGTCTACAGTCAATGATCAGTGAGTGGGTTTCATGCCAGGGGTTAACAATTCTAGGAATTTTGTGGTGCCCACGTCCCCAGTAGCTCCCCCTCCACTGGCATCTGGATTGAGAACACTTCCCTCCTTCTGGGATGGCTCAATCCCTAACAGAAATGATGGCCATCACTCTTCCAGGCGCCTCCTGGGTTGGGAAGTCACCTCAGAGCAAAAAGGTCACACACATGTCAAATAACATGTGTAAGAGCAGATTCCTGGTATGATTTACTTGTCACATGGTTAAAATACACAAATCCATTTGTTTATGTTCGAGAAAATAACAATTTCTTCCATTTTGCAGAATATATAACAGCTGATCTTAAAGGGAAGAAAATAGTGGTCGGAAGGTTTTTTCTCTGCACAAGCACCAATGTTTTAGCACTTTCAGCACAGCAGCAGGAAGCTATGGAAGGAAGAGAGGTTGCAAAATGAAAATACCTGGGAATTATAGAGCGAGACATAAAACACAGGTTTTAGAAGGCGCAGATAAACTCAGGAATCTCTTTCCTAAAACCATTGCAGCTTGCCTTAATGGAGCTGAATACCTATTTTAAAAAAATTTATTTTGTTATTTTGTCCAAAAATGTAATCTGAGTTACTGATTGAATACCTTTCTTGTGGACCAAAGTAGACTGGGACGGACAATTATTTTTAGCCTAACAGGCTAAAAATTCACAATCAACAGTGTCAGATCAGTACTGGGCAGTGCCAATCTAGGGAGACTGACAAATGACTACGGGACACAGAAAGTTGGGGTGCTCAAGTTAGTTATAGCCTGTACCTATGTAGAAACACAGTAAGAAGCAAATCATTTACTTATTGTCCATGTCTGAGCTTATCTTAGAAACTCATCTAATATTTATCTAAATATTTTATTATTTTATAATTTAAAGATATTTTATTACAACATAGTAAATATTCACATTTGAAATTAATTTTATATTTAAAAGGGGGAGATTAGACTTGCTTTCTCGTGTCTCAGCTAAGTTCCTTCAAGCTAAAGGAATTTGTAAGAAACAAAGACTAGTGTTAGCTTAAAAGATGTTCACCATTTTCCTGATTGTGTCTTGTGCTCCAGAGTTTTATGAATCTGACTCTGGTGCCAAGTAAATGTCACTGTCATGTTGAGAAAAATTATTCAGAGTTTAAGGGAAAAAATAATCTAGTATTTTAAACATGGATACCATGAGCATTTTAAAGGCAAAAAAAAAAAAGTAAGAAAATTTTAAATGTGAAATGAATTCAAGAAGCATCCTATGGAGTAAGTTATTATGTTGTGTTGATTACAGAAACATATAACACCTGAAGACTAATCAATCCGTGTACGGTTGACATTGCCAAATACTTGCTTGGTGGAAAGAAATCACCATGGTGACACTTTTTAGCAATAAAAGTTTTAGCTGCAAGCGTGAAGACTGAGCTTTTTGCAGAATGAAGCTTATGCCTTTCAGCCACATCCACAGACAAGGCAGGTCTTGCTGTTTCCCTGATGTTCATTTAGCACCAGTACTGACAGCTCAGGAAAACAGCTTTGTTGTTAAGGAGGATGCTTGGCAAGTGACAAGTGTGGCTGAAAAATTCAGTGTTGAATAACTCTTCTGAATCTCATGGCTTAACCTGGAACAATTATCTTAAAATCACACTTACAGTGCAAAAGCAATGGGAGTAAAAATATTGGTGCCTGAGAACATTTAATGAGCCCCACCAAACTCTCAGTAATCAGCACACTCTTCAAAACCACACATTTGCAGGTGAAAAAAAATCTGCTTGTTTTCTTCAAATGTGTCCTTTATGAAACAGTTAAAAGGACTCATTTTATTACAACCCAATCCTTAATCACATGCCATTTTTCATAGGCCGAATGATGGGGCAGAGCACACAGAAAGCCGTTGAGTTGCATGCTGAAGAATGACGATAGTTTCAAGGAAAAGTTCTTGTGCAATTGTTTGAGCTGAGCTGAAGTAAATGCTCTGTAACTGGAACTCCATTTTGATTTCGCAGGCCAACAGGTAGACATGGAATTTGACAGATGTTTTCTCAAAACCAAATGAAGGACTTCATGTTTGGAAACAGTTTCTCAAAACTAAGTGAAATAAATCACTTGAAGAAATACAACTCTGGTCTCCATTGCCTTTGATAAAATTAGATTGAGCACAAATCAGAATTTTGGAATTCTTGCCACTGAAGCCCTCCTTACTATTCTCCACAGCTCCACGGACAGTGTCTCTACGAGACCTTATATGTGACGTGTCAGTGCTATTTCCTCCATGAGATCATAATGCTTTCATGGTGAAGACCTACCTTTTTTTCTTTGCATTTGTCACACCGTCACACACTTAATACTTCTTTCTTTTCTCTTGGATATTTTTGTGATCCCTTCTCATCTTCAGGTCTCCTTTCAGATGTTGATCTCTTTGTAGAGTGATGTATAAGAAGTCTAGATAAGGGCTTCCTTTATTCTTGTCTCTAAACATTGACCAGCTCTTCTGGGCTTCCCCTCTGGGGTTGACAATATTAGCTCCTCACTAAAAGGCATATTTTTCTGTGGGAGGAAGGTAGTACTGGTGAGGGAGACAATAGTGCAGCAATACAGAACTGTTTTGGGGGAATTTAAGCCCTCAGTACTCAGAAAGCAGAAGTACAGCAGTAGACCAGCCCCATCCTCTGGCAAAAGCAGCAAATCACAAGCTTAGTACTTCCCACCTGTAGCAAAAACAGCATTTGCTGGGGGAGGGAGAGTTGGGAGTGCTTATAATTTGGTAGGCATATTAGTCAAGGCTCTCCAGAGAAACAGAACAATAGGAGAAATAGTTGATGATAGAGAGATGATAATAGATGGATGGACGGATGGACAGACAGATGGACAGACAGACCTGTGTTACCTGTGCTTCTGATCCACCATCTATGAATTGGAGACTCCAACAACCCCTCTGACTCAGGATGCCAATCCCAGTCCAGGTCGTTTTCCTGTACCTCTGAGCAACTGGCTCAAAATCAGTTTCTAAAACTCCTTCCTTCCTTGGATTCAATTAGTTTGCTAGAATAGTTCACAGAGAGAAACATGTCACTTAATAGATTACTGGTTTATTATAAAAAGGCATGATTCGGGGAGAGATGGAAGAAACACACAGGGCAAGGTGTGGGGAGGGGCCACACTCTCTGCGAGCATGCCCTTCTCCCTGGATCTCCATGTGCTCACCGACCAGGAAGCTCTCTGAACTCCTTCCATTTTCTTGCTTTTTTTGTGTGGCAGTTTTATAACACAGTCATTACTGATATGATCCTCAGCTCTTGATTCAGTCTCCACACATGCCTCTCACCCCTGATGCCTAAAGGAGGAAAGAAAAGTCCTAGCTCTGCTGGAAACTTAGTCACCATCTGAAGATTGGGGTCCAAAGTCATCTCATTAACATAACAAAAGACACCTTTATCTTTTTCATCCCTTAAAGAATTCCAAGTGTTGCGCCTCCCCTGTGACGCAGTGGGTTGAGTGCAGTGCTGTGAAGCTGTCTGCAGCCTCTGTACTCTGCGTGGGTTCGATTCCTGGCCAGCCAGGGTGATTTCCTCATGGCACAGCAGACCTCTCCTGTTGTGCCTGCTGGTCCACTCAGCAGTGTCTCTGGTGAATCCTCTCACCCTCCCACGCCCCTGGCCTGTACCCCAGCTCTTGTATAAAAATAAATGGGTCTTTAAAAAAAAAAAAATTCCAAATGTTTTAAGAGTTGTGTCAGAAATAGGGATAAAGACCAAATATTTACTTCTTATTATAAGTCATAATTATTACAACAGAAACACAAACACTCTCCCAGAAGTTTCAGAGCATAATCTTATATTTTAGCATGTGTCTGAGGGGTACCCAGGAACCCCAAACTATTAAGAGGTACATACCTTAATCCATCATCTGCTACACAAAGGCAATATGCATAAGAGAGAGAATAAAAGGATATTCCTAATAAAAGTTTCCTCCCCAAAGCCCCAAATTATCCATCTCCTCAAGAGCAAATGCCTAGCCAAACAAAGTTGGCCTGAAAATTTGCCATAAGTTTAAGACATCGTTAGGTGGGAAATAGCAAGAAGAGTTTTAGGCAGGTCTTAGAGAACTAGGACGAAAAGAGATGCCGTATCAAGACAACAGCTGCCATTGCCAGCCTCTCCATGTGTTTCTCACCACATGTCTCGTTCATGTGTCACTATATGTCTCCCCTCCACATGTCTCCTCCAAGTCCCAATCCCAATGGTAGCAGGGTGCAAGGTGGGCCACAGAAAAAAATAAAGAACCCTGAGCCCCCATGTGTTCAGTTATATACCAAGTAGAGCTGCTGAACTTCACCCCTAGTTCCCAGGAGCTCCCCTCACCTGGAAGTCTGGTTCATGGCATACTGGGACTTGTAATCCCAGGTGACTGCCTGTACATGGGGAAGAAAAATGGTGCCTGTTCACTGAGCCCCAATGCTCCTCACCTTTCTATGGAGCTGTATTCTATGTAGACATCACACCTTTTCATAGTCACAGTTGACAAATCCCATGCAAATATGATTTTCTGGGCCTTTCCTTAAAATTGTGGGAACTCACAGAAGGTCTGCTATATATACAACTTATGGCATTTGGGTACATGTTCTCTAATATTGATGTTTTTTCACTGATAACATTCACAAAAATGTTTTTATTGCCTCTACCTCACTCAAAATTTTGTATTTGAATTTTTTAGCTATTAATCCAACCTTTTTCTCTGCAGAATATAAATCAGCAAAGATTCATAAACAGTAAATTCATTATTTTTAAATATAATTTCTCCAAAGAGGATTGTCATTTGGTATGCAGGAATTCAATTGGTAATTGATAATACAGACAAGAAAGGGAAAAAAATAAGGATGAACATACTTTAGGGAAAAGTAATCTAGAAGCTCAGCTTACCTTAGCCCTAGTCTTATTACTTCCAGGAAAATTGTTCATATTTCTTCCTAGCCTCTACAACATCTCTGCATGGTAGTTATTTGCCTCATTAAGACTGTTTTCTGGAGGGAGATTGTGGCTGCAATCTTCTTAGCCTGAGAACACTGTGTTCACATGATCACTTTTAAACAAATTGCTTTTTTTATTGATGTCCAGCCAATTCCTGCCTCAGAAAAGCGCCAGCTGTGCTTGTTGGGCTGACTGTGCTTTATTAAAAAGAGTATCCTACAGAGGGAGTCTAGTATCTGTAAATATTATCTTCTATGTCTCAGAACAAAGTGGCTGCTTTCAAAATATAAAACATGATCTTTAAATATTAGGAAAGTAGAGCTCAGTGAGGGAAAAAACCTTTTCTTTTCTCTATTCAGTTCTGGAATTTCTGAAACTGTTGATCAGGTTTTCTAATCAGGTTTTGAACACTTTAAAAGAAAATTGTTGATTCTTCTTTCCTTATTTCCTTCATACTCCCTTTGCTCAAGACAAAAATGAATACCCAGGTCATCATTAAGTCTATTTATCAACTTTATTCACAAGTATATGCCAGACCATTCTCTGTCTCCCTACCCAATGCCACGACCCTACTCCAAACCTCTATTATCTCTCCATTAGTATTCTTATAATGGTCTCCTAAGGAATTCCCTTGCCTCCACTGACACCATACAATGTCATAACTTATATTTAATTTCACATAAATTAGAAATCAGTTCTCATCTTATAATGAATTTCTAAAAAAACAAGTCCATAAGAATTTATGATGCCCTGAAATAAAATAATCTCTAGTAAGCAAGTAATAGAATCTGTTATTTTCTGCATTTGCAAAATAAGCAAGTGATACTAGGACCTCTGAAAACATTTTCAGCTAAAACCTCTAAGATTATTTTGTATTGCTGGTTAACATGTTCTTCCCTATCTCAGGTGAGGGGTCAGTGTTGAGTAAGGAGATTTTCCCAGGTAAGGTGACATGTCTACCTCGACATTTACCTTTCAGATCAAGTCACTGACAAAAAGGCTTTTGCAAAGATAACTGGGAAAGTATGTAGAATACACAAAGAGGAGGGGCTTCCTTCTTCAGGTGTCCTGCTGACTCAGCACGCACCATTATGTGTTGTGTTCATTCTCTCCTCTCACAGAGACAACCAACAGATATTCTGGTGCAGCCTGTTACTGAAGTCCATGCTCTTTTGAAAATATTCATGAGCTTCAAAACAGAAGCGGCTCCATTGTCTACAACTATTTTCTATTCATTATTTTCCATTTTCCATGCCTAAGAACCTATATGAGCTTCTCAAATTTTTTATTTGCATAAACTAGGAAGATGCCAGGAGCAATAAACCAAAGTAAGAGTTTTTCAGACAATTTTCCTCTGAAGTTTGATTAGCTAGTGAGTTAGTCTGGTAGGGGTGTCATAGCAATGTATGTACTTGGTGGTTTAAATTACATGAACTTATTTGTGCCATCATTCTAGAGACTGGAAGTTCTAGCTCAGGGTGCGAGGAAGATGGTCTGGTAAGGATGCTCTTCCAACTTGTAGATGGTTCTCTGTGCTGTGTCCTCACCTGACCTCTTTCCTGTATGTGTGCAGAAAAGATGGCGTCTCTTTCTCTTCTCATAAAGACACCAGTGCTATTCAATTCAGGTCCTACCCTTTTAACTTCATTTAAGCTGTTATCTCCTTAAAGCCTCAGTCTTTAAATATAGCCACATTGGAGGTTAGGGCTTTAAAATATGAACTGGGAATATGGGGAGTCTTGTTGGGGGAGACACAATTCACTGCATCAGTGTTAGCAAAAATAATAGTAGCAACAGCAGCAAGAAACACTCACCTAAATAAGCCTGTACAAGTATATTGCATTGATTTCAAGGGGCTTGTGGTCACCAGTTGCAATGGTCTTAACATATAAAGATATGGGAAATTAAGATCGATGATGTTTTAGTACTTTTATGTGAGGGTAGACCTTGTATCATAAGAGCATATAAAATCAGAGACATGCTTCAAAATTGTATGTAAGATATGTATTTTAAAATTTCCATCAAATCAATAATTCAAATTCTGGCTGCAATGATTAACTTTAACAGATTTCAAATCTCCTTTATGGTCATGAGAGAGAAAAACTGTACTGTACAGTGTAAAATCTGAAAAATGACAGAAAAGAATAATCAACAAATTACAAAAAGCTAACACTTTGCTGCTGTGTGATCAATTGAGTCCCTTCCTTCAACATCACATTGTACCTTATTTTGTACTTTAATACATCAAAAAGATCAGAAAGTAATCAACATTTTGAAGTTCACAGAAAGAAAATTAAACTATCTCTGTATCACTCTCAAAAGCATGAACAATCCTATAATAAATGCATTTTTAACTTACTGAACCCTGGGGTTTGGTTGCTAGTCCAGAGGCTGTGTGTCTGGGCTCTCCCTGATCTGATGCCACATTCCTATAACAAGTAAGATTACTGAGAAATATGATGACATGAGTTTCAGTAGTGTTTGGTACCACGTCTGAGATAAGGTGTATTAATTCTATAAAACAGCATCTTTTAAAAAGTCACGAACTTAAAGAGTAACAGGGTATTTGGGGCTTCAGGGCTCTTCCTGTGGGAGAAGCTTCCACTTCACTGAAGGGTGAAGTTCTTCATCAAAATCATCCAGCTCCTGCTCTTTGGAGAGCTCCAGGAACACCTGGTCAGGAGTGGGGGGTAAGAAACAAAGACAGCGAAGTCAACCTACCTCCTGCAGATCCATGTGCGTGCAAAGCAGAGTTACATACTATATTCATGGATAGTCCATGGATATTCCATGCAGGATGTAACACCACTGAAAATGACCCACCTGCTCCAGCGTGGACTGCGAGAGGCTGTACTCCTCCAGGTCGAAGCTCTGCTTCACTGCATAAAGGTAGACACATGTCAGGGGCATGCACACTTTCTATTCAGAGAGTTTTACCAACCATGTACCAAAAGAATATACAAATAGACTTTAAATATAAAATATAAAGTCATAAATACCCCCGGACTAAATATGGGGATGCAAATTCACTAGAGTCCTGTAACAGGGTTGTAAAACCCCATTGTCTGAGTTTGGGCAGAGGCACCACAAGGACACCAACTGTGTCCCTAAATTCAAGGCCACCTCTTCTGTCAAGCTGGCACATTCGATGTAGCCCAAGTCCCCATCACTGTTTTCTCTCCTAGTTGCTTTGGAACTAATGTTGGTAACAGTCTGTGCTTTCTAGCCTCAGGCCATTTGCAGGGCTCCAAAACCTAAGTATCTTCAGTATTCTCTTCCAGTTTATAGTCTCTTGTAATTGTGGACTATGACTATGACCCTAAACTTGCAAAATAAAAGGGAGATAATAAATAGAAAGGGGGGCCTGGAAAGCAAAGGTCTGCCTGGACAGTTACCAGCTTGCTGTGACACCCTCTTTCCTGCCTCCATGAACAGAGACAAGGTGAGGGTGGCCTGCGATTCGGACCATGAGGGCTGGTCCTTGACTCATGTCGGGAACATGCAAAGAAATGCTGTGGGTGGCAGGTGGCCCTGCACATTCAGGGGAAACAAGAATGTTGTGTGTTTCTCATGGACTTCAAAGGGCAGGTATCCTAAAAGGATCTCCTGGAAAGGTGAAGGGATTCCAAGGCAGGAGCCCAGGGGTTGCAGGAGGCTCACAAGACACCCAAAGAAGCATCCTCACCAGGCCTGGGAGGCTGGAGTTAGTGGTCATAAATCAGAAAGAAGAAGGAGTCTTCAAGGAACCCACAAAAGCACCCCATAAAGGAAGGGTCAGCAATGGTTCATGTCCACACAGTTGACTATGGTACAGTTTTAATAATCAAATCAAGCTTCCTTCCCCTTATAAGCCTTATCCTCCACCCTATAGAAACCCCAAACCTCAGTTTATGAAAAGGGAACAAAGAAAGAGGAGAGGTAAAATGAACCACCCCACTTTCAAGCTTCAGGGCTCCAAAACCTAAGTTTTGTCTGACCTGGAGGAGCATGAGAGTCTAGATTTTTGTTGCAGCTTGCATCAGTCAGAAGTGACCTGGTTGTAAGGCAGAACAGTTGATGGAGCCAGACAAAGGATTAGTCAGGGGTCATGTGTTCTGCCTGCCGACTGCTGGGCTTAGCTTAGTAAATAAATATAATACAGCTGAGAATGTCACTGTGTCTAAGCTAACATATGAAGAAAAAAATGCTAGCTTGCATCTCCATATTTTATACTCTGTATAATCTTCACAGAAGGGAGCAGGAAACACCCTAATTTTTCTCCCTCAATGAGAACTTCTGATTTAGCAAATTTAACACAGAAGAATTCAGAAATGGGAGGCAACATTTTTGAACTCAGAAATATAAGAAGTCTCTTATGTATTCTAGGAAGGCAGCCATCCTGGAATATCTCCCTCCCTGCTCTAAATGAGTTATAAAACTCTTCCTGCTGATCAGAGCCTGTATTCTTCCCATTTGGAAGACATAAATGTGGTCACTGGGTCAAAGTGGTCAGTGTGGAAAAATGACCAGCAGGATGTGAGAGTGAAAAGGAAACCCATTAAGGAGGATCCTAGCCTTGTCTCAAGGAGAAACATCTATTTAAAGACTCACATGCCTGGAGTCTGGAATGGCAGGCAATAGCAAGAGAGGAACAGTCCAGAAAGAGAGGGAGGGAGTTCAGCTCTTCATCAGATGTCATACAATGATGTCACAGGCAAAAACCGAGTCCAGGGTAGACTGACGCAATATGTTAAGACCAAAAGCTAGAGAAGGATTATGGCTTATCCTGCCTTAACAAAGAAGCCCTCCTAGTGAGGATCTACTGCCATCTAAGAGTACACAGAGACATAAACATCTTCTTCCTGTTTGCATGAATTTGGCTCCAAATTCAATAGTCTCTGCTTCCCATAGCCTCACTCATCTAGGGCAGGATTTCTCAACCTTGGCAGGAAGTCTGATCATCCTTTGTTGTGGGAGAGGCTGATCTGTGCACTGTAATGTGTTTGGCAGCAAATCTGGCCTTGACGTACTAGATACAAGCTGCTTCCCACAACCCCATCCCCAGCTGTGACAATCAAAGATATGGCCAGATATTGCCAAATCACACCTGGTTGAGAACCACCGATTAAAAGTCTTGATAATTTACTCACAGTATAATACCACAGCTCTGTCTTCATGCACTTTTTACACTGTTTTAACTGTATCTGTTTCCCAAGGTCTTCTCTTACCTATCTCTAATTTGAAGAAAGCTTGAGATAAAGGTTGCACATCCTCAACAGGCAACTTATAGACCATCAGGGAGGAGTATCTGTAAGGAACAGAGTAAAGAATCTGAGCTCCAAGTTTCAATCACAGCCTGTCGTATATATCGCTCTTACAATGATCTTGAGGTTACCCAACACAGTCAGGTGTGTGTGTCCAACTGCAGTTAAGACTGAATCACCAGGGCCTCCCTGGTGGCCTAGGGGTTAACTCTCAATGCTATCATGGCCTGAGTTCGATCCCTGGCCAGGTAGCTGACCCACATGGTGCAGCAGACCTCTCCTGTCTCTCCCGCTGCTCCCTTCAGCAGTGTATTTCAGTAGATCTGCCTGTTCTGCTCCCCACTCTGTCTCTGGTGAATACTCTCCCCCCACCCCACCCCCCACCCATCTCCAGCTATACCCAAGTTCTTCCTGCCCAAAAATAAATAAATGAAATCTTAAAAAAAAAAAAAGATTGAATTGCTGAGGCATAGGTGCTTTGAGCAGGGAAAATGTATTTCAGTTGGTACCAACCAGATTAGCGTGATAGTCTTCCAAGCTTTGCTATGAGGTTTTTTTTAATATTTCCTTTTGGCTGCCAATTGAATTATATCATTATAGCATGGATTATAACATGGATTCCTCCCTCCCGCAGTAAATTTGTATTGTGGTTACATGCATTTGGCTTGCATCGTGAGTGAAATCTTCCTGCACATGGAAGTTCTCACTCTCAAGATCCCAAGCCTGATAAAACACAACCACAAAAAAGGAACAACCCCGTCCTTAGTTCCTTTAAATGCAATTATCTGTGCAGCCTTGGAGAAGCAGCGTGTGAACGCTCTTTCCCTCTAGTAGTGTCCTCTACTATGGCAGATACTCTAGAAGGCCCTTGAGAAAAGTCTCCTTTTTACTCTAGAGGGAAATTTAACTATTTTCCTGCCTACACACTTTTTTTTTTAAAAAAGATTTATTTATTTATGCATGCAAGAACTGGGGTACAGGTCAGAGGCGTGTGGGGGTGAGAGGATTTACCAGAGACAGAGGTAGGAACAGAACAGGCAGACTGACTGAAATACACTGCCGAGGGGAGCAGTGGGAGAGTCAGGAGAGGTCTGCTGTGCCATGCGGGTTGCTTCTTGGCTGGGGATCGAACTTGTGATTCAGTGGCTGCGGATAGCTTCATAGGTTGCATCTTAACCCCTTGCGCCACCACTCACTTTGAAGGGTAGAGAAAGATTAGCTTCCTCCCCAACAGCTTGTTTTCTAGTAACTAAGTACTCTTATCATAGAGTTAAAAAGATAGGCAGATAAAGCTTTTGTTTCTCACTATTATGGAAAAGCATAAAAATGGCCAAGATGAAAACAACCAACACCTCACTTTACCTTTGCTGCCGAGCAGCCTGGGGGAAAAGCCTCAGAATTTCATTGTGGAGAGGCTCCACTTGCTCAGGCGTCTTCACCTTCATCTCCAGCAGATAATCCTTGCCAAATTTGCTTTTCAGGTGTTGGATGGAACCAATACATCTGCAGGCAGCAAATTGAGGTTAAGCAAGAAAAAGGAGCGAGAAATCTATCATGGATGATTTTCAGCTGAAACAGCCAGCTACACCAATGCTCACAGAGACATCCCTATGCAGGACAAGGACTTGTTCAGGGCGGGCCAGGGGTTCAAGGGTGGGCATGGATGGGCACCCACCTCAGCCTTCCAGACACCATGATGGCCACGCGGTCACACACGGCTTCAGCCTCTGTCATGTAATGGGTGGTGAGGAGGGCACCCTTCTCTGTGTTCCCGAAGGTGGCTCGGATGGCCTGCCTAGTCAGGGCGAGGAAATGTTAACTAGTGGGATGTTCAAGGTCACACATATACACATATGCTTTATATATATATATATATATATATATATATATATATATATATAAAGCTATCAGTGTAGACCAGAAATAGAAAGGGCTTTTGGAGGGACAGCAGGTGTGAAATAACCAAACTCTTGGTTAGAATGTACAATTCATAGCATGACTTGAACAGAATGTAGAGAATGATACTGGGTAAGAGGATGTTTTGAAGAAGACTCGATTGCTGAAAAATCAAAAACAGTTATCAGAAACAGAAACAGTCCTAGGGGAAAAGACAGGAAATGAGGAAAACTTATTTAAAAGCATAATAATAATGACAAATTCCCTAAAGTACAAAATGATAGATTTCAGAATATTTTTAAAATAGTGAAAGAATTATTGAGGATTTGGAATTTTTTTCCTCCATAAGAATTGTATGTCAGGTGATGTTGCAGGAAGATTTAAAGCTTAATAATAGATTTGGTTAAATATAAAAAAAGAGCCCTGAAGATCCAAGATAAATGTAAGATTCTTAGATTATTAAGTCGTTAGATCTTTTTCTCCTTAGCAAAAACTAGCTGTGATAAGACATCTGATTTCCCCATTAACATTGCTTTCCTTAAATGTGGATATCTTTCATTTTACAAATAACTACATTTCTGATGGTCAGTTGTTACAGGGATTATAAATTCACTTAGATTTACTCATGACCCCTCACCACATTTGCTGCTGCCCCTCGGGGTCCATTCCTGTGGACGGCTCATCCAGAAGCACCACCGACGGGTTTCCCAGGATGCTCAGTGCAAAGCACAGCTAGAATGAGAGGAACAGTGTCTGGAACAGCCTAGATCTGTGGGTGCACAGAGGAACCCAGGGCCCCGTACTACCTTTCTCTTTATCCCCTCGGATAAGGTCTTCACAGGAAGCTTCAGCTGCTCCTGCAGCTTGAGCGCCTCCACCAACCTAGAGGAAATTGTGAGTCAATTCACTTTTCCCGGCACAACAGGGAAGGCATGTGGGAGGATGGGCGGATCAGAGCAAACACTACAGTAGAGACATATTAAAGAGTGTGTTCAGGGCCTCCCCGGTGGCACAGTGGTTAAGTGCTGGGCTGCGAAGCTGCCTGCAGCCTCTGAAGCGCCGGTGTGATCCCTGACCAATGGCGAGGGTCCCACATGGCAGGCAGACCTCTCCTGCCTCGCCCGCTGCTCCCCTCAGCAGTGTATTTCGTCAGTCTGCCTGTTCTGCTCCCCGCTCTGGCTCTGGTGAATCCTCTCACCCTCCCGCACTTCTGACTGTACCCAGTGCTTGTATAAATAAATCTTTAAAAATAAAAAAAAGTGTGATCAGAGTGATCCTAAGATTAAAACTACTTAGGATACTTTATGAACCTTTCAGGGTACTCAAACATATTTTCAATGACTTCTTTTCATATTAAGAGCAAGCAATAAACTTTCTCTATAGGCTTAAAGTGAAAGATGACCAAGTCTCCCCAAGATGAAGAGGTCAGAGTCTCCCTTCCTTCATTTTATGGATATGCCATTACTGTTACACACCCCTGCCCCCCCCCCATAGAGAAGACATGGTCCCCTGCATACCTAGCAATGGCCACGGTGGCGTCCGCCTTCCTCAGCCCTTTGACAGCGGCAAACACCTCCAGGTGCTCCTTCACCGTCAGGTTGGGCCACAGTGCGTTCTCCTGTGGGCAGTACCCCAGGAACCCCAGGGGCTCCCCTCCACTGCTCCCTTTTAAAATCACCTACACCAAAAGTTCATCCTCACATTCTGTCCAAAACTGTGTGGTGTTTGTGCACACAGTATGTGTATTTCAACAATTTCCTCCTCTTACACACATGAGTGATAAAAATACAAAAGTAAACAAGAAACCACTGAGCTCTGGAGCTCTGGAGGAGAGACAACATAAACTCAAATGCAAAGCTAGTCCACCATTATAGTTTAGATCTTGTCAGTTCCCTCATGGGTTGAATGCAAGTTTGCTTATTTAGCTACCTATTGTTTATCTTCAAACATTCAAAGGATAGATGCTTGTTGAGGAGTCTGTCTCTCCAATGTTAAAATAGTTATAGAGTCTGTCTAATGAGTTTTTTGTGAGGATTAAATAAACTAGTGGTCCTTGGGGATGATCCTCTAGACAAAGTGTCCAGGGACATTTCTGCTTGTCACAGAAGGTGACAGTTCAGGAAGGCCAGGGATACTGCTGTACTTCCTGAGACACATAGGACCGTACCTCACAATAAAGGTAATCCAGTGCAAAATGTCACTAGTGCAAATCTTGAGGAACCCTGAACTAAGGTAGTCAACAAAAAGCTCTAAGCACTAGTATGGCACATATAAGCCAGTAAACACGTGATAACATACATCATTTTTTGAACCAATAATATGCTTATAACATGTTATATAACAACAGACTATGTGCTCATAATGTGCTAGTGGCAATAATACTAGGTAATGTGTACCAGTGTTTGCTCCGTGTCCAAATGTAAATATTTTATGTTTGAATTACTTTGTTTTCAGAAAAATCCCATATGAGTTAGGCATGAGTTTTATCACCCCTGATTTATTATTTGAGAAAGCTGATGTCTGTAGAGGTTTAGAAACTTATAAGAAGTCACACAAAGTAAGCCTGGGAGTGCAAATACAAGCCCTTGACCTTGATATAATATTCTGTCCCTGGTACAAAGGAGGAGAGAGCTAGTTAACCTCATAGGGCTTTCCATTCAGAGAGAGAAATAGAAAATAAACAAGGAATGAATAAACAAACAATTACTGATAGTCCTTGCTTAATGCTTTCAAGGACATAGATGCATTAAAGAATAAAAGGGGATCATCATGTTCTATTCTATTTTTTTTGGAATTTAAGCAATTATTATTTTTTTCTCTCATCTGTAATCTCTATATTCTTAATTCATCCTGGAGCAGCATGACTGTTGTGCTTCAAGAATGTCAATGTGTCTACAGTAATACCCTCTGTTGCTCAATTTATCTACAGTTACCAGCCAAACTATCATACCAACTGGGCCAGGAGATGCCTCAACAATTGTTAGAGACTTGCTCTTGCAAGTCTTGCTCTCAGAAAAGACCTGTGAAGTTTTACTTGCTAATGGGCTCTCATTGTTACACAAGTCATCTAGAATTTTTAGTTGTGGCATATTAAAGATGAAGATTTATATCTTACACAGGCTGAACTTGTCATTATTCTAACAGTGGTTTCTGACGTGATGCTGGATAAAGCAATGTAAGTCAGCAAGTTCTCAGAATACACTAGTCAACACAGCAGAGGTCTCAGAATATCTGTCTTCTTTTAAGTTATTAAAGGGTAGTAGAGATAATTTGTAACCCTTTTAATATCTATTTTTGGAATTAATGAGGGGAATTTTTGATTAATCTTCATTTGATACATAAATTGCACTGATTAATAAAAAGGATCATCTATATATGTAATTTTTGGCTTGTCATAATATTCATTGTGAAACATTTTTTCTAGGCAACACTACTGACCATATTTCTGTGGCTTTTACTCACCTGCCCCGCAGTTGGCTTGGCGGCTCCGGTTATCATCTTAATAATGGTACTTTTACCAGCTCCATTGTGTCCTAAGAGACCTATAACTTCACCTGAGAGAAAAGAGAATTACAACTGTAAACAATTACAATAAAAAGTAAATAAGTACTATTTGAAGATTCACTACATGTCAAGTTCTATGTCAAAAGTGCTGTATACAATAATTCACTTATTCTTCAAGCACACACCAACCTTCATTTTACAGGCAAGGAAATGGAGCCATAAAGAGTATGAATAACTTCCCCAAGGTCCTGCAGCCAGTAAGAGGTTGAACTGGAAATTTGTAAGAAATTTTGATTCCCAAGGCTGCTGCAGTTAACCAATGCTCCCAGAAAATGTGCTTTGCTGGAAATGAAGAAATGCCACTATGTGCCAACATGTTCCCTTGTCATGTTATGAATTAACTGTATTACTTAAAAAATCATACTACTTAAAAAAATTTTATCACTTAAAAACATGTTACTTAACAAAGACCATCTTCTTGTTTGCTTGTATTAGCAGAACAGACATAACTGTCTTCCTAGGCAAAGGAAAGCATTGTTATAATGATGACTGAAGCCCTCAAGTTGCATCTTCAACCTGAGGCTGATAAAACATTGGCTGCTTTTCCTGTTTGTCAATACAGTGCCCCAGATTCAGATGGTGTTCCCTTCAAAAGACCTCATCTTCAGAGGTCAAGGTCATTCTGCTTATGGAAGTATGGCTTCCAATTTTTCTTTTGTTAATATTTATTATATATATATATACACACACATATATATACACATTATTGTTCATTTTTGTGCAATGTCTGATTTCTCCTCTCAGGTGTAGTCCCCATAGCATTCCCACTACCAAGTCGCCAGTGAAACCATCACCATATTCTCTTGTGCTCTTTTTGCCCCTGTTTTAATCCCTCTCCCTACCCCTCCCCTGCTAAATGTCTCTGATTTATAGTTGCCCAGTAGTTTTTCTCTCTCTTTTATTTTTCCCTGATTCCTTTATTTGGTTCCCCTATATTCCTCCTATAAGTGATACCATTTGGATTTTTCTTTTTCCTTCTGAGTTAATTAACCGAGCATAATTCCTTCAGGCCCCGTCTATGTTGCTGCAAAAGACATGAGTTTATCTTTTTTGATTGCTGAATAGTATTCCATTACAAAGGAGCAAAGAATATGCAATGAAACAAGTATAGTCTATTCAATAAATGATGCTGGGAAAACTGGACCACCACATGCAGAAAAAATGAAACTAGACTACTACCTTACACCATGCACAAAAACCAACTCAAGATGGATAAAACACATGAACATAAGACCTGAAACCATAAAATATATAGAAGAAAAAACAGATAAAACACTCCATGACATACATCTCAGAAATATCTTTAAAGACTCATTTCATAAAGGAAAGAAAGTGATGGAAAAGATAAACAACTGGGACTACATCCAACCTTTCTTAATGCAGAAAGATACATTTCTTGTGGCTACTCTTTTCTTTCTCTTGGCAAAGCAACTTTTCTTTTTGCCTGCATATTCCTTCCGTAGACAACTGGCAATGACAACTGGTTTCTATAAAAAAAGAAGAAATTACAAGACCAGTTTTACCTTGAAATCAGTGCATATTCCATACTCTCTACATCTTCCCTGACACAAAATCATGAACCAAACTTATCCCTCCATTGGAGCTGCCATTTTCTAGATAAATCACCCCAGTCTATATTTCTGCAGGAAAAAGACAGGTTATGCCGTGTTTGTGTGTGTCCTTCAGAATAAATGGCATCTGCCAAACCAACAGGTCTGCTAAGACCCACACACTCACACGTGTCTACACACCCACACCTCTCAGAGGGACTCTCTTCTAATTGCTTACAGTAAGCTTTACTCAGTTTATAAAACTCATAAAGCCTTTCTTGGGCTTTGTCCTGGTTAACTTTATTCACCAAAAATATGACCTTGGAAAGAGATTAACAAGTGTATGTCCTTTGTTCTCTTATTTTTGTTGGCACCACATATCCACTGAAGTCGAGTAATGAGCTCTCAGTGCCACAATGAGAGAATCTCAAAGTGTTCTTCAAAAATGAAGATTAGAAAGGCGCCTCCTGTCTGCCCAAATCCCTCAATGAAGCACATTTGCAGAAGCTCTACCTCTTCAAAGTCTGACACAGTCACAGCATTTGCTGTTCTCCTCTTTCCATCTGCACATCCTCATCCTCTCCTTCAGGTTCTTCTGGGTTTGGAAAAACATCACTGATTCTGGGTGAAATCCTGAAATTAAAACAGTGGGGCAATAAAAGGTTTTCAGTTGGAAAACTTGCAATGAAAATATTTTTTTTTATATTCTGCTCCCAATTATTTGAACAGATTAACAGTGAGGACAGGGGATCTCCATCTCTCTGCTCTGCACCATCTGCCTTTCAAGCAACCTAGTGTCCATGAATAAGTCAAATGATGTGACTCTCATATCATTCCTGCTTTTGTCTTTTATCCTACCAATCCTGACTATTTTCAATTAAAAAAAAAAAAAACAAAACAGTCCATGCTCTTAGGCAAAGGATTTGGGAGCAGAGTTGCAAGAGAAAGGAATTCGGAACTCTAATATTAACACAGAGATTTGGGGATTCTGAGCACTTTGTAAGAACCATGGATTGAAATATTTGGAAGCAGAGATCTATCTTACAAAATCCAGGACACAGATTTACCAGTAATGGAGTGTTGTTGCTTCTTGGGAAGATGTGTCAGAACTGCTCTGTCCTGACTGGGACCAGGCTAATTCATTCCTTCATCACCTCCACCCCTGTCTCTCTCCCTCATGTCATCCCAGAATTCTGTTGTCAGCTCATTTCCTAAGCCTTGGCTATCATCTTGTCTCTCTCCTGCTCTGCCACCTGCATTAGACTTGAGCTTGATTTGTATTTTGTGGATGATATAAGGTTTTCAAAGCACCCGTGTCTTTGTTTCCTATTTTGTAATTTGAAAGACATTTCCTACACTTCCCTAGGCCAAGACTCTCTGATATCTAGCCTCAATTTAGTTTTCCATTATCCTCCAACACCAACCTTTCAGTTCATTCCACTTGCCTACAGGAAGGTGGCATTATTTCAACTTTTGTTCTTTTGCCTAGCCTATTCATCTTCTTAGATTGGTTGTATACATCCAAATGCTTATATATACTTTCCCACTATTTTGAAGAGCTTATTTTTGTATTAACTTTCATCTAGTGTGTCAGTGAAATTAAGATCTCCCTTAATTTTTCAGTTTCTCAAGTATGTGAATATGACATCCCTCACCAAGTCATAGCTCATTGAAGCACTGTGAATTATGGATTTGGAAACAACACAGTCCCTTAAAAATATCCATATACAATATATCTTACTGGGTTAATATAGGCATATTAAAATGTCTTAAAGCAATGAATATGAAAATAAAACATGAAATTCTATTTGAATTTCTCAACCTGAACACAGGATCTTTTCTCATTGATTTCTTCCTAATGTTCATTTCCAGACATCGTAGGACAAAAAGAAAAATGAAAAAATGAAGGTAAGGCTAGGGGAAAAAAAGACAATCAAAATTAGCATCACCATAAAGAAAACCATTTCAATGCTAAGTTTATTTAGAGAATTTAATCATATCTAAAGGTTGATTTGATAACAATTCACAAGATTAAAAGATAACTTATTCAATAGTGTGTGATGCTCTCATGGTTACCATCACTGCTTTGCAGAGAAAGCAGGTCAGAAGCAGAAGTAGTAGTAAGTTGATATTAGTATCCTTCATGGTATTTAGAGTTTGGACTTCACACCCAGTGTCAGAAGATCATTATAAATATCATATAAAGATTATGTGTGTGAGTGTGTGTTATTTCAAATGACTGAAGTGCCAAATATTTCAGTACAGAAATTAAAACTTTAATGTAATGCAAAGCATGCAAGAACATTTAAATGGAAATGTCTCCTTACTATTAGCAGTGCCAAAAATACAATATGTTCTTCTGAAGCTCCTAAGTAATCCACTGAATCTGGAGAAATCTGTAAAATGGGGAAAAACTGTGTTCAGATGAGCCTTCATCTATTCATTGACCTCATAAGGTAGATTACTGTCCACTTCATGACCCTAGAATTACACAGGATTCACGCTTGTGCATCAGGTCAAATTCCATTACTGACTGTACAGGTGTCTGGTGTCTATCTCCTTGCTTCCAAGGTCACCATGACCTGCTAACCTGTGCTTGGCTCTAAGCTTAGATGCTTTTAGATGCAAGTTATAAGGATCCACCCTGCTGGGAGAACCCCCAGAAGCCAGGGGCAAGGTTTTCTCTCTGCATAGGAGCCCCTTCTCTCTCCTTCCCAGCAGCCCTAGAACCATTACATTTCTCTGTCCCATGCCCCACCCACTTTTGAGACTAATCACGACAACCCCTAATTTCACATGCATCCATGTGAGAATGTGGTTTTCATTAGATGTACAATATAATTTGAAACATCCCTCAATGCTTTAGTGAATGAACAGTGAAGGGTCACTTCTGTTTCTTGAGCAATATTTCCTAAGACTTTCTTTCTGAGCAACTATAAGTTGCTGTAGCAAATCTCAAACCATCATAGCCACTTACCTTCTAAGATGGACTTTTCCCCATTGGATGATCTTCTAGGACCCTGACATCAAAGCTCTTGCTGCCCTAAGTGTCCCTCACTGGACACATCCACAATAAACCTCAGGCCCCCTGACCTTTGCCCTGTCTGCAACATTTTAATTTTTCAGCTGTTACTCTATAATTTGGAGTTGAGGAACCTTCAACCTACCAATCCCATCCTTTTTTCACTGTCCACAAACCCCTTCATTCCTTCATATCTTCATTTCTTAGCTTGGAAACTATGGTCCCTTGTTGCAAGTCCTCACTCAAGACCTCCATGCTTTTGTCAGGCTCACCTTTCAAAACACTAAGCTTGTGTCCTCCTCACTCTCCACTCACCTGAAATGCATCTGAGAAGCAGATGATGCCACAAAGACACCCAACTTTCCTAACTTCACCTGAAAAGGCAGGCAGGGGCCCCTTAACACTGCCTGCCAATTCTACTCACCTATTCACTGAAATAAATGCTCACCTCTATCCCTAAAATTCATCTCACTGCTAGTTGAGAACTTCACCTCTTTCCCTAAGGAAGTAGACTCAGAGGGAAGACTGACTCTCTAAACTCAGGCCAAACCCTAGCCTCCTTTTTCATTAAAACTATACTTATTCTGTAGATTACATTACCTAGTCCTGTGGTTTTAAATATCCCTTAGATGCCGATGCATCTCAGGCATCTAGTTTTAGTTTCAGGCTCTACAGAGAACCACACCCTGACTTTCAGACTCACATGTCCAATGGGCCATTGGACATTTCCCATTGTGTGTCTACCAGAAGTCTTAAACTTAACATCTACAAAATTAACAGAGAAAAAGCATCCTGTCAGCTTCACAGTAAGGTTATTTGTTTCCAGGAGCAAGGGTTCTCAAGAGAACTGTAAAATTCTATGACTGTGGAGTTGCCTTTGACCTTCATGAACCAAGGCAGGGCTTCCTCTTGAGTGAGAACATGATTCTTGCTTGAGGCAAGATAGTTGGCTTCCCAAAGACAGACTTCAGGTCTTATACAGCTAAGAACTGACTTTATCTACATTTTCACAACATTTAAGGCTTTTTCAATGGCCAAAAATGCCATGATACTAGAACAGATGTGAGATTACTTACCTCAGAAAAAATTAACAGAGAGCCAAGCATTGCGAAGGGCGGGATTAATAGGGTGCAGAGAAGTAGCCCTAGAAATCCATATTCATTTAGATCAATAGCAACAATTGGGAAGACAGTGACCTGAAATATTCAAGTGAAAGGATAAACGAACTGTTGGAGAGAGAAGTCATCAATTCAGATATGAGACCTGGAGACAGAGCTGAACTCAGTTTATAAATGGTATAGATCCACCCTATGGTGTATGTCCTATAGGCCTGTGATTATCTAACACTATAGAATTCTCTAGAGAGCAATATTAATTTGCCATTCTGTTTAGTACAAAGATTCAAATGTTTGCCCTTGATTTACTTTCAGATGGTTTAAAAATAAAATAATAGGCATTGCATGCATACTTACAATTAAGAAAAAAAATGACCAAATGCCACTATTTTTTCTCCCATTGCGAAAAATGAATGAAATAACATAGGTCAAGAAAACAAGAGATGAGACATATCCGATACTACAGAGGATCTGAAAATAAGCATATTAAAGCTAGATAAGGTAAATGCTATCTAGGAAAGTATTCATACATTAAGCTCAATTCTTATTCATCCATTAAGTTCAAACTTTGCGATAGCAAAGGTAACTTGAAGTTTTTGGTTGATGATTAAAAATGTTACTGTGGTCATGAAAAAGTCTAATAAAATCATCTCAGAAGGTTTGCCACTTACCTGAACTAACAGGTTTTGAATTATAAATATAATCTCATCTGGGCTAAAAACATAATCCATTATTTGCATCAGGAGGAGGATCAAGAAGTACAGCGGAATATCGACCAGTGCCTGACCAAACCAGTAAGCAGAGGGGTAGAGGCCTGAAATCCACAGCTGGGAGTGAGCTTTGTTCTGAAAGAAATGGAAGAATCATTAATGTCCTTGAAGAGTTTAGGCTTGAGAAATTGCAAACATGTTTGATTTAGCAAAAAAATTGTCATTGCTTCCCTCCTGCTTCAGGGGCATAAATAATGTTGCAGATCACATGATCACCATATTGTCTAAAAGTAAAATGTGCCAAACAACATCACTAGCTCCCATCTCATCACAGAGTGGGCATCGCCTCAATGAAAAGATGCTTTACTTTCCATTCCAAAGCTCTTTTCTCCTTTGACACTAAGAAAACTTGTGCATGACACAAAAGTTCAACAGATGTTGGTTTACAATTTTTTGTTAAGATTCTTAAATTGCATGCGGAATGTCAATGATGCAGTCATACCTGGCATTTTTTTTTGTGTAAAAGAAAGGGGCACCAAATGAGTCAATTTAATTAGAAGTCTTTAGTTTGTCATGAACAAGGGTATCATTCAAATGTTACACTTATGTCGTGATATAAACCATATTTTTCTGCCACAGGGTTTATGGTAACACAATGTCTTAAACTATACTTGGACTTTTCTAACATTCAAGCATGACAGCAATTATAATTTCCAATCTAAAATTGAGCCTGGGTGAGGAAATTTATTAGGTAAAAATGATAAAACTCATGACTTCACCCTTCACTAAGTCTGGGGGTGAGAAAGCGACCAGCACAAGAGTACCCTGGAGAGGCAGGACCTTTGGTCAGGCTTCTTGAAATTTTATAAAAGTATCATGAAAATGAAGTTCTGGTGGGTCAGTCCTTTTCAACAATAAGTCTAGGTGCTATGGCAAATTGGCAAGGGCTGTTTTACTGACCTTTACCACCAGCTGGAAATAGAAACCATCATAGAGGGAGGGGAGGTGATGATGTCAATGGGTAAGTGTCCACAAATAAAGCTGTAAGTGATACACCAGGTAAAACTGCCTTCGCCTGTTAGTTGATGATACTTCCTAAGTGTCCTACATGAGGCCCTATATTTTTTTAAAGAAAAATAGCATCTTCTTCATCTGTGTTAACTTTAAAATGATTGATTATTTATGGCCTCCAGCACATAAATTAGATTCACCACCTACATATAATTTATGGTCATAGGATTGGAAGGATTGTCCAAAGTATTAATAACATGTCAGGACTTTTCTTACTTTATAGTCACCGATGCTGCTCATTGCAATGTAAGGGGTAAAGCAGGTGGCCACAGGTATCCAGAAGAAGGTGTTACTCAGGTATCCATACTCATAAGACATGTGTTCCTGAAAGCATGCACAATGTGTCAAGTTGATAGCAACTAGTCATATGGTTCATTTGCACTTTCTTAACTAACTCACTCAAATGGATCCACCAAACCACACAAAGTACATCCCAAGGTTCTATTGCAACTTCTTATCCACACTCATTTTCAACCCCTCAACTTTTGAAGCAATTGGGGCATTTTGAACATGAGTCTTGATTTACTTATGAAGAAGCAAACTTTCCCAAATTGCATGAATTGGTGTAGTCTCACTGTTAACTTGTGAGATGGCATAAAACTTCTGCTCTCTGATTTTAAGATTTAGGCTGGCATTTCAGTAAAAGGAGATTCAGAGTTGAGTTTGTGGATTGTCAGTGGATGAACTACTTTACAACTCTCAGATATGGTGCTAAATCAGGTCATCTCAACATTCATGAAGACTTACTTTTCTGGTTCAACATAATGCAAAAGTAGCAAATTCAAATGATTACAGGGACCTGGCAGATAGAAATTAATGAGTAGGCTGATGCTAGGAAATAAAACTGAATAGTTATCACACACTCTGCAAGGAGGCATTGAATTATTAAAAAATTAAAGTTTTGACAAGAGGAAGTAGGATTTTGCTAGATGCTTTGATTTGATCGATAGCCCATTCCCAGTCTCAGCAGCATTTTACTCAGAAGGGAGAAGAATGGAGGGATGGGACATGTTCCAGAGAGATGTCATGCTCCTCTCTCTATTCCAAGATGCAGACTACAAAATGGAATGAAAGAGCAAATCACATCACCATCATCCACCCTGGTCCATGTCCCTGAAGCCACAAGTTGACCCTAGAGGGTTAAAATTGAATAGGAAATTGAAGGATAGCACTGGAAGAATTCTTAATAACCAAAAGAGTTCAGGAAGCTCTACAATATGCCCAAGGTGTCACATAAGGAGGACAAAAGGAGATTCAGTGGAGCAAAATGAAAAAGTTGACTTGAAGACAGTTTGTAATCTTCCTCTTCACCATGGAGATGCTGACTCAGAGGCTCTATATAGGCCTGGCAGATGACATTTAAACAAGACTGCTCCTCATTTCAACCCAGCCAGTCTCCTGATCTAGTCAAGGTTGAATTTGACTAGAGGTTCAAGATTGATCTTTAATGGAAACTTCTCTTGGTGCACTCCCAAGAGAAGTCATGTCTATAGGATTAGTGATGACTGCTCTCCTGCATTTATGTTCCTTATCACTCATCTTTAGATAGCTCAGCCCATTCAGCCTGGGGCTCATATTGCCTCATTTACTTTTAAAAAAGTCTTTGTGATGAAACTTTTACTACTTTTTGTAGATAGGGGAATCAAGACCTATGGAAATCAAGAAAGTCACATAGTCTGATCTTAAGACATTGGTCATTTCCTCCATGTTTCACTATCTAAGGTTAAAGATGTGGATCTAAGGCCACAGGTATGTATTTCCATTCTCCAATAATTATATTTTCTACTGTTCCATTGATTCTAAGTTATCTGAATAAGATTACAATGTAATGCAGTCATTGCAAAATATTGTGTGTATAGTAATTCATATATATGTAGATCTTATTCAAGAAGTTCATAAAATAGCATGTTATTTCTGCATTTCAAGTATTTTGTTGAAAACTTCTGGTGGATCGCTCTGAGAAAATATACTCACTTCAAAGTATGTGCTTCTGTCAGTCTGAATGTGTTCTGAAGAATTAAAAATTCCAAGCAGCCCATTGCTAATGATATCCATGAGGACAGGAAAGCAATTCAGCCTTTTGGTATTACATGCTATTGAAAATCTGTGATCCTAAAATATAATAAATATGCAGACTATGTTCTCAGAAAGCAAATACAATTAAATAAAAGACTATGCTAGAAAATCGTTCAAATTATTGATAATACAATAAGGTTAAAGCACCGAATGTGATTAATCTACCGTCACCCATATTATTGGGTTAATTCCCAATATACATCAAGGAATCCAGAGTTTTTGTCTCTGCCAACAATAGCACCAGTCATATAGTTAATTATGCTTAAACTCATACACACACAAAATCTCAAATGACTTTTAGCAGCAACCTGTAAAACTTCATAGTGTGCCCCTTGTTTTATTTTTTTTTAATTTATTTTTTATTTTTTAAAAGAATTTTTTATATCATTTTTTTTAAGATTTATTTATTTATTTATACAAGCACTGGGGTACAGTCAGAAGTGTGCGAGGGTGAGAGAATTCACCAGAGCCAGAGAGGAGAGCAGAACAGGCAGACTAACAAAGTACACTGCTGAGGGGAGCAGTGGGCGGCAGGAGAGGTCTGCGCGCCATGTGGGACCCTCGCCTGGCACCCGGCCAGGGACCAAACCTGAACTGCAGAGGCCGTGGGCAATTCTCATCCCAGCGCTCAACTGCTGCACCACTGGGGAGGCCCCCATGTGCCCCTTGTTATAACAGCAGTTTTTGTTTCAAAATGTGAGAGATCTATTTTATAAATAAAGATTGTGGCTATTGGAGACGTGGAAGGCAGACAGCTGTTGTGATGGAAGCCTGGGTTTTCACAAATACAGAGCTTGTGAAAGAAAGTTTGCATGTGGAATCTCTTTAAAAGTGACATTTTAAGCCTGTTTCCCAATATATGTAAATCATATCATTACTGCATAACTTAAAATTATATATTGCTGTATATCAATTCTACTTCAAGAAAACCAGGGAAAACAGTAAAATGGTATTTATATGTATTAAAATTTTGACTATATTATCTATATTGCTCAAAGTGTGGGCAAGTTTGCATCTGCATTTTTGCAATCATAAATGAATTGAGGGAATTGCATCTAGCCTGATGACTTAAAGCAAAGTGTATTCATAACAAGGAGGCTATTTTTAAAAACATTTTTTTCCTGAATATACCGAAAAACTCACCTGGTTTGGATAAGTTTGATCAAAGGTATCTCTTACATGGATATTATTTCTGAAAATTGACTCTGAGAAGCTGCAAATGACCCAACTTTGTGAGATCTTGCAGCTGTGATTTAATGCTATCTTCTCATCTTTCTCTACCAGTCCACTCTAGTGATCACCACCCAGGCCCCTACAAGGTCTACGCAGGGGATAGAAATGAATAAAATAATGTGGAGGTCACAGTCTGAAGCCAAGTTTAGAAAGGGTAACTGCAGACTGCCAGAACGGGCACATGGAGGGATTTTTCAAAAGAAGCCAGAAATTTACATTTCATGTGAACTCTTCCAATCTTATATATTACCAAATAGAGCAATCGGGTTTAATGAGACTATAAACCCCACTCCAGACTTTACTAAAGTGCGGATTCTAACTGAGTAAATCTGATCTTCAGCTATAACAAACACTTGCGTGATTCAATCACATTGGTTCATGAACCACATTTCCAGTTGCAGGAAACTAAGGCTTTTTTTTTTTGTTTAACATCAGATAGTGGGACATAAATATTTATCTGGCAATTTGACCCATTTGTGTAAAGTTCAGCACATAGGATTCAAGCTTTCTTTCCATGAAAAACACACTCAAATCTACCGTAAAAAATTAAGAGTTAAATTTTTGTTGGTAACTGAAGCCAAAGTTCACATTAGTATTAATCAGATTCATGTTTGGCTTCGTCAACATGCCATTTGAGTTGAAATCCAATTGAAAATAAGATTCCAATTAATCACTGGAACAGAATACAATTGATAATAAAATTTAAATGTAACATTAATTACAGCAGTGTATACAATTTAACAAGGAACCAAATCAAGCAGCTGTCCCATTAAATACTATGTATTATATAATATACATTTCATTATATTATTTATGGGCAAGTAATTGAAGTCCAGCTTCTTTTCTAAAAATGACAAACATCCCATTCATTTGTGTCCAGGGGCCTTTGATGTCAGGTGACATGGACTATTTAACCTGCAAGAGCGTGTCGCATGGAGGGTGAGCGGCAGCAGTCACAACGCACCTTCTCATCACCTGACACGGTGAGGGCACCATTGTACGATGACTCGTTAGGGCCGTGTCTCATTCCAAAGGCATCCACGTCCAGAGCTATGTTCTGCCTCCTCAAAGAGTGGATGAAGTCATCAATGCTTGACCCTACCATGAGGGCAAGACCAAACACAGCAGGAAAGGAGTATAGCAATGGTCAAATAATAACAACAGCAGCAATAATAATAACAACAATGTCACTCAAGGTATATGGAGCAAACTGAGGATTTTCTAAAAGGATGAAATCGATGCTGAGGCATTAATGAGTAGGCATTTACTCATGACTTCTGTTGATGTAAAATACTACTTAAAATTAACATGTAATCCTTGATGATATTAATTTTTCTATTCACTTATAAATTTCTTATAAATTGGGAACAGTTTTTTTTCCCCCCGAGCCCAAGAATGCTTAGCATTTAGAAAATAATATGGGAGACCTCGGAGTCTAGTCAATGGTTCACCTTTTTTGCTTTGTGCAATAAGCTGTAGGGTTTAAGTAAACTTGCAAAATGTGTTCTTAAAACATACTTCCCACCTTCTATTTTTCATTTTGATTTAGTGTCCTGTTTGACCTCAGATGAGCTATCTAAAAAAATTGTTTTTTTCCTGCATGGTTTCTGTTTTCCAGGGGACCTTTCCACAAGGACATCCAGAAGCTGTGTGTTAATGCTAAGTTCACCTGTTTTATTGATGACCAGTAGGCGGGTCAGAGGAGCTTCAGGCTGTTGTCCCGGAGACAGGAAGTACATGTTAGGAGACAGTCCCCAAGAATAATGTTTTTGGTATAACTCATAGAATAGATGTTCCAAAAGCTGAGGGCAAAAGCTAATGCCAAAAAGCAACAATCTATGTGGGAAAAAAGGCAAGAGAAAAAAATTCATCAATAGCCACTTTTGTAGGTTTTAAGTTTGAGCGGATAATGGATGTCTATAACAGAAACAAATTACATCCTCTAAGTAGACACGGGGATTAGGCTCCCCCTGCCACTCTTGGATACCTCATTAAATTTAGGAAGTCTGCTAATTACGACTCTCAAAGTTTTCCTCCCACACCCCCTTCTTTGCTGGGTCTCAGTCTTGGTTTTCTTTTTTCTGGACCATGGCAAGCTGGCACATCATCAACACTGAAACTTTCCCCCCTCTTACTGCCAATTTGAATTACAACATTTTCTCATTCACTTAGGCTATAAATCTCAATCACTTTACACTCATTTCTCTCCCATAAGTCCCATTTCCAAATGGTTGGGAACTGGCATCTGCCATGGTATCACTATTACTTGCCTCCCATGTTCTCTCTTCCGCTTTTCAAATGTGAACCTTAATCACTTCTTTCCTGACCTCTTTCAATGATGTCCTAAATGACTGCTTTCTTCACCTCCAGTGTCTACTATTTCCAAACCATTTTTGCACTGTTGCCTAATTAAGCGTCTCAGCATTAGGTTCTATATTATGTCCATTACCTGTGGAAGATGAAAACTAAAACTTCAATAGTTCCTTATTATTCATGAAGTCCACACTCTTTCTTTAGTTCTATATTATCAAAATTATTTTTATTCTTTGGACACCTTGTATTATAACTAAGTCAATTTCATTGCAGTTCTTCAGGCTCCTCAGGTGTCTCCACGCTCATTGCTGTTCCTGCCGTAATTTCCAAAATCCCTTCTTTTCCTTAACTGTTACACTTTTCTGTTCCAAATTGAAGTCACTGCTCATGACTTTTCATAAAATTTTCTCCTGATGTCCTTAGTTGGGCATACTCTCTCCAATACTGAATGCTGTCCTTGACAATATTATTTAATTTCACCTTTTTTTTTTTTTTTTACTGTGCAGCACCACATTGCTTAGCGACAGGAATACATTTTGAGAAATACATTGCTAGGCAATGCTGTCATGGAGCATGCCTTGTTCACAGAGTGTAATTACATAAGCCTCCACGGCATAGCCTCCTAGACACCTAAGCTCTACGATATAGTCTGACTGGACCACCATTGTATATGTGATCCATTGTTAACCAATGCAGAGTATACTTCTAATCACCCTCCTCCAGAGCTGAATCTCATGTCTGATTTATTTTGAGAGGTTGCAGACATGTAACACAGAGTGTGAGGCAAAGATGCACACAAGTATTTTGAATGAATGAGTGTCCTGAGTGGGCAGCAACTCTTATGCATAGAACCATTGCTCAGCGAAGAACCAGAAACCTCAGAGGAATGTGTGAGCCACACAGGAGGGTTCAAATAGTGCTTCCAAGCCTTGGTGAAGATACAGCTATGCATAGAGCTACTTTGGGGACAGAGGCAAGTCTTTGGGATGGGACCCAAGTGCTAATTCCATGCTTCTGAAAAGTTAACTCAACCCTGGCTAAGATTTTTTAATTACCTACTACCTAAGCAATTGAAAATTGGTTTCTGTGTTCAAAAGATTGTACTCAGCTGCTGAATTTATTTTATATGAGTCTTTCTTTAATTTTTCAATTGATTTTTATTTGACTTTGACTTGAGTTGATGATGAAAAACATATCTGAATATTCAGTTACTTACATGGTCAAAAGAGTTTTCTTTTCATTCTTTAACTTTAGGAAGCGAATTTTTGCTATTGCACAGAGCTGCTGCCTCCAGAGACTCATGCCGCTGGTTGCTTTCTTTGTTTCATTAAGGGAAGACAAAACTTGTTCCAGCTCATCAAGGCTTCCTGTATCTTTTGTCCTATCATTTTGTAATTTTCCCCAAACCCCAATACCTATAAAACATAAAATCAGGTTTTTTATGAAGTACCATTTTAGGTGTGTGTTATTTAGCTTTTTCTATGATCATCTTTTCACAAAATAGTGCTATTGAAGAGCGTTTTGGACAAAGACACAAATAATATGATTCATGGCATTATTGGAGCAACTACTAAAGAAATGGGAATGAAGCAAAATAATATCATAAATGTCTATCTTGTATTTTCTGAAAAAATATTCTGTGCCTATAACTTTGTAGGGCTTAATTCTAGGGACATCAATGAAAAGAGGTTCATAGCTAGCTAAGAAAAATCTATTCCTGCAAGAGATAAAGCGTTGTATATTTCTACCATGGTGGATGTGTTAGTACCTGTAGAACTTTGCCTCTCCCTGCACTCGGGCAAGAAAATTGATAAAGACAATATTTCGCAATATAGCCATGGCTGGAAACAAGCCATGGCTGGAAACAAGACACGGAAACATGGCTGGAAAGAAGAGAAGCCTAGAGAAACTGACCAACTCTAGACTTTTAGAAAATCATGTGAAATTTACATTAAAAGTGAAGACATATACACAACAAAAAGATCAAATGTATATTTTCAAAATTGGGTAAAAGATGGGAAGTAGAATTTTAAAACTCACTTGACTAGGAAAAGGAAAAAAAAATAAAGAGCATGGCAAAGAGCAAACACTGTAAGATAATAATAAACCAGAAACAACAAAATGTTTTAGAGCAATGAGAAAGGAAATGTAGACCCTTTCCAAGGAATGGCAATTAGACTGACAGCAAATCCTTCAGCAGCAGCAATGGAATCCTGAAGACATTGGAATGATACATTCAACAAGCTGCCAGAAAAGTAACTAGCATTCTACAATTTTAGTTTTCTTTTCTCTGTGTTGAATATGTTGTATATTCAAAAAAGTATTACATCATCTGCTCCACAATGACCTAGTCTTGTACACTGATGTATTCCATATGTCTAGTAAGATACATGCTACAAAAATAAGGCAGTCAAGATGGGAGACCAGCATTAAGAGAAAAGGGAATGAAACAAAAATACATTTCCCATCTGCTCTAAGTTTTTCCAAAATCAGACCGAATCTACAGCTCCAAAAGCATATAAATTGATCATTCAAAGTATATTTTCAAAATAAAATATTTCACAGAAAGAGAAAATTCAAATTTCTTTTTTACCTGATTCATCTATAGTTGATTTTCCTTCTAATTTCAAGAATACCTCATTCAAAGTTGTCATGGAAACACCATAATTCTCAATACCCTGGTTACAACATCTATCAAGATCCCTGTAAAGGTCTATAAATAGGCACAAGATTGTATCAAAAATATAATTTTTAGTAAAATTGATAGTAACTTATATTTACAAAAAGAGAAGACAATTATGATAAGCCAAATGCATTCATCAGATGCAAAATGGAAATTAAACAAATTTTATTTCATTTTATTTTTACTGCAACCTTATAAGAGATTCTGAGTCACAAATACCCCGCTAGACTACTCCTGGCTTTCCCCAACTCCACCACCCCTTACCCTCTTGACCCATTCTTTCCCCACCCCCTTGACCTCAGAACCCTCATTTCATTCATTGTTGTTCACTAATTTTTAAGAAATATTTTACCTTGTTGAAATGTCTGCTATATAAACGTCCAATATTTGTCTTGGTCATTCTGTCTTGCTTTGCTACACATAATTCCCTTGAATTCCTTCCATTTTGCTATAAATGGCAACATTTCATCTTTCCTTATAATGTGAGTGTAAAATTTTAAACATTCATTTATTTCATTTTTAGAAAACTACACAGTGGGTGGAATTTGGAAAACATTATATTTTATCTAAATATCTTTTTAAGAAATTGTTAGAATAAGGGAGTCTTACAGATGGACTGAATGTTTGTGTGCCCTGATGTGATGGAATTAGGAGGTGGGGTCTTTGGGAGCTAATTAGGGTGAGAAGAGGTTATGAGGGTAGGGACCTCATGAATGGGATTAGTGCCTTTCAAGAAACAGGAAAGCTCATTTCCTCTCCCTGCTCTACAGGCTACAAGAGAAGTAGATAGTCTGCAGCTCGGGAGAGATTGCCCACCAGAACTCAGCTGTGCTGGCGCCTGACCCTGGACTTCTGCTCTCCAGAACTGTGAGAAATAAACGTGTGTTGTTTGTAAGCCACCCAGTTTATAGTGTCTGTTACAACAGCGTGGACTGAAATAGAAAATGTTTAATTCAAACACCCATTAAGTAATATTTTTCCCAGTAATAGAGATTTGTACATCATATTAGAGATAATTGTTAGGTTACTTTAAAAGAAACAAGCAGTTAGATTATACAAAGGAACTAAATGTTTATAGAAATAATTAAGTGCTGTGTAAGTTTCCCTTGTTTTAGAAAGCATGAATTAAAAGACTAATGCATATATATAGCTTTGCATTCTCTCTCCTCTCTCTCCTGTCATAACACCATTGTTATGGTTAGTAACATCATTGATATAAAGCATGCCATGGTCTCAACACTCTTTTACCTGGAAATTTGTTTGTCCTTCCCAAAGGCAAAATATATACAAGCTTCTCTTCACTCTGTGCTGTTAGTTTGGCATCAGGGATGTGCTGTTTAACCAGTGATGTTATACTGTCTGGATTGCACATTTCATTCAGATGCAAACTACATTTTAAAAGGGTAGAGTTATTTCTATCCAACATTATCTCTACGAACAATTGCACTAGGGGCTTGTCACTTTATTAATATTTATGAGACAAAATGTATAATCTAATGATAGAAGTAAAATGAAGATGAAATTTACAACATGGTGGAGGAACCAGTGTCAGGGATACAAGTGACCCAAGGAGAAAAGAGATTTCAGCCACATCTGGCTTTTATAAAAGCACCCTACCTCAAGACTGTTGGGAGATGAAACAGTACATTGCAAGACCAGATAGGGAAGTGGTGAAGGGGTGAGAAATCTATTGATATTTTCAAGATGCACGAAAATATGATGAAAGGTTCTAGAATATCAATAAATCTCTCTTAGCAAATACTGTGCTGCGAAAACATTTTCCAAAATTTTTATTTAAATATAGCTCAATCATCTTTATATTTTCACTGACCACCATGCCACAATCCTACATTCTTGCTAAGAGAAGTTTCAGTGTAGTTCTAATACAGATCTCCTGAAATGAACTTACACACGTGAGTCCTATGGTAACATATTAATACTGACATCATCTGTCCCCAGTATGTTCTAACGTGTCTGCAGTCCCCAGGTCTGTACCTTAAATGGTAGCCAATGCCCCATTTCTGCTTCAGGAATAGAGAAGAGCCTGCACACTTCAGCCTCCCATTGGATATAAACACCTTCCTGTCTAAGTAGAAAAAAAACAAAAAACAAATAGGTTGCATTAAGGAGCTATTCTTTCACTATTTGTAAAAGAACAAATTCACTAATAAATAATCTATTTTAAGAGCACGATCTGGTAAAATAGATATACTCTTTCTCATCCAATAAGTAAAATAAGTTTATTGTTTACTATATTAAGCAAACTGATCACCTATCAAAAGAACCTGTCTCAAGTCAACTGGCATCCATATTAAACATCTTTGCGAGTAGGTCACATGTTTTATAGCCAAGGCGATGCTTTGCAATAGGATCAGTGTATTCCCATGAGGAATGTATTCAGGGATGTGGACACTCAAATGGAGGAGAGCGAGATTCTCCCATCATGCCTCTTGGCAGTCAAACCTGGCAGCTGTGATGGCACATTTCCATACACTCCACATGTGCTCCTAATTCCTTACTAAAATATATGACAGAAAACCAAGAGTCACCAGCCAAGATGTCAGCCTCATCCATGAACTGGGTGCTGAAGAGAATGACTCTGTCTGATTTTCTCTCCTTCAGGAGGTTCCATACTCGGTGCCTTGAAAGAGGATCTGAGCCAGCAGTTGGTTCATCCAATAGCAGAACCTGCGCAATAGGAAAGCACGTAAATCCACATTGTCCTTTCCTGCAAGATTGTTTTTTAAAGCAATATACTTAAAAGCATATTTGGGGGAAATATCTTAGTACTTAATTTTCCATTTTAAGAGTCCTCTTCCATTCATGATTTGCAAATGAAGTCTGATGGAATAAAATAGTTTTATATTCAAGATGAGCAGACTCTAGTGTCATTGAAAAGAAAAGTAGCTTTATAGTCCTGATGTTAATTTCACCAGTAATTTTGGTTTGACTTACCTGCGGATCTCCTAAAATGGCAATCCCAAAAGTGAGTTTCCTTTTTTGTCCTCCGCTTAAATTTTGAGCAAGAATGTCTTGAATATTTTTCATCTCTAAGTCCTGTAACACTCGTTGTACCTGAGCAAATAAAGGATTTTTATTCCAAAATTCAGAATGTTTTTATTTAAAGCACTAGAACTTTGGTGTTTGTTTAAAAGTTGTTCTTTTTTACCCTCTAGGTAATGAGCTGTGTAGAAATAACGCAAACATATTCAGTTTTCTAGTTGATACATTTCATGTTCTGCATGACATCTAACATGTTCATTTACCTCTTGCTCCACTTCCTGTGGCTGAATCCCCTTTACTTTAGCAAACAGCCTCAGATTTTCTTTCACCGTGAGAAAGCCAAATTGCACATTGAATTGTGGACAAACTCCCGTGAGTTTGCTGACAGCTTCCAAGTCAGCAGTCTCTGAAAGGGAGTGATTATAGATGGTGACCGACCCTAAGAGTAGAAGGTAGAGATTTAGCATCAGGATAAAGTACCATAAAGTGGAAAACAATGTGTGTTAATCACTAGAGTCTTTAAATCATATTTTAGCTACATTGAACAATGGCAAATTTAATATTCATGATATACCTGATGTAGTTGGAATGCCAATTATTCAGCATAAAGCCACTCATCATGAAATATTTAAACCACAAAGATTTCCTAAAGAGAATATAAATCTATAAAAAAATTGAAGAAATTTCTAAAACTTTTCTCTTTTTTAAAGATTTACTCTTTTATTTATTTATGCATACAAGAGCTGGGGTGTAGGCCAGAGGCGGGGGTGAGAGGATTCACCAGAGAGAATGGGAAGCAGAGAGGTAGATCTATTGAAATACACTGCTGAGGGGAGAAGAGGGGAGCAAGGAGAGGTCTGCTGTGCCATGTGGGTCAGCTCCCTGACTGGGGATCAAACTCATGCTGCAGTGGCTGGTGATAGCTTGATAGCGCTGAGACTTTAACCCTTGCACCACCAGGGAGGCCCTAAAATTTTTCTCTTAATGCCTAAATGTGATTAGTAGTTAATGAAACTACTACCTGAGAATTAACAAATCTACTTGACTAGTAAAATGCAGTTAATTCATTTGCCTTATTCTTGTCACTGGCTGATTGTTTTCTCACCTGATGTTGGAGCCAAAAGCCCACTGAGTACATTCAACAGGGTGGTTTTTCCAGCACCACTGTGACCGAGGAGGGCAGTAATCTGGCCTTCATATATGTCAAACACCAGACCTGCATTATTTCAAAAAAATAAAGTATACTCAGAGCCTATCTGGTAACTTTGCAGTCTCTGAATTTTTTAATAATTTCTTATAGCATGTATATACTGGCTAGCAAGAGTCAAAGAAAATCCATGCAATTTTTTCTTTAAAATTATCTCCCTATGCTGAATAGAGAGCCCAGAAATAATGACACACTTATATGAACAACTAATCTTTGACAAAGGAGCAAAGAATATGCAATGGAACATGGACAGTTTGTTCAATAAATGGTGCTGGGAAAACTCCACATGCAAAAAAGTGAAACTAGACCACTACCTCTCACCATGCACAAAAATCAACTCAAAATGGATAAAGACCTGAAACCACAAAATATATAGAAGAAAATATAAGCAAAACACTACAAGACATACATCTTAGAAACATCTTTAAAGACTCATCACCCAAAGCAGTGATAGTGAAGGCAAAGATAAACACCTGGGATTACATCAAACTGAAAAGCTTCTGTACAGCAAAAAAGACGTTAACCAAAACAAAGAGACACCCCACTGATTGGGAAAAAAAATCTTTGCACTCCATTTGACTGATAAGGGTCTGATCACAAAGATATACAAAGAACTCACATGGCTCAACAAAAACAAAATAAACAATCCAGTCAAGAAATGGGCAGAAGAACTTAAAAGACATTTCTCCAAAGAAGAAATGCAAATGGCCAACAGGCATATGAAAAAATGTTCAACATCCCTTAAAATCAGGGAAATGCAATTCAAAACCACACTGAGATACCACCTTACACCAGTAAGAATGGCACATAGCAAAAAACCAAGCAACAACAAATGTTGGTGAGGATGTGGTGAAAAAGGAACTCTCCTACACTGCTGGTGGGAGTGCAAACTGGTCCAACCACTATGGAGAGCTGTCTGGAGGTTCCTCAGTCTACTAAAAATGGAGCTACCATATGACTTGGCAATTCCACTGCTAGGGATCTACCCAAAGACACAAAAACATTGATTCAAAAGACCACCTGTACCCCTATGTTTATTGCAGCACTATTTACAATAGGTAAAACCTGAAAACAACCCAAATGCCCAAAAATAGATGACTAGATCAAGAAGATGTGTTACATATACACCATGGAATATTATTCAGCAATCAAAAAAGATAATCTCATGCCATTCGCAGCAACATGGATGGAGCTAGAAGGAATTATGCTCAGTGAATTAAGCCAGAAGGAAAAAGAAAAATATCAGATGGTTTCACTTATAGCAGGAATATAGCGGAACCAAATAAGACATCAGTGTAAAAAAATAATAGCAGTACAAAACACAACAAAGCAAAAACAGACAATTATAAATCAGAGACATCCTGCAGGGGAGGAGGAGGGAGAGGGATCAAAGGGAGGGAGGGAGGAGCACAGGGGACTGAGGTGATGGTGCACCGGTGTCTTGGGGAAGGAAACTCTATGGGGACTACACCTGAGGGGGTGGGGGAAAGCAAATATTGATTAAAAAAATAAAAAATTAAAAAAATTTTAAAAATTATCTTTACAAGAAAAAAATTATCTCCCTATGATACATACTTTATAGCTGTTACATTGTAACCGTTATTACGTGATTAACAAATTTTTAGATAAAAGTAAAGTTTATAAAAGATAGACTGACTATAATAAAATCAGCTTTAAGATTAGGGAATATGATGAGTTGAAAATAAAGAATATGATGATGCTATTGCTTATCTTTCAGACTAATTGGCTATAGGTGGTGTACCTGACTTTCTAAAATTGTTATATGGTTTTAAATTTACTTGGAAGGAAACAATGTGTTTAAATAAAGAAGAGCCACGGTGTCTGGATTTTCTGTTCTTAGAACCTTCCAAAATGGTATAAAGGGAGGCACAATCATAAATCAAGCAGCCCTACAAAATAGAAACATACTTTATTACCTTTCAAAGCTTCTACTTTTTCATGTTTTCCTTTTTTATATTCTTTCTTAAGATTTTTAATTCTGAAAAAAAAAGAAGAAAATATTTTGAGGGAATTATGGAGATGGTCAGATGACTGATACATTAAGTCTTTGAGGCTTTGGAAAATTCGGGGTTCTTTCCTTCCTGCACACCCAGGTGACGGCAGAAGCATCCAGGACACCCCCTTAGATGGAGAAGTCTCGATCATTGTAAGCTGACAGGCTGCACTAGAAGCAGCAGCAGCTAGAGCGGGGGAACAGAATGCTGGAAGGGGGTAGGGGAGAAGGAGGGATGGAGAAAAGGGGGTAGAGAGAGAGAGAGAGAGAGGAAGAAGAAGAAGAAAGAGACTGAGGAAAATGACATATAAAGATTATTTCTTTAATGATGATTATTGGTATACTATAAAGTGCTAGTAAATGAAAGTGCTGGTAATTTGACAAAAAAAAGTGCTATCAAGAACGAGTGTATTCTTTCATGAGCATAGTATCCTGGGTGTAGTTGTACCAAGATGCAAATCTTTGTCACATCTGTATTCTGTCTGATAGAGTTCTGGTCTGTCACCTGCTCCCCATTGATTGTCCATGTAATTTCCTTATTACCTGATGGCTTCTTTTCCATGGAATTCTGGAGACACTGGTTCGAAAGAGTCATTAGATGAAGAATTTGTATCTGTTTCATTCTCAAGAGCCATGTGATCAGCCCTCTGGGGTTGGAACCAGAAAGAGGACTTCAGGAAAAACCAGGGAGAATGTCGATGTCCATATTCGGCTTCATGAACAGGAGACAATTAAATATTGGGTCAATCACCACTTTATGGACTATACCCACCACAGAGCATCACATCAATACAATTTCCTTTATTTTAAAACTCAATAGATTGTCACCTAAAGGTCTCTCTGTTTCCATATGTCCATGACATATACAGAACAGTGAGAAAAACGTAACTTAGGTGTTACCATCCACTATGGTGTTTCTAATATGAGAAGCGTGTTGCATTGTTATCTAATTAGAAATCCCTCAAAGCAGAGTGAAATAATTCAGGAGGAATTTAAATATAATAGTAAACAAAATCTTAATTTGCCCAGAGTCACTGGTAATGCTGAGAAATAAGTCTTGTGTCATTGCCTGGTAGAATTTTAACAAGTTAATAGAGACTGATGATTCTAGAACTTAAGGCTCTCCTTATAAGAGAACTTGGGGCAGGAAATAATGACATTAAGGACAAATCTTAAGAATGAAAGAAATGGAGCAAATGCATAGACATGAAGGAGAAAAGTGAAAGGCTTCTGGGTGGTAATTCTCAGCAATATAAATATAGCTGCCTCTAACCATTACTCTTAGTACTCTTAGCACAAGAACAGAAAATGCAAATAAATTACAGGAAAATGGGATCTGGGTGACTGGAAATTTTTACAAGAGAGTGAAGATGATTGATTCATCTTATTCCTAAATTTACTTTTTTTTTTAAAAGATATTTTATTTATTTATTTATGCAAGCACTGGGTACAGTCAGAAGCGTGGGAGGGTGAGAGAATTCACCAGAGCCAGAGTGGGGAACAGAACAGGCAGACTGACAAAGTACACTGCTGAGGGGAGCAGCGGGCACGGCAGGAGAGGTCTGCGCACCATGTGGGACTCTCGCCTGCGGCGGCGGGGGAATGAACCAGCGCTGCAGAGTCTGCGGGCAGCTTCGCAACCCAGCGCTCAACCGCCTGCGCCACCAGGGGAGGCACCCTAAGTTTACTTTTACGGAATGGCTTATGCTAGAAGTTTTTCAAAAGTACTGACAGCTGTTATTCTATATGTCAATTCTCTCAGAAAGATAATAAATAAAAATTCAAAAGTCTCCTTCCTTCCTTAACTAACCTTCCGTTTTTTTCCACTACCTCCTCCCTAACATTTATCTAATAGGAAGTAAGATGGATAGACAAACTCCTTAGGTAAAGATTGTCCTTCTCTGTAGGACAGATTTGTTTTTTCTATGCAACTAAAATGTTGTGGATTCATAATCCATATTGCTTGTCAGGTGAGTTAAATTGGGAATCACTTGGAAATTCTTAAAATCCAATGTCAAGCACTAGCATTCTTCACCTATACAAGCATTAACAGTATACAAGCATCCTTCACCTTGTACAAGCATTAACAGTATAATTTTCTATAATCTCTTGTGCCTCTTTTTTAAAACAAATAATCTAAAGTATTAATTGCAGAAAAACATTTTAGAAGGTAACTCTATAAACAAAGTGCAGAATACCTTTAGGCTTATTTAGAAGTTTTAAAGAAAGATGCTTGATAATTTATATTCAATACATTGTAGACAGTTTAAAGAAATGCAATGAATTAAATTGTATTGAATCACAACCAGGTTACTACTTACTGGGCAAAATTTTGTCAAAATACAATGTCAATACCAAATACAAAAAAGCATCAAATATCAACATGAAAAAAGTCGCTATTATTAAGTAAGGGTTGTTTGTAGAATCCAAATGGACATTAGAATTCACGTCGTAGTCCAAATGTATAAGCTGAAAAAAATAACATATGTTGAATTTCCAAAGGATAAAATGCAGAGTTATTTTTTCTTATTTCTGCTAGACACTGGGATTGAATAGATATAAACAGACATAATTCCTGTCTTTACAGAGTTCTAATCTACTGGAAGACAAAGCAATGAAACAATCCAACTCCAAAGTAACTTGGGGAATGAATGGAGGTAGAAACCAAGGATGTAGAGATGCATAGCAGCAGTAGACAAATCCTCTAGTAGGAGGTAAAAACTCAAGGAAGGTGAATTTTGATCTGGGGGCACAAGGATTGCATTGGGCTTAGGATAGGGGAAGACGGGTATTCCAGACAGGATACCATTTGAGAATGAGAACATGGCGGGGTGAGAGTACTTCAGTAGTTGGGCAGAAGACAGAAGAATAATTTCTTTGAAATTTAATTATATAATACAATGAGTTTATATGTAACATAATCTTACATTTAACATTTTATATCTATGATGTCACATGTAGAATTAAATTTCCTGAGAAGAGGTTCAGTTTCATTTATAACTAATCAATCAAAAAATAAAAATGTATTTCTATTAAATTCCTGGTTTTCAAATACTTGTAATATTGTTAAGGGGTCACACTTCCTGTGCATTAAATTAGATTAACACTATCATATCATTAGAAAACTTATCATTAGGGAAAAATACAAATTACAAGTATATCATTAGGAAAAAAACATTAAAGGTAAAAGTTGATCCAGATCTATAATTGGTAATTTACAAAGAAAACTGATTAGGCTGAGAGAAATAAATGCAAACTTCTCCTATCCCATAGGGGTGCATCTTTACAAAAGTGGGTGGGAATTTTAATGCTTCAAACTTGTAGCATGAATTACTCAGAGGGAACCTCTTTTAACTGTAAAAAAGTGAAACAGTTACATTAGCTCTTACCTGGGCCATTCCAGCAGTGAACGCAAAAGGGCTAAGAAGACATAAGGTCCACTCCCAAAAAGCAGGGAGATGTCTATACAAGGCAGTGAATCCCAGACTCCCCCAAAAGACAATTAGGAGAAAGACCACCAAGCCAGTGAGGAAGGGTTTCTTCACCAACACGCTCACCAGGAAAGCTAAAGTTATCTGGGAAGAGAGAAAAACTTTAGTGAGCACATAATTCTCTGAGAATCATCAGTAGCATAATAAAATGAGTTTCATATCACAAAAGGGTATTTCATCAACATTCCACTCTGAGATACTGTCTCCTAGAAATCCTGCAATGTTGCAAAGAGAAGAGAAGGAGTGGATGAGATTCAGTGAGAAATGACCAGTAGGTCTCGTTGTTTAATCTGCGAACTCACCAAAGAAAGGCCATACAGGAGGAAGAGGATGAAGATCACCACGAAGCCAGTTAGGACAATAACCTGGGCAGATTTCACAATAAGAGCCATCAGCATGGCCACAATGAGCGTGAAGCCAGCGTACATCAACCCCCAGGAGAACCTAACAGAGAAACAGAACATCAGCTCTGATGGCTGTTAGTTCATCGCTCGTTCATTTGTTCATTCAGCAAATGATTGGCAAAGCTTATCATGTGTCAAGAACACAACAGCCAAAGGAAATACAACAGCTAATAAATAGGAAAATTTCTCTGCCTCAAAATTCATATTCTACAGGGGAAAGAAGGCCATAAATGAGTCAAGAGGTAAATAAGGTATTTAATTGCAAAAAAAACAAAGAACAAAAAACAAAACAAGTCTGGGTGACAGAATGAGAGCAATTGGGAGAGGTGTTTAGTGTGACATCTATGAGTTTACAATTCTTGACTTCCTTTAATAAAGTAATTATATAAACACCAAGGATGAAATATACATAAAGACATAAGGATCAGCACATTTTTTTCTCTAAAAAGCCAAGTAGTAAATATTTTAGGTTTTGTGGGTAATAAGTTTGCTTTGTAGCATAAAGCCATTGTAGACAATACACAAATGATGAGTATGTTTGTGTTCCAATAAAAATTTATTTGTGGACAATGAATTTGATTTTCACATAAATATCTGTGCACCATTAAATATTCTTGCTCTTTGGATTTTTTTCCTAAGCATTAACAAAACCCATTTCTAATTTTCAGATTGTATAAAAATGGGCTCTCATTTGCCGATTTTAATATGAATTATTAGAAATTAGATATAGATGCGGATATACACAAAGGTAAGGATGATGCTTATATATGTCGAATGTGAAGCTAGGTTGTTCTTGCTATTAATACCAAAGAAACAGGAAGAGATTTCTTCAGAAGAGAAAGAGAACAAATAATCCTTCTCAAGCATGTGGATCTGGGTTCAAGTTTTCTCTGCTACACTGAAATTATGATTCTGAGAGATAGTTATGGCTGCTGCAAAGTCTTGTCACTTTTTGTTATAAAAGAGAAAATTCTTTTTGAATTTTATTTAACTAGCAAAAACAGGCACTAGTGTAGGTCTCTAGTAAAGGTAAAAGGACATAATGCAAACTTTTGAAAAGCAGAGGATACCTGTACTTCCTTTGGCTAAATTCATTAGAAAATTTTATTTTATTGTCAATTGGGCATTTGATCTTTGGTTTCATAACTTGCACTACTGTTCTCCCAGGCATACTTTCCAAAGTTCTACCATCTGCCATCTATTTATATAACATTTAATGTGAATTTATATAATGCACTTTAAATACAATTCCTTCTTTAATTTTCATGGCCAAGGAAAGATAAAATTATTATTAATATTTCACAGAAAAGAAAACCAAAGTTTAAAGAAATTAGGGAGTTTGCTCAGGGGGGTAATGCCCAGGTGGAGATGAACCGTTGCTTCCTGCCTCCCACCCCCTTCAGCACTTCTGGTGAGAAAAGCTCTGAGCTTAATTAGCATGATGGCTCATTCAATATGGGGTCAAAATCAATCATTCTTTCAAATAAAACATCTGAAACATACATTCCATCAAACATCAGAAGTCTCAGGTTCTTGTGTATTTGGGTTTACCCATATCTGTTTGTCACTGACTGAGAGCCAGCATCATTTGCACAGTGTCCTGCGTATCAGCAGATAGCTACAGGATGAGACTTTCTTTAATTCATTTTTAAATTTTTTTTTCCTGAAAGTTTATTTTATTTTCTTAATATATATTTTACATTATTCTTCCTTTTTGTCCAATGCATGCTTTCTCCTCTCGGGTGTAGTCCCTGCAAAATTCCCCACCAACACATTCCCTCCCCTGTTTTGATCCCTCTCTCTCCCCCTCCTATGCAGCATGTCTCTGATTAATAGTTGCCTGTTAATTTTGTTTTTTAATTTATTATAATTATTTTTTTCCTGGCTCCTTATTTGGTTCCCCTACATTCCTCTTATAAGTGAAACCATCCGATATTTTTCTTTTTCCTTCTGGCTTATTTCACTCAGCATAATCCCTTCCAGCTTCATTCATGTTGCTGCAAATGGGATGAGACTTTCTTTAATTCAAAGAGGTATAAAAGTTGCGTTTACCAAGCCTAAAAGTCCATCTCCTCCACTAGAATGTACTACTTGTGAAAGTACCATGTTTACGTCTGATATGTTGGGCACACCACCATATTAGCTTGCTCTGTTTATCTGTGCTGTGTGATGTATTGTAGCCCTGTGATTTACCAGAATGCTGACTCTCGAAGTCCCATCATTGTCATCAGTGACTTAATGCATTGTCTTTCTTGCGCAACATTGACTGAGACATAGTATATGAATGCAGAAAAAGAGATAACGCAGAAGAAAATGAAAAAATCCGTCGTGACTCCTGCTTGGGCAACAAAAGGTAAGAGCTTCATATTTATGCCAGTAACTGACATGAGCTCTTCCATCACTGAATGATTTGTTGTGATCTGAAGAGAGATATCAATAAATACACTGTTATTAAACTAATTATAACCTCAGACACTTTTTCTCAATTGTAAGAAGCAATGTATATTTCACATTTAAATATATATGTCCATCATAACCTGGCCCGTGGGAGGAAAAAACAGAGGAAAAACTGTTTTTCTTCTGAATTTTTAGGTCATCCGTATTTACCATGTCTGCTTGACAAAACCCTACTCATGCATGGAGGCTCTAATTAAATGTCACTTCAATCCATACATCTCCTCTGATACTTCTCATCAGTGCCTTGCAGTTCGTTGTTTATCTACCACACCACTTCCGATTCTATCATAGAACTTAAACTCTGATTACGGCTATATGTCCATATTTCTATCTCCTCACTACCTCAGATCCCAAGTTCTACTTCTTTCCTAACCCTCAGTGCTTAGCATAACTGTGTCAACATAGTAGCTGTTCAGTATATTGCACCAAAGTCCTCAAGTGCATAAATTAATAGGGCAGCCCTTTATATCACCATCCACCAAAATTCAATTCACATTACTACTCACTTCTATGATGGCAGCATTAATGGCAGCTTGGAAAGCTACAAAGCCTTTCTCCCAGAAGATGGAACCTTCACATGTGATTTTTTCATCTATTGTTTGACAATGTGCTTTAGGAAAAGAAGAACAGAAATATCATGATGGGATGAGATGATCTTGGTTAGAGGAAAAATCAAAAGTTCACATGTTCCAACCTGCACTCTTAGTCCATGATAGTAAATGGCAGGACTGTTCGGGTGAGGTTCCGTAGGAGAATCCAACATCCAAGGAGAATACATTGGAATACATATATTTAAATGGAGGTAATTTTGGCTTACATTACTGTTGGTGTTTTGGAAGTATAGGCTCCCCCTTCAAGTGTAGTAAACTAGTGTACCCATCACCAAATCAACCCTCATCCACTGCCACAATCCACTGTGCTCCCTCCCTGCTTTGTTCTGGTCCTTCCTCCCAATCTGTATGGTTCAGTTCTATAGTCAGCTATCAAGGGTTAGTTTTTAATCTTGTCTTTATCTGACCCTTGTTTGATTTCTTCATATTTCACATCCAAGTGACACCATATGTTGGAATGTGTTACTAATATTCTTAAGATCAGTTCTCAATAATTTTGCATTCTCTCATCTAATTCTCTCCATTAATCAAGAATGTTTTGTTGATCTTTACTCTTATATTGTTTGGACCAAGAAAACACAATTTTAAAAAAAAAATTTGGGAATCATTGACCAACAATGTTATCTTGAGGTTTTGTTTAGGAGTAAAGCAGGAATAACAGCAAATATTATTTCCTAACAAAGCAATGTACTTAAGACCAAAGCTTTATTTCATAGGAATGAATCTCATTTACATTCAGAAATTTAAAGTTTGTGTTGTGTATGTTTGGGTAGCTTTCTGCCATCACATATGTACACTTGTGGCTAATGTCATAATAACAAGACAAACTTTTTTTTCTAAGAGAAAGTTACCTAAATGGTCTCTGTGTTCCTTCATCTTGGGGATTCTACCTCTCCAGGAAAACTTCAAATGATATGAGAAGGTATCATTAAATATGACTCTCACTGCATCTATAGAATAGTTAAAGTCCAATTCATCCATGCTTTTTTCATCGGGCCACCCCATGATTGTTCTTCCTGCCAAGTGAGAGAAAGGAATAACTCAGTAAAGATTTCTACGTGGTCCAAAGACAGCACACCATATTCAATCATGTTAGAGTTATTTCTTCACTAAAGGCAAGCTGACCCTAAACAAGAGACTCAGCGTTAGAAGGATGACTGTGGTGGGGGAGTTCAAACATTCTAAATAAAACCAGAAGAGTTAAGTGGTAATTACATTTTATCACTAATAGATTCTGCCTTTGCAAATACACTACTTAGCCAATAAGTTAGAGCACAATGAATTTGGAATAATAGCAATACTGATGCATATATTAAAACTCATGAACACATAATCTATCTAAAGCTGAAATATATACTATAATGACAGGCAGATGCTGTAATTATAGTATATATTTCCATTTGACAATGTTGTCAATGTGGTCAAACTTCCAAAGACAGCGTAAAATTGTTAAATTTGAAGTGTTTTTTCAAGAGACTTTGTTTATTCTAGAATATGTAGTGTAAGTGAATGACTGTTACTAACCAAACCCAGACCGTGTAACCCATATGCTTCCTCACAGATGGGATGCTGTTGCATGCATGTTCCTGGTGCATTTGAACATGTTCCTTTGTTCTTTGTATTTTTTGCAATCTGGTAACTGGACCCATAGGCTTAAGCACACTCAGGTCTAATCCCTTTGTGTTCTTCCATCAGAGTGTCATCATTTCTGATTCTCTCTCCTTTTGAGATATTAGCAACTTCGACCTTCAGTATCCAGATCCACTAACTCAATGGGGGTTTCAAAATGGCAATGCTCTATCATTTCTTTTTCTTTTATGAGTAGAAGACATGAAGCAGTACTTTCTATCATCTTTTTGGTTATCAACAGTCCAGTCTGTTGTCCCATTTTCAAACTAAGGACTGATCCTCCAAGGACAAATAATATTTTTCCTTTAACATCATTATGAAAGCACAGATTTAGGTATATGTTGAGTAAGTTTCAAATCATTACACTTGTTTTTGTTGAAGATCAACTTAAGCCAACTTTGGCCAGTGAGAGTCTCTTCAGGCTGAAGTAACCCATTTGTTCCCAATGGCTTTCTAGCTATCTGGAATGGTAACATTCCTCACCCTGTAAATTTCTGCCCTAGACCTCAGCCTCTCCTTTCTTCTGTACTGAGACACTGGTGTTTCAAAGATATGGCTGACAGAACTAGACTATTTCATAATTACTTATTTGGCCTGTCCCACTTTAACCTTTAACAGCCTTGTAATAACATTCTAACACAGCACTACCAACACAATTACTGAAAATGGTTTCAATTGTTCTTTACAAATTAGTACTGGCTTCCTCATATAGTGTTTTTCTCCCCTTCTTAAGCCCATCAGATATCCTACTGCATCCCTTTGCTCTCTGAACACCTCCAGAGAGAAAAGAGAATACAGGCTTGTAGCTGCTAAGTGCTTCTTCCTCATTCACTTATATTTTGGTATTTAGTAAAATACTGTCATCCAATCTTGTTGTAAACATTGTCCCTGATTTCTTGGTTTTGCTATCTAATTTTATTCTCAATTCTTATGTATTTGAAGAGAACAAAATACATGCTGTAAATGCTGCTCAAGCTTTCCTGAAACTTCTCACAAAATGAAAAACCCTGGACTATATCACTTTTATCCTATAATGAGGATAAACTCTTTTTATATAAGATTTCCTAAATAGGAGACTAGAAAATAGGATAAGGAAATCTCTCTGATATTAGAAAGGAATGTGCATCAGTGTTATAAATTAAATCTAGAACTTGAACACTTAACAGTCTATCAAGAAAATCCCAAAATGATTTTATGTGTTTTGCAAATGTGGAAATTACCATGAATTACCCACACATACCTTTCATGAATGGGGCCGAAGCCACTTTATTCATTATTTCCTGGGTTGTTGTGGACTCGGGTGCAAATGCAATAACATAATTAGAATCATTAAAATTATCTACACGTCCCAGATCCATTGCAGGCGAGTGAGGAAAGTCATTAACTTGATGTAAATCAGAGGCAAATAGGTATGCAAAGAGTATTAGAAGAAATGAGAAAAACCACTCCTACACAGCAACAAGAAAAAAAATGAAGCAAATCAATCTCCATTCAACCACAGATTAAACATTCACAGACAACTGAAAACAATTATGTCATGCAGTTTGGATTCCATCTTTTCTGTCCCAGTTTTCAATTGTTTCATCTTCCCTTTGTCCTTTAAATATGCAATATGCACATTACCCATCAAGACAGAGTTGTAGCGTGAATTCCGATTATAATGGAGAATCTAAGTTGGTCATACTTTAATGCAAATGGCCCAATGGTTAATAGTCATTTGAAACCTGAGTGGCAGTGATAAAGAAGTGAGTGTTAGCTGGTTTGGGGTAGATAACCAGTTTCCATCAACAGAAGCAAGGTGTTATTACCCTCATCTGCCTGCATGTAGAAAAAGATAGTCTCCAATTATATAGCACATCAAAAGAATTCTGAAAGTCTTCGTCACTTGACAACATTCTAGAATTGGAAATGCAACAAGATGCATTTGAAGTCCAACTACAAGAACAGGATGATGAAGATTATGATGATGATATAATTCTAAACAAATAGCCTTTTCAGAAAAAAGCACATATCATATTTACCTTATGATCCTATTTTAGCTATTTGTTGGACAATATATCTACTAGTATCTAGACAGGAAATCGACAGATACAATGCTTATAGAAAAAGTTTAAATCTGGAAGTAAAACAACAATATAGAGGTAGAATCCAACTTTCATATTTATATTTACATAATCCGTGCTCCATGCAGGGGGTTTTGTACACTTTGATCATTGCCAATCGGAACATTTTTGAAATACAGTTTATGAGGGATTTTACCTTATTTGTGATATTTTTTTCAAATTTACTGAATTTTCTTCACAAAAATAAGCATGATCTAAATGGAATCAAAAGTGAAAATGCCATTTTCTATTCCTGTTTATGCACCCATTATTCCCTTCTAATTGATATTGTCTCTATCCCTAGTACTATTGATTAGAAGTGTTAGAATTTGACTTTTGAGTGCTTTTAAAACTTCAGATTACTTTTTGAATTAATTCTAGACTACATTTTGCCTCTTTGGTTTTGGCCCTGAACGTCTGTTCTTATTCCTTCATGAGACTCAGATGAATTCAAATATTAATAATTTCTATCTTTGCAGTATCAGATGTAGCCTTATTTTTCTGGGAGTTTTTGAATATGAGTTCTTTTTAAAAATGCCACAGTAGGACATATAAGAATATATTTTAAAGAAGTCATATTTGAAACAAAAGCTAAGTGCAGAATTTGAAAAAAATCCATCCTGCTAGTTAGAAATGGAATAGATGTTAAACATTAAATAATGAGGAAAAAGTCTTTTCTTTTTCTTTTCTTCTAAGTTTAAGGAGACAAAAACTCTGACCATACCAACAAGGTCTCTCTTCTCATCCTCCATTTTTTCAGTAAGTTCTTGCAGAGGAGGGCCCATGTTTGCTGACCCACACTGATGTGCCTTTTGCTCATTCTGACCTGTTTACTTTAAAACAAGGAAGGAAAGGAAGTAAATGTGAAGGTCTGAAATAGAAAACATTGTGCAATCAAACCAAAAAGAAACCTCCTAACAGCTGTTTCCAATTGCATGCATAGAGGAGGGAGCCAAAGGTTAAAAACAAAGGATGTTCAAGTTAAGTACTGAGAGAAACAAAAATTAAAACAATTATGAGATGTCATGTACATTTATCTTCATTTCCCTGGTAAAAATTAGTGTTAGGTAGCATCATCACTACAAATTAACTTTGCTCAATTTTCTACTTACACAGACATTTGGTGATTTATTACCAACTCATTACTACTTAGCAATATTCTGCCATCAATCAGATCTGCTTCTGGGTATGTATGCCAAGAAAATTCTTCAGGGGTCCATGAGGGCACTGCATGAAGATGCTCATGACATAGAGCAGTGTGGCACAGTGTTATAAAGCAAGTTTCAATGCACTTCAAGAGACTCAGAGCAATAGATTTGCATCCACACAGCAATAAGCAAAAATCTGAAAACCATAGTGCTGATTTAAAAACATGAAAGAAGACCAGGAAGCTACATCACCATGCCATTTCTATTAATGTGCAGCACACCTTTTTCAAGAACATCCAGGAGGCACAGAATCACCATCAAATACAATGAAAAGATGACCTGCGGCAGTGGAAAATGGGGACTAAAGTTGAGTATAAACTGGGAGTAGTAAATTAAAAGAAATAAATAACCAAAACAAGGTAGGAGTTTCGCATGAACCAATCATTTTGTGTGCCTTGAGCTCAAAAATAGGATTAGCCTTTTATGAGTGAATATCAAAATAGGACCAAGAAAGCCATCAAAACAAACAATAACCCCACCAGGAACAAAACTCACAGGCAAGTAGATAAAGAAATCTCATGAAAGTTCACAGGCTTCTGTATGGTTCATGATGACTGGACCAAATGGTGAGTGGAGAGAGTTTGAATGTTAACTAACATTTAATGGTGGCTTCCCATGTTCCAGGTAGTTTTAAGTGCTTTGTAAGAATTAACTAGTTTAATCCTTACAATAAGCCTTCAGGAGATATTTGATTATTCTCCCCATTTTGCAGATGACGAAAATGAAGCACAGATTGGCATTGACTGGCCAAACACCACTACTTGTGGTAGAGTCAGGACTTTAACCCAGATGGTCCAGTTCTGGAGCACTCACTCCTAATCAGTGAGCTGTAGAAATTTGTCTAGGGAAATTGTGGACCAGTCGTCTCCTCTGTGCAAGAGCAGAGAGTCTTTAGCATCCACGTACGAGCAGTGAGGGGCATCAGGAGGGGCCCACTCAGCCACTTAGTTATCCACAGGCTTTGGTTTGCACTGTCACTGCCAGGCACTTCCAGATGCTGGAGCACTAGGAGAACAAGATAACTCTCTCTTTAGAGGTACAGAAAATACATAATTTTTGGAGCAGAAAATTTTATTACAGTAAACAAGGAAAGTTTTAAAATCTTCCATTGAGTGACCATAATAAAATTCACAAAGGAAGAGAAAAAGAAGCAAAAAATAAATAACATACTTCAAATTCCCACTGAAGTCAGGAAAGAATGCAAAATCTTCCATGACACAGAGAAAAGTTTCATCAGCCTCCCAAATGTTCAAAGGAAATTAAACATTTGAAAATGTGAGAGAGAGAAATACATGGAATAAAGAGAAAGAAATGATCAAAAGTAAAGTATTTGGTAAAGAGATATCCAAAAAGAAGAAAATTCAGCTGCAAGAAAAATGCATTAGAGAAAATTAATTGTAATATGTGTGATGGAAATTAATATTTCAATGTTGTGAAATGTGTAAAAATGCATATATTTCCCAAAAAGCTTTCCAAGTACCAAATATGACAAAAATAATACCTTTGAAATTAAGAAGTAAAGGGAAAAGTCAATAAGAATCTAGTTGACTGGAAGGGGGTCAACAGTTTATAATGGTGTAAAAATCAGCCCTCTATATCGAAATCAAATACCTAGAGCACCCAGTTTTATTGCCAATAGAATAAATCTCAGACCCATGATATCTGTCATTCCCCCTTGCATATTTGCTTAGGTGGGAGGTGGTACTAGTGGTGGGGGTAAGCTGACAACAGATACACAAATCAGATAAATTTGTACTTGCAAGTCCTGACCTGGAACCTCATTCTCAGTCAAATAGTTTATTATTGGAGTCACCATAGACATCATTATTTGCAGGCACCCAAGTTGCTCTGCTGTTGTCAAAGGGATATAATGATCTATTCCCTCCTTTTATGGGTTCAGCCTGGGCCTTGGGTTAACCCAACTAAGGACTTAGCCTTGCAGGGAGAAAAACCTTTATGTTAACACAGCTTATCCAGTCAGTCAGACAATTGGATTCCAACATCACCAACTTGTGGTTTGAATTGCTTGCAGCCAGCATTCTAATTCTAGTCTAGAAACTACCCAGCAAGACTTCAGGACACATCTGTCTAACAGACATTAACGGATGTGCTTCAAACCTGATAAAGGCAGCAGACTCCAGGTATGACAGTCGATCTGGTAGTGGTGATGCAATGAAATTATTTAAATGATAATTTTAGTGTGGCCCAAGAATTACTAGTATAGGTTTTCCCCACTATCCAAAAGTAGAGCATTCCAACGAAACCTTACATAAGAGGAAGTGGTATAAATCAAGTACGCAATTACCATTAATTTATTCAGAAAACTTTTGAGCATTCCCAGATCCCTAAAATTGCCAGCCAAATCATACCAAATAACTCATAAAAGCTAAAATAATACTAACATATAGCGAAAGCAGGAATGTGATGATAAACACATAACTTAACAAACACATAGTCCCTAGGAAAGGAGCTTGGCGGGGCCACTCTTGCCGCTGGGAATCATACCACCTCTAGAGCAGCTGCTATAAAACCAACACTTAACACTTTCTTGCTTTCCATCTTTTGCCATTAAAGACAAAATCCTCAGTGGATCACTTTCATTTAGCAAAACGGGGGTGAAATCCCATGAAGCATCTTAACTGATAAAATAGTAGTTAATAGGATCCATCATTCTAGCGGAGTGTCATTCTAGCATGAGACTGTCAAACAGACAAGACTTGGAGAGAGAATCAGTGGATGAAATGTTCCAAGGACTGTGGTTTGAGCTTTGTACGGTGCTTGGAGGGCAAGGTTGATTGGCTATTGAGACCTGGGTTTTTAGCGTGATGGTCTCCTCCCTTGGTGGTATATACTGAGAGGGCAAGGAAATCAAGAGGTTGCTATTGCCTCTTATCATTTTAACAGTGATCATCTGGTTACTAGCTGCAGGACCTAAACATCCCAATCTTTTCCATGAGGCAGGAGCAAAACCATGAATATACTGCCCTCTGCAGGTGTTCAGGAAGTAATTCACATGGGAAGACTGACTCCAGGCAGCCTCCAGGGCACTCCCCATGGTGTACTGCAGGGATATGCTGTTGCCAGTTAAGTCTGAAAGTCTGGGATTAATTGAAAACGAATGTGATAGGCAGAATCATGTTCTTCTAATCTCAGAATATGTGAATACATTTTATTACATTGCATTACATGACAAGGGGGAATGATGTTAGCAGATGAGCTAAGGTTGCTAAACAGGAAGGTAATCTGGGGTGATCTGGGCAAACCCAGTATAATCACATTGGTCCTTAAAAATGAAAAGGGAGGCAGGAAAAGGAGCTCAGAGTAACAGATGTGAAAAGGAGTCAGCCAGCTTTGAAGACGGAGGAAGAAAGACCAGGAGCAAGGGAATGTGGGAAGCCTCCAGAAACTGGAAAAGGCAGAATTCTCCCCTACATCCTCAAGAAAGGAACACCATCCTGCCAACACCTGGATTTTAGTCCAGTGAGACTCACATCACACTTCTTACCTCCCAGACTGTAGAATGTAAACGCGTTTCAGTCGTTAAGCCTGAGGAGATCTGTTACATCAGCAAATGAAAACGAATAAGAAGAGTGAGTTAGAGAAGAAAAGAAAAGAAAAGAAGAAATTTAAAGTCAGTCTAGCCCCAGGCCATTATAAGGCAAAATAGGTGCTGGAGGCTCCTTTGATAGTATGTGCACACATGGACAAAGGCAGGAATGGGTTTAAGTTCAAACAGTGTCCAGGAATGAGCAGAGGAATGCAGAAGTGATGTGGATGACCTCGAGATGAAGCCATCTGAATCTGCGCAGGCTCTGTGAGCCTGGACACCCCAGCGAAAGCCCAAATGCACCATCTCCAAGTAGGGAATGTGGTAAACCTGGTAAGCCTGGTAAACCACCGAGTCTATCTCCCAAGTGCCCAGTCTTCTTTCTTTCCACAGGTGGATGCATGTGCAAAAAATTTTTATGAATAAAAAATAATCAGTGTGATCTAATAGTCCTGATTGTGGTTCTTTGTTTCTGATGGATTTTTTTCCCCCCACTGAACACCCTTCATGTAAATGTCATGTAAATGTCACCCTTCGTGTAAAATAACTACTCGCCATAGCACAGAACATCTCACTCCCTTAAATCACTCTGACAAATCCTGTGATCTAGAAATAATAATTTGGCCATAAAGAGCCAGTCATTTCGCAGTCAGATTCCTAGTGTGCAGATAATAAATACATTGCACAACCAATTAGATCAGATTTCTTGTATATTTCATGTGATAAATAAGATCCACCAAAAGATTGCTTTAAGTTTTCTTCATGAAGACATTCTCAAACCAGTTAAAACAATTCAAAACTCAGAAAGTCTTGTATCCTCCAATGATTACAATTCCTCTGGCAATAAAATTGAAAGTAATTTAAAAAAATAAATAATTCAAATAATTTGGAGAATCTCTCATTCCTGCTACCAAGCAACATAAAGTTCTTTTCAATTTATCCATAGCCTTCTAGACAATATAATATTATTTGTTTAAACATGCTTTGATAATGGGGTAAAACTGGAAAAAAAAAAAACTTAGTTCTCCAAACGGCTATTTAGCCACACAATATAAAATACTCAGAGAGCTTGAAAAATCAGGTTCTCTAATAACAATAGTTACTGTTTCCATCCAAATAGTTTGGCATCCCCTATCTGAAGTCGTATGTTATATTTTCACAGGCAAAACAATCATAATTTTAGAGGTTAACTTACTCTCAGGAAAGCTGGAACGAAAATAGAAACAGCTCCTCCACGGGCTTCCGCATGTCCTGGAGATGAATTCACATTCCTTTTGGGTCACTCCTATGTGATGCTTTGAATTTCAGGTTGATTGTGAATAGCTCCGTTTTAGATTGATTTCCGAAAAGGACTGTGGTCTTAATTCAGTCAGGCTGCCCAAAGCTCTGTGCTTCCATCACATGGAGACTTCTTTACAGTTTTCCATTTCTTTGTCTCCCCGCCAGTGCCTCAGCAGGGAGTTTGCAGTTGCAGATGGCTGGCTGGACATATCAAAACATTAGGAACGATCAAACCAAAGTGAATCCAGTCTTTCTCAATTAGCTTTTTTCCTCTAAAACCCTAATGGGAGAGTTGATCCCCAACACAATCTTTTTAAGAAAGGTAAGTAGACAGTTCAGAAAAGAGCAGACAGAAGTGGGAGAAAAGATTTTTTAAAATTATCCCTAAAAGTATTCAAATAAAGTCAAAAAGGAACTCAAAATCTTCCACTGCAATTCAGTTCTAAAACCTGGATCTAGAAATGTAGCAATGTGATTTTTTTTTTTTTAGGGTAGTAAAATGAACTCTGAATGTTCATCTGCATCTCAGTTGTCTTGCATGTATGCAAAGGGCAGCATCTTTCTTGAAGTGGAAAAATGAAAGAATCCTTAGAGCAATGTCCTATAAAAATACTTGCATTCCCAAGACCCACAGACTTGTTATTTCTGCAACAAGACCCAGAAAACAAATTACTTTCTCTGTAAGCCGCCCCTGGCTTTTAAAACATGATGTTTTTCATCTTGCTCAAGAAATATTTTTCATGGGTAATAATGACCTTTCTAACTTTTTTAACATTAATATAAGAGGAAGACAAGGGAATTCCAAAATTTCCTGTAATGCATGGAGTTTGTCTTTGGCTACAGAAGCAAAGAAGCAGAGAGTCCCTGCCTTTGCACTTGCAGCCAGTTCAAGTTCTCCTGCACCTAATAGCTTCCTGACCTCATAACTGAACAGAAATCCACGAGCCATGAGTGCGCTTCGTACATCAAAGGCTCATCTGTGTCCCATTGTCCGTGCCCAATGCATGAAAATTTCCTTACCTAGTTCCCATCCCCTCAATATTTATTCCAGCATGTTTACTCTTCTGCTAATTGCATGTATATGAGACCAGAAATTGCACAGCAAGCAAAGTACAAACAGACTGAACTTATTAATGCGTGAGACTGTCAAACAAACAAGACTTCTGATTGTTTCCGTACGTCTGCTGTCTTCCCTGAAAGAGACAAAATGATCACATTCAATCACATCGCCAGCATTTTGTACATGGGGAAAATATTAGGATATCGTTTTCAGGAACTTATTTCCCAGAAGGATTTTGTACCTAGGATAGTCCACATGCGTCCTGGCCTTGCTTGGTTCCAGGTTCTATTCTTTTTTGGTTCATTGGCCTCTGCTTTCACGAGCACCACATTATGGTCTCTCTAGCACCATCCACATTAATCTTGCTTTTCAACATTTTCTTGATTAAGTCATATATCTTCTTCACTCTTCTAAATAAGCTTTAGAGTCAGTTTACTGATTTAAAAAAAATGTAAAAAAAATGTAATCAAGATTTTCAATGAAAAAAGTGACATTTGATCATGATTTCAAAAACGAAATGGCACTGGTTTGATTGAATAGTGTACTAACCTAGCAACTGCCTGTGGCAGTTACTGTGTGCAAGTCCTCAGCCACAGAATAATCTCATGAGGTAGGCATTATTATAATCACCCCTATTTTACAGATACCAATAGTGAGGTCCAGAGAATTTAAATAACTTTCCCAATTCACACAGTGAGTGAGCAGCAAAGCCTGGTTTAAAACCCAGACCATCACCGCCTGTGAACAGAAATGACAGATGCTGTGTGTCCCTTCTGTATGTCATTCAGTTAGTCTCACTGGACATGCACACACTTTACATTTCTCCTTGCCTTTGCTCCATATATTTTCCAGCACCAGAAGCCTTACAGAGTTCATGTGATGTATCTGTTTGGGCTGAAACACCCCACCTGGACTCCTTCCCAGCTGCTTGTACAGTGTTCTTGTCCCCGTGGGGTCTGTGTGCAACCTTCAACTCTGCATGCAAAGGCAGAAAAACCCGGTTTGCAGGAGAGAAGCAGAAAGCAGCCCAGCAGCCTGACGAAGAGACTGGACATGTCTGCACATTTCCCAGGGATTTTCTGTTCTCATTTTTCACCCTTTCTCAGATCCAGCACAGGCCTGCTTTGGGGTTTTGTCTCCCAAAATGCCTCTGTTTCTTAAAAATATAAGAAACACATTTCCAGTTTTGGTTTTTGCCTTGAAACATCCTCTGTAGGATCTGTTCCATATTTGCATTTGTATTTTTCAGGTATATTTCGATCTATCTCTGTTATCTGCCACGTGGTCACTTGAAACAGTATGATTTTATTTTTCTTTTCACCTAACAGCAAATCTTTGACTTTCCACAAGGGAACCTAAGGTCCTAGGATAACCAATCCATTGTGTCCAGTCGTCTGACTTGGTGGTAGTCTCCAAACTAACATTTCCTGCCATCTCCACTGCTCCATCACTCCTCCGGTGGTGTTATTTTTCTCTGTGCCCTTTTTTTTACATTACCCTTGTCTTTTTCTCCTACTCTCATCTGGGAAGTTCTGGGTGAGAACTTGCTGGTATTTCATTCTACCAGTGATTACTCTTAAATGTTGACAAACATATTTGAATCTGCATTAGTTTGGAAATGCAAAAACTCAGCCAGTATCTCTGCCTGTGTTCCCTTTGTAACCTGCCCTAGGTACCCCCATCCCTTAGGAAAAGTCTTTCTACATTTTTACCTTAAAGCTCCTAACTGCAATGCTGGGCAAGGGACTTACCTTGGCAGTCCCTGCCTGTTTCCTCACCTGTAAGCTACAGATAACAATAGTATCCCATAGGGGTCGTTTGGAATTTTAAATTTTGAGATTGGACAGGGGGGTAGGACAGGGATGAAAGGAAATGGCTTTGTGAAGTGTCAGTACTTAGCAGGGTACTCAGAGTTGAGTGGGTTATCAATAAATGCCAGTACTTAAATTCCCCATTGCCTCCTTCAAACTGGAAATGGTCAATATTTTTTTTAAATTACAAATCTGATTGATTAAAAAAAATCCTAATGTATTGATTAATTGTAATATATTTCTTAGGTTACTTGCAATGTCAAGCATACCTTAACGTAATTTTTGTCATTTGTACATGTTTCAACTAATACCTTGTGCATTTTCCCCACCCTGTGTTTCTAGATTTTGGTTTCTGATTTTTGGTTTTGACCTTGACTGAAAATGGCTTAAATCATCTACTTAAAAACAAATGTTACTGCTTTCTTATATCAAGTATTACAGATAAGAATGCTTCCAGAACCTTCATTCTCATCAGCAAGTGAGTCTCTCAATGGTCTAATCCCCGTTCACATTCCCTTTAGTGGTAAATTCTGCCTCCCAATGAATGAAGAATCCAAAAGCAACATCACTATTTCATAGTATTTGAGTTGTTTTCTTTTCCTCTCAAGGATGTTTTAGGATTTTCTCTTTAACCACAACTCATGAAATTCCATGACAACGGGCCTGGGTGAGGGTCTTGTGTTTGTTTTCTTTTGTCTTATGTGACGCTGATAGAACTTGTGCCATTTTTTAAGTTCTGGGAGATTTTCAGCTAATACATTTGCCAAATATCACCTCCCTTCTAGCTGCTTCATTCTTTTATTCCTAGAAGTTTCTTAGATATTTGACACCTATTGTCCTTGTTTTTCCTTTTGCCTGTCGATCATCCTGAAACCAGAAAGCAATCCATTCTCAGGTGGTAAGTCACCTTTCCAACACAATTTTTATGTCACTCCCACTGCTGACTTCAGTGTCCTGGTTTCTTTGCAAAACCACACTAGGTATTTGTCATCTGATCCTTCTTCTCTCACTAGCTTTCCTTTGCTTCCAACTCCGGTCATACTGAAACATGATCTTTTTTTTTTTAATGACTGCACCTGTTCTCATGAACTACATTTGGTAATGAACCTCCCCCTCAGCCTGCTTCTCCACGATGACTGTCTGATTTCTTTTGGTTGTGCAGGTCCCGGGTCTTACTACTAGGAGCTTCCCTCACCCTTTCCCTCATGGGATGGATGCTCTTCCAGGTGCTCCACAGCACACCTAGGTTACTGCTTTTTTATATGTACCAGTTTCAATCCAATTGCATCATTTCTCTTTCACCATAGATTGTAAACTTCTGAAGGCAAACACAGAAACTTCACCACTGTACACATCCCAGTTTGGGATGAAAGATGCAATACAACTCTTGAGTTTTTAATGTATAATGTTGAATAAGAGGGGAGGAAACAGATTACAATATCATTTATTCTTTCCAGAAGTCTGGTGACAAAAATAAAGGTCACCGGTGGGGTAGGGTGGTAGCCAAAATAAGTTGTTTTGGGCAAGGGTAGGTTTTATTAAAAATGGTATTTAGAAAGAAATAAAAAAAAAAGTAAATGCTGAAAATACAGAACAAATTGAATATCAGATGGAGCATGGCTTTTTTTTTTTTTTTTTTGAGGGGGGTGGGGGAACCGGTGGGAATAAGAAAGGATTAAATCAGAACCAAATTGAAAGAACAGCTTTGAAAAGAAGGGAGCATTTCTGGATAATGAGACAAAAAAGAGGTGGAAGTGAGAGCTAAGAGAAATTTTAAATATTCAACATAAAATCAGGTTTTCGCCCCTGAGAATAAAGATCTTTTTCCGTGAAGTGTGGAGAAAGTTCTAAGAATAGACCAACAGATGTGCTCGGCAACTGATGGTATTGTTGGGAGTCTCCAGATAGTTCTCATGAGAATGCAGGAAATTTCCTGTTAGGGACATGAGTCATCCCAAAACCCCCTAAGGTGGGTAGTGCTCCTTAAAACAAAAGGAAGATGTGTCTACTTTGCCTTTAACTGACAGCTCCAAATAACATAGTCTGAGAAGTTGATCACTGGTGGATCAATAAAGGCATCAATGGCTACTGAAATAACAAATAACAGTTTACTTAAAAACAAGACAAGAAAAATGCTTAAATGAGCAAGAAAGAAAAACCAGTATTGTGGAACAACTGACTCAAACATCAGCAAAAGGCGAAAAAGGCAATGCCAAGGTCATGAATTGACATACGTATTGTCACACTGTATGGTGTTTTTGCTCTTCTTTCCTTTAATGAAAGGCCATTTGCCCAATGCATGTTTAAATATGATTTCATATTTTTTCTATATCCACCAATTTTGAATTTACAAAGGAATATCATCGGGTCAACACAGGTTTCTCTTTCTCCCCCCTTACTTTATGTAAGCCTTACTGTTAAGTGCGGGGCTTCTCAAATATCCTCGTCAGTTTTATTTACATCATTCCAAGTGCTAGGTAGATTTATAGAAGCTGTTCCTGGCTCACTGTATTTGAAGGCAGCAAGCAGTACTGCCAGTGGAATATCACAGGGCAGGGGGCAAGAAGTGAGTTGATCTTTAAGGTAGGTGCCAATCTCCATACAGAATGACTGAATGGAAATGCTGCAATCTCAGCCCCTTCCCTATTACAGACTAGGAAATTCGGGCCCTGCATCATTTCACCTTTCAGGTTTCTAACCTTTTCTGTATTTGTTTTTTAGATGTTTGCCTAGCTTATATTCTTTTTTTTTTTATTTTATAGAGGCATGTTTATTTATTTATTTGTTTGTTTGTTTTGTTTATACATGCACTGGGTACAGTCAGAAGCGCGGGAGTGTGAGAGAATTCACCAGAGCCAGAGCAGGGAGCAGAGCAGGCAGAAGGACCGAAGGACACTGCTGAGGGGAGCAGCGGGCGGCAGGAGAGGTCTGCGCGCCATGTGGGACCCTCCTCTGGTGGCTGGGGAGCAGCCGGGGATAGAACCGGCGTCGCAGAGGCTGCGGGCAGGTTCGCAACCCAGCGCTCAACCGCTGCGCCACCGGGGAGGCCCTAGCTTATATTCTTATATGTTAAATTTTGCATGCATTTTTTTTCTTTCCGAGAAATCATTTTTTTGAGATTTATATAAGAAGTTCAAATGCTCAATCTATCTTTTGTAACTTACTGAACAAAAACAAAAACTATGTATTCCATCATGTAAAAGTATTGTTTACAATATACAATGATTATTCTTCCAAACCCACTCCAGGGATACTCATGTTAAAATTTAAAAGCTGAAGAAAATGTTGAACCAATTACCTTTTAACTTATCATTTCAGTCAAAATAGTGCAAATGTAATTATAAAAGACAATAGCAAGCTTTCTACCAAATGTTGGGCTATGCTAATATGTTTAGTCCCTGAATAAAAACATCAAGTGAATGGAAGATTTTAAAAGTAGAGATCAAATTCAAAGAAAAACAAATATCTGGATGCCAGAAAGGAAACAAGAAAACAAAGTTAAAATAAGATTGCTGAGTTAAGCCAGCCAGTTTTAGGGTGGTTTGGCACAGCCTGATTGACAAGCCAGTTAAAATAAATTCTTGTGTAAGGATAAAACAGACCAATATTTAAACAAAATCTGAATTTTCTTTTACAGATCTCACTGAAAGAACTATTAATAGATACCCTTGAAGAAATTAAACCCAGAAGGAAGTACTTGGATGCTAGAAACTAGTAAATACACTGACTGTGCAAAGTAGTGATGACAATGATTAATCTACGTGTGGGGTAGGGGGATGAGATGGTGACTGAAATAATATCAATTACATGGGAGAAAAGAGGTATGAGCAGAGCCATGTGTCCTGAAAACATTACAGATCAGGGTAAAGATGGAAGTGTTGTCCAATATGGTGGGTATTTAAATGTAATTCACCAGCTCGATAACATTTGAAATTCAGTTACTTCACCTCTGACTTGTAAAGAACTTAGGAGGCATCATTCCTTTCACTAAACAATAAGAAAAAGGTAAGCAAACTGAAAATTGAGGCTTCTTGGATCCACCAGAGATGGGTTTCAGGGCAAACCACAGCTCTGAAATCTGTGGTCATGGTGGCCCAAGGGCACTGGGCTTCCTACCACTTTTTATAATTCCAGTTTGCTTTGATTCAGGTCCCCACTCAAATACAGCTTTCTTTAGGGTAATCTTATGTAGAAGAGTTAGCAGTCTTCCCAAATGAGGAATATACATTCTCCCAAATCCAAACCAACCAACCAAATGCTGGGCTTCCTCATTGGTTCCACCAGTGGATAGCAACAGTGTTCTACTTTTAGCTGCATGTAGTGTATCCTGGGTATCTCCTGCCTAGGTGATTTCTAACAATTTTATCACTAGGCAGTGATAAAATTGGGCTTTTGCTGGGTTTACTAACCGGTCTTGGTTGGTTATGTGCACCACTGCACTCAAATCACTCCCAGCCTTAACTTCAACTTGACTTGCATCAAGTCCAAATCCTACTGAGCAAATAATGACAGGAAGACAGCGAGTTTAGATAATACTGTATGCATACATATTATGTAAATATATCTCTATAAATTAAAAAAACTCATAGTTTATAAAGAATACAAACAAAGCTTTCTTCATATTGTTAGGTGAAATGGTTATATAGGTCATCATGTTGCACAATTGAGTAAGACAGAAGAATTCATTGTTTAAATTTTAGAGATAATGTTAATTCATCTCTCACTTTAATATGGATGTACATTCATAGGGCACCAAATGTTCCTGAATGAACAATGAATCATAGATCACCTGAAAATATAATGCTCCAAATATAATTGATATATGTAAAACAGAGATAAAATATATAATTATAATAAAATATTATAAAATGGATAAGAAAAAGATAAAAGCACAAAAATAAGTGAACAAAGGATACAAAATAATTAACACAAAACAAATGGAAACATATAAGCCTGTAACCTTACCATAAGTAAATTAAAATAATTTTAATGCAATTTCAGGAAATATGCATATATATTTAATTAAGAAATTATACATACTAAACTGATTCTAACTATATAAAAACTGCATTATAGATAGAAGAAATATGGGTTGGGTATGAAGAAATATGATTGATGTTTTTAATCAGATTTATTCAATTTCTATATTTTCCCCTGCTATACAGTTTTTCTTCAGTGACTATAAAAATTTTAAGTAGTTTATCACTGCCCGCAAAAGCATCAGGAATACTGCTTAGTCTTCAAAAGATTTTCTGGTGATATTCAAAATGAAGCAGTTATTGTTTAAAGAAAAGATGAAAGTGGATAGTTTTTTTTTTTTTTTATTAACACAAAAGACATGCAGGCGTGTGTGTAGGGTACACACACACAAAGGTGCACACACAAAAGAGGAAAACTCCCCTAAAAGAGCAATGAGTACAGATGGGAAATTAATGATGAGGTGATGAGGGAAATCAGCACCCCCACAACTGTGAAATCAATATAACATTCACATTTTTAAGTCTGAATAAATGCTGCTGTGATTTCCCTTGTTTTGAAAAGACATGTCTGAAACACTTCTGCAGCGTGCTAGCTGGATCACTTATGAGCCCAAGGGACTCCCAAGCCTAGACTTTCAAAACGATTTCTACAGGTTTCAAGCGAAGCCTCTTGGGTTGATTTGTGTATCAAAACAAGCTCATAAAACCCCAACAATCACAACTGGCAGACAGTAATCACAGAGCTTCTGATGGCTGAATACACTCCTCACATCATTCAGCAAGAGAATTTTTCAGTAAATGTCATTCTTCCAAAAATCATACTTCAAAAAATTACAGGATTGTGATTTTATTTCCTTAGCACGCAGCACCTGGCTCTCCAGGTAACCTTATAAACACTGTGCACTGCCTTTACCACAGATTTCGATCACCCCTATATTGGTGGGGAAGAAAAATTTTAAATGGATTGTTTTATTAATGTAACATACAAATATATCTAATATTGCTGTTAACCATTTTTAATGGCCATACCAGTAATGATTACAAACAACATAAAGCTTATCTGACAGCGACAAGGAATTATTGGGCTCCAGGAACTAAGGGTCGTCTGAGTGAAGGAGCAGTTTCCATCTCATGGTTGTGTCAACTTCTTCATCAATCTCTCCCAGTTGCTGCTCCTTGGAAAGCTCTAAGATTACCTGTAGGAGAAGAAGAGGGAGGAAAAAGAATGGTCAACTCATGGTTGGTCTTTCAAATCAACAGGAAAAATGCATGCTACTGTCGCGTGAAACTAACAGGAGTGATAGAGAACCATGAAAGTTGACTCACCTTTTCCAGTGTGCACTGAGAGAGGCTGTATTCCTCCAGGTCAAAGTTATGTTTCACTGAAAAACAAAACAAAACAAAAAACAGACTGGCCATAGATGCTTGCAATTTAATACCAAGAACTTTGACAAAGTCACACAAAATAAAAATGCAATATTAAGAGGCATGGGATATAAAGTTTGGGAAACAAATGCCTGGTGAAAGGAAGAAATAATACAAAGTCAGAATTAATATAAATAAATAACTAAATGTATCTTGAGATTAGATTTTTCTCACGTTACCTTTGATGACTTGTTTTATTACTATTATGTCTTGGAAGATGTTTAAGTTCCTTGAGTAACTTACATAATTGACTGATATGCTGTCACACATGGGAAGACTCAACCCCATACTGCTTCCAGTAAGAGGACCCCATACTTCTGTGTGACTGTGCTTCAATGTGTATCTCTGCGGGGCTTCCCCACCAGAAATAACCATGAAATGGGTCAACAGATGTACATACTCACACTTCACCATTTATAAGTTAAGAATCTCCTATGTGCAAACCATCCTGAGGTGCCAGCGATTAGGTGTAAAGAAAACATTAAAACAAAAACTGTCTTAATCTCATGAAGAAATTATCATCACTCATCAACAGGGAAATGAAAATCAAAGCCACGCTGAGAAATCACCTCACACCTCACCTGTGAGGATGACAAGGTCCCATCTCTAAAAGGGCAGAAATAAGTGTTGGTGAGGGTGTGGAGAAAAAGAACCCTCATACACTGTTGGTGGGAATGTAGACTGGTCCAGCCACTATGGAAGAGTATGGAGGTTTCTTAAAATGTGAAAAATAGATCTACCATATGATCCAGCCATTCCACTCCCAGGAATCTACCTAAAGACTGCAAAGAAAGGAAACTTGCACTTCTGTGTTCACTGCAGCACTATTCACAATAGTCAAATTATGGAAAGAACCCATGTTCAATGACAGATGAGTGGACTAGGAAGATGTAGTACATAGAAACATACACAAGGATATTAAAAAAAAAACCCGAACTCCTGTCATTTGTGACAATGTAAATGGAAGTGGCAGGGATTATGCTAAGTGAAATAAGACAGAAGGAGAAAGACAAATACTGGATGATTTCATTTGTATGTGAAATATAGAGAAACAAAACAAGGGGTCAGGCAAAACTAAACCAAAACACACTCATGCAATGTTTCTGAAGAACTGAGGCTACCAGAGGGAGAGATCTTTAAAAGCTGTATTTAAAAATGGATGTTCTTACCTGCCTCTAATTTGTAAAAGGCCTGAGATAGAGGCTGAACATCTGTCAAGGGCAGTTTATAGGCCAAGAAGGAAGAACACCTGGGGAAAGGAAAATATTTGACCTTAGATTTTACGGGAGAAAATGAAAAAAAATATATTGGTAGTGTCAGTAATTTCCTTTTTAAAATATAAGTAATACAAGGTAGCAGATGTCTTAAATATGAAACAAATGAAATAATTTATCAATGGACAATTCTTAAAATGACTCTGGTGGCTAGCTGTTGGAGATAGTTTCCCTAGAAATGATCCTGCACAATTACATGTATGGTCAGTTAATGCAAACCTTTTTCTTATGGAACACAAATATTCTGAGCTAATCCCTTTGATTACTTTAAATTAGATTGGAACTCATCCCAATTTATATTCCATCTGAGTTGCCAGAAAGCTAAGGAAAGAAAGATAAGTGATTAGGAGAAAAGACCACAGTAATGGAGACATTCAAAAGGTTTAACTGGAAACTTCTTCTGAGGACAGGAAGAGCTAGCACTGATTTTTAGCATCTTGTTCCCATGTGCTGCTTCTGGCTTTATAACCTCTTGCCCTATTCTCAGCATATTCCCAAACAGGATATGATGTCCCTGGGTGGTCCTACAGCTACCCAGACCTCCAAGATAAACCCTCTTCTGCTAGGTCCCTGCTCTTGTAGTCTTACTATTCATGGTCTTCCCTGCTTACCTATATCAGACTTGGGTTTCTGACCTCAAAGGTCTGGAAATAGAACTGTGTTATATTATGTACCCAGGCATATACCTTAAGTAATTCTGTTATATTTAAACAATATTAAAATGAAATTAGCAATTGCTGTGTCCTGCTTTTTTGATGTGTTCATCCCTTCAAGGAATTTCAAATTCAGTTTCTGCTCTATCTCCCTGCCCTCCCCCAAGTAACATAGAGATACCCACAAATACACACACACTCTCCCCTTTCTTTTCTTCATTGAGGCATGAAAATTCCATCAAAGGGAGACTCTTTGATTATTTCAATTGTAGTTTGTATCCTTTAAGGAGGAAATCACTCCAGGTGTATCTTCTAAATTGTGAATATTTACATATTCTCTTTATCTACAGGGTGGTGCAGGAGAGTGCTGTGGGGTCAGACTTAATCACATGCAGATCTGAGTCATCTGAAGCACCTTCCTCTATTTTTTCCAAGTTCCCTTTCAGAACTGGGGACCAGTCTTATATGGCAAAACAGCTCACATAGATTCCTGGGTGTTTTCCATATGTTTCATGAACTAGAAAATTCAACAAATCAACATCTGAGGTCCCTAATATTTATTATGAAGTAAAATCATCTTGAAGTTCTCGCAGAGCAAAAAAAAGGATGATTGAGTGGGTAAAAAGCAATACATTTCTCCATAATAAAAACATCACCTTTCCTGCTGTGAAGCTTGTGGGAAAAGCTTCAGAATCTCAGTGTGGACCAAAGTCACTTGAGCAACTTCCTTCACTTTTAGTTCCAGAATGTAATCCTTGCCAAATTTGCTTTTCAGGTGTTGGGTGGAACCAATGCATCTATGGGCAAGAGGGAAAACAGGTTGAAAAAATATCTCCCCATAATTTATTTTAATGCTAGTCTTCAATTTCAAATGTAGAGGAAAGGGCATCACTGCATGAGATGAAAAGAAGAACTTCAATTGCTTTACACAGGGGAACTCCTTCTGAGGGTCAAGCGAGGTTCTGGACAGGCACTCACCTGAGTCTTCCAGACACTATGATGGCAATGCGGTCACATAGAGCCTCAGCCTCAGCCAGGTAGTGGGTTGTCAGGAGGGCTGCCTTTTCTGTCTTTTTAATGGTTCCCTGGATTGTCTGCCTAAAGCAAGTCGAAATATTAGCACCATTAAAAAAAAAAAAGAGAGATGGGGGAAATTTCATAGAAAAGATATACTTTATGAATCATATTTAGGTCCTAACTTAAGAAAAAGGTTACACAGAAATGTAAATACTGACTAGGTTTTTAATTATATAAAGAATAGTTTTATTTTTATTTTTGTAAAAGATTTTATTTATTTATTTTTTTGCATAGAAGAGCTGGGGTGTAGGCCAGAGGTGCGGGGGTGAGAGGACTCACTAGAGACAGAGTGGGGAGCAGAACAGGTGGATCTACCGAAATACACTGCTGAGGGGAGCAGCAGGCTAGAAACAGGAGAGGTCTGCTGTGCCATGTGGGTCAGCTCCCTTGCCAGGGATAGAACTCAGGCTGTAGCTGTGACAGCGCTGAGATTAACCCTTAGGCCACCAGGGAGGCCCCAAAGAATAGTTTTAAATAGTTTTCAGGGTGTTAACAGTATTTTGGTTATGTTTTTTAAAAAAAGGAGGTTTCTTATATTTTGGTGAAACCACTGGACATATTTCTAAATCAAGGATATGCTGCCAAGTATTTGCTTCAAAATAATTGGGGAAAGGTAGTGGGTGGGGATATAGATGAAAAAAGATTGGCTGTATGTGGATGAATATTGAAACTTAGTGGGGGTATAATGGGTTCCTAAGTGATTCTCCTCACCTTCATATAACATTTCTACTAAAAAGTTATTTTTAAAAGATGGGAAAATCAATTGAACATGAAACTGGGCTGAAGAATTTTATTAGTACAAGTGGAAATTGTAGATAGAAAAGTAAAAAGAATTTTAAAACCTAGAAAAACTGGATAAACTTTGACAGAGTAGGTAAAAAGGAGGGGGGATAAAATGGAGAAATTGTGTCAATTTGTTAATAGTTTCTAAGAAACAGTTATAGACCGCTTAGTGATGAAAAGGCAAAATTAAAATACACTTCAAATTGCAAGAACTATATCTCCAACAAAGTATTTAGAGGGTTTTTTTAAAAAAAATATATATATATATATATACACACACACACATGAATACCACATGAACATGATGCAACATTAAATACTTATTTTCCTAACAATATGGATTATCTGCACTAAATTAAGAACCGGTAGATTTGATTTTCCATCAAATTTTACATAAATAAGTTTTAAACTCCTGGATCTGAAGTTTTTGAGGATTCTCACCACATCTGCTGCTGCACCCCTGGATCCAAGCCTGTAGACATTTCATCTAGAAGCAGGATGGGTGAGTTTCCCAAGATGCTCAGCACAAAACACAACTGAAATGCAGAGAAACAGCTCATTTTGCTGCCACCACCACCTCAGCCTCAGGTAACACCACACACCACATACCACACATACCTTTCTAGCAGCTCCTGGCGTCAGTCTCCGCACGGGAACATTCAGCTGGTCATGCAGTCTGAAAGTATCTACCAGTCTGTTGGAAGACAAGGGGAGATGGTAAGGTCAAGAGAGAATTTTTGGAAAATGCAATCACCTGGAACAGGAACTGTATTGGAGGGAAGTTTTACAACGACTACTCTCAAAACTTCAGTCATCAAAGAAAAAAGTAGTTTCTTTTGAAAGATAAAAAATCTTTAAGAAAAATGAGGATTCTGAATTTGGAACTGTCATGAATGATTATTCAGGATAACTTTGTTATTGTTTTATGTGTTTATTTTCTTAAAGATCCCTTCATTGGGGATTCAGGAAACAGCACCTGGACTCCACACCCGTCTCCAGCCTGGTGAGGTGAGGCCCTATCTCCCCTCTATACTCTATCAGTGAATTCAACACCAATGGCACGGCCCCCCTGTTGACACCAAGGCTTCACATGACCTCTCTGTACCGTGAAATGGCCAGGGCGGCTTCCCCTTTCCTCAGCCCTTTCATGGCAGCGAACACCTGGAGATGCTCCCTCGCCGTCAGGTTGGGCCATAACGTGTTCTCCTGAGGGCAGTAGGCCAGGAACTGGACCTCACTGCCTCCCTGTGGATCCCAAACTGGGCTACATCCATTCAGTTCCACCTGAGAAAGTAAAACAGGTTTGGAAACATGTAGCCTTTTCTCCAGTTATACAATTATTCAAGAAATAGACATCTAGCTATAAATGCATTTTTTTGAAGTGACACTGTTTTTCAATGTTGTTTGTGATTTAGAGGTAGAGGACCCTCCCCTCCAAGTCTTGTTATCACGCTGCACCCACCACCAAAATGCCCACAGTCCTCCACCCTAGTCCACTGTGCTCCCTCCCCAGTTAGCTCTTTCTCCTGCCCCTCCAATGCCCCTCTGGCAGCCTCAGTCCTACATTTCTAGATTTCTAGGGTTTGTTATTAGTTTGTGGAACCCTTTGTCCACATATTAGTGACACCATCCAGTATTTGTCTTTCTCCTTCTGATTTACTCCCTTAGCATAATCCCCTCCTGTTCTATACATGTTGTCCCAAATAAATGCCTGAATTTTTTGAGCATCAAAGAAATATTATAGGAATTACTTCATGGACTTATTATAAAAACTATTTAAAGTACTAATACAAAAGTATCATCTTGCAAATATATAACCTCTGTTTATCATGAAATTTCTATTTAGGGAATGGAAATCGTTTCATTTTTCACTAACCTCTCCAGCTGTTGGCTTTGTGACCCCAGCTATCATCCTAATAAATGAACTTTTACCAGCACCATTGGGTCCTAGCAATCCCAAGATTTCACCTGAAAAAGAATCACTTACTATAAATACTGGAAGTATTGATTAACATAAACCTGTTTCTTCAATAACTTTGAGATCTGTGTGCCTCTTTCTACCATTTTGAAACAGATAACACCAATGTAATCTATGTCATCAAGACATGTTCTTTAATTCCTGTAATTATACAAAATACTAGACAAAAGCTTATGGATTTGATGTCAACATATATTATTTCTTTCCAGATTACAGTAGTCTCCCCCCTTATTTGAATTTTCATTTTCTGCAGTTTCAGTTTCCAGAAATAGACCATGGTCTGAAAATATTACATACAATGAAATACTTTGAAAGGAAATGAGTGAGAGGGATAGAGAAATAACAGTCACATAATTTTTTATTGCAGTATATTTTTCTATTTTATAGTAGTTGCTGCTGTTGATCTGCTATGTCTAATTTATAAATTAAACCTAACCATCGGCATGTATATACAGGGGAAGCATTATGTTTTATATACACACACACACACATATATATATATATATATGTAATAATATCCACAGATTGAGGCATCTACTGGGAGTCTTAGAATATCTCTCTCACAGATAAGGAGGGGAGGGCTGCCATGTTTTTCAGTTAAAAGTGTGCCCAGATAGTTTCTGTAGCAGACAGCTGACATGCTGTATCTTTCATCTGAACAAACATAAGAGCCTCTTAACTTGCCTGCCACTCAAATTCACAAACAATAGCCAGGACACAATTTCTTCAAAATATCGATGAAATAGTGATGAATTCCTGCTAATTACCCTCAAGCATCATTGTGCTAATGTGGTATAAAATGCAAACTCTGCTGCATATTCCACACTGCAGCTGAGCTGGCCCTGCTCCCCTCTCTGGCTACACCCCATCCCGCCATAGATTAATGCTGAGACCTACTTGTGTAAGACTCGAAAGGCGGCCCCTTTTCTGACTCCTTGCCCTCTCTTCATGCGCGCACATTGACTCCTTCAGCACCCAATCTTGACTTAGATGTTACTGCTCAAGAAAGGCCTGTCCTAACCCAAACTGAACACAGTACAAAGTCACTCATGTCACATCACATATCTGAATGCTCCAAGAGAACTTGCCTATTGTAGTATATGAGTTTTGTTGATAAGTTATTTTTGTTTAGTGATCCTTGGTAGGACTAAAATCCATGAGCAGAGGAACTTGCCTCTTTCTTTCATAATTTTATTGCCAGAGCCTATATTTGTCCCTGGCATACTTGAAAATTTATGTTGAATGAATGAATGAATGAATGAATGCTTCAGCAGGTGCTATTGTACTATATATAGCACACACTTTTGGGGCTATTTCTAGAGATAATGGTGAAAAAAAAAGTGATTCTTCCAAACCTTTTTTAACACAGAAGGAGATATTTCTTATTGCTATTTTCTTCTTTCTTTTTGAAAAGCAACTTCTCTTCTGGACTGCATATTCTTTGTGTAGACAACTAGCAAGAATGACTTGTCTCTGGAAAATAAGACAGTGTGTGATTTTCCTCTTATACTCCAAGAGATGTAATGTTCCTGTAGTCTCCCTGCCAGGCCCTCTGTTGCCTATATCCTGTGTCTTAAACTCAATCTTATTTTGGGTTAAGAGTAATCCATATTACTTGTTTCAAGTGTTAACATGCACGCATTGAAGTTAATAATATCTCATGCTTCTAAATGGTCTGAGGAAGCAGCTGAATTCCATAGCCAGTTTGTTGCCTTCTCAGGACAGAAGTGAATAAGTTCATGGCAACATGACAACATCTAAGTGGGACAAAAGAAAAACACTTAAAATATTAATTACTACTAAGCATTTTCTGACAAGATTCACATGAAATCCTCAACTCAAGAAATGTTTGGTTTTGATGTTGGAACGGCTTATCAAAACCCATGTATTGCAAAAAAAAAAAAAAAAAAATACAACCCTTATGGTTCGCCTTCCCCTTTGAGAAGGAGATACCCTCCAGGATATTTCAAAGAAGAGCCTGCATGTTTAAGAATTGCAAAAATGCGGGGCCTCCCCGGTGGCGCAGCGGTTGGGCACTGGGTTGCGAAGCTGCCCGCAGCCTCTGCAGTGCCGGTTCAATCCCCAGCTGCTGGGTGAGGGTCCCACATGGTGCGCAGACCTCTCCTGTTGCCCGCTGCTCCCCTCAGCAGTGTACTTCATCAGTCTGCCTGTTTTGTTCCCCGCTCTAGCTCTGGTGAATTCTCTCACCCTCCCGCGCTTCTGACTGTACCCAGTGCTTGTATAAATAAAAAACAAAAAAAGGAAAGATGTCATTAAAAATAAATAAATTAATTAATTAAAAAAAAAGAATTGCAAAAATGCAGCCAATGCTAAAGTTTCAAAAGGAAAACCAGCACAACCAGCCTACCCCTATAGTTTTTAAATACCCGCATTAACATTGACTTGTCACTTGCTTTTCTACCTCCTCTGTGTGGGAAGTGGTCAGGGCAGTGGCTGCTCTTATTCTTTCTGCTTGAACATCTTCATCTTCATCTACAGGTTCTTCTGGATTCCGTTGAACATTTTCCCTTTGGGGGCAAATTCTGTGGAGAAAATGAAATGAAATGCATGACATGATGTGTGTTTTCTAGTTGTCAAAGATATATCTAGAATCAGCTTCCCTGTGGTTTTACCACTGTCCTTTCTTTTTCATCAGCTGGAAATGATGGGCAGTGAATAGACTGCTCTGCTTTTGCCAACAAGAACTTTTTTTTAAAATATTTATTTTTATTTATTTATGCATACAAGAACTGGGGTATAGGCCAGAGTTGTGGGGGTGAGAGGTTTCACCAGAGACAGAGTGGGGAGCAGAACAGGCAGATCTACTGAAACACACTGCTGAAGGGAGCAGCGGGGAGATAGGAGAGATCTGCTGCACCATGTGGGTAGCTCCCTGGTCAGCCGGGGAACGAACTCATGTTGCAGTGGCTGTCAATAGCTTGATAGTTCTGAGACTTAACCCCTTGCACCACCAGGAAGGCCCACCGACAAGAACCCCTCCTGGTGGCCAGAATCCCTTTCTCAGTGTTGATGTTCCCCTTCTAGTTAGCATCTCAGACCCTCCCAAATTTCTCAGCAAGTCCTGTGCCCTCTTCACATTGCAGGTCATCTGCATCTACACATTCTCCATAGACACAGGCCCTCTTCATCATCCTGACACTGGCATCATATCTCATCCTGGTCACCCTGTCTAGAGTCCCCCCACTCAGCTGCACTGTGAACCATGCCACTATCCCAACTCCTTCCTGTCTCTTCTGCTCAAGGATGTAACATCATCTTGGATGGAGAATGGCATCCTTGAGTACTCATTACATTGCTGAGGGTCTGAAAATTTCCTTCAACTGATTAGCAAAAGAACTCTGCCTGGAAATCACAGCTCCTGACAGTAAGCCAGCAATCCATTAGCCATTTAGGAAATTATCATGTTGTTTCCACTGTAAATTCCTGTGAACAGGTTGATAATGTAGCCACTATCTAGGAATACTAAGACATGGTATTAAGGATGAAATTAAGTTTATCCCAACCTGAAAATGGGATCCTTTCGCGTTACTTTCTTTCCACACTTCATTTCCATGCATCTTAGAATAAAAGCAAACAGCAAAGTCTGAAAGTAAGGCTGGAAGCAAAGAATAACATTTCCATTTAGGCACATGTTCTCACATATTCTTTAAACATTTGAATCGAATTACAAATGCTAGTCTTTTGACTTGAGGTGCAATAGTTGTGAATCAGTCCTAAAGCTCGAGGGAGAGATGTAGCTACCCAGTGACAGTCCAGCTTAGTGGAAACAGCCTCTTTTTTCCTCCCATAGCCCATATCCACTTTGTCAGCAGTTCCATCTGCCTACCTTCAGAATTCTGCAGAATTCAGCAACTTCTCAGCTCTGTTAGATCTACTGCTACCAGGTCCAGGTCATTATAATTTCTCATAATACTATTGTCACATTACCTACTTTTCTCCGTTGCCCAGCCATCTATTCTCAACTCAGTAACCAGAGCTTCTCTATTAACACATAAGTCCAATCACATCACTTTGCTTAAAATGAGGCAGAGACTCCTTAATTATTCAAGGTGGCGTCAATGTCCTTTCATGACCCAGCTCGTTGTGGTAACCCTTCTGTTGGCCCCGCCCAATGTGATCTTCTCTGATACCGCTCTCACCTGTGGCTACCCTACCACAACAACACTGGCCCTGGAACAAGCCAGGCTCACCTTGCTTGTCCTTACATCTTGCTTCCTTGTCTTCTTCCTTCAGGTATTTATTTCTCAGCCAGGTTTTTCTGACCACCTACCTGACACAGTATATATTATTTAATTCATTTATTATCTGTCATCGTCCACCAGAATATAAGCTCCATGAGGGCAGGGATGTTGTCTACATTTTCTCCTATGCCTGGCAATGTACTGACAGAAAAGTATTCAAAGCAGTAGCTTTCTTCAGTCTAAATATAGAGACATAATCATTTTCCCTCTCATGTTTATTATTCAACTTTGCCTTTTTCTCTCCAGTTCAAAGGATTTCAGTCATATTGCATCTGTACTTTTTGTAAATTTTCTCAAATTTGGAGGGGATGCAGGACAAATAGGCATGACACATTAATTTCATGTTGAATTCTGAACTTAGTCCATTCATGCATATAAAAAGTAACTCCAGGGTTTGGAATCAGGTCTGAATGCAGTTGTTTTGTCTCAGATTTTTAAATCTAACACAGTTAAAACAATATCAAATAGTTACTATAGTAAATGAACCAAAAAAATTGGTGGTGAGGTAGAAAAAACTTACTATTAGGCATAGTAGAATATCAACTTCACTCAGGTTATAATTCAAGTCTTGAAATTTAGCTCGGTGCCTGTGGACTTTCTGCAAAGACAAAGAAAAAATGGCTAAAGAGAAACTTATCAACCTTATGATTTTCATTTAAATAATGCGGAATTTCACATATATATTGAATATTTGCCTCATTAAACTTGGTTCCCCCGTGCGTACTGTTGACCAGCAATTCCCTGCGAGGATGGGAAGGAGGGTGTCGAATTCAAGGCTGATTGTCTCAATGAGCAAGCAGGCAATCTGTGTCTGCTCCTCTCTTGCAGTTCTTTCTTTCTTTTAATTTTTTGGTTTCATGTTTACTGAAATTCTACTAAAGCATAGCAGAGAGAGGTGGCATGATCAAGAAAAATTCTAGGAATCAACAATATTTGTTCTAAATGTCCCTCCCAAGCTTTTCAGGGTCACTTTCCTATCCTCCTGGTGACCGTTCTCACCACAGTTAGTCCCATTATGTTATTCTTTCTTCACCAATCAATGCATTCAGAAAGTCACTCATTCCTCCTAAATAATGTGTGACAGGTCTAGGTTAATATATTTCACCTTGCAGGAAAGAAGTGCTTTAAACAAAGGAAAGGATTTCCCATAGAGAATTCCAGGTATTGTTCAGTCAATAGAAAATGATTTTTACAGATAGAGGGATGCCCTAGATCCCCCAAAACACAAACTATTTGGTAAACCCCCTCTACTTTCTTTAACGCCACTTCACCCAGGATGGCACAGCTGTCTGAGCTGTGCAGCTCCTCCCTGGGTATACTTTATTCCATTTGAGTCACATTGACTTCCTTAGTGCCTGGTCTATGCATTTCAATGCTTTTGCTTCTCTCCACAGATGCTTACCTCCTGCCCCATTAACTCACTAATTAATTCAAACTCATTCTTTACAACTCTGTTTAAACATTGCTTCTCTCAGAACTTTCTGTCTCTCCAGGGCACACAGGTCGTGCTTTGTCTTTTACACTTAGTGCTCTGCCCATCTTTGTAACCAAGCCCCTTGCACTGACTTGGGTGAGGTTGGTCTGTCTTTGTCAGCATTAAGCTCTGAGAAGAAGGGTTGTGCCACCTGTACATCAAGTATCTCTAATGTTACCAACACACAGTGCCTAAGGCAGAATAGTGCCTAATGTACGTTGTTGAATAAATGAATGGTATTGTACATGGCTGTATCCTTACAACAGATAATGAATACCCACTCAACTAGGCAACTTTTTTCAATCTGGCATTAATTTTGAATAGCATTTGAGGCTGCTTACATTTGACAAAGTGCATATGGCCAAGTTTTTTAACAACTTTATTGAGGTTGAATTTTCATGCAATAAAATTCATTCATTTAAGGGTACAGGAATTTTTTGTAAATATATAGTTGTGAGAGCATCACCTCAATTCAACTTAAGAACATTTCCATCACCCCAAAAAGGTACCTTATATGCATTTACTTTCATTCCCTATTCCCATCCCAGCAATCCCTCAAAACACTAACTTGTTTATTGTTTTTATAGATTTGGGCAAAACATTTTAAGAGTCTGCATTATCAAAATTAATAACACAATTGGTAACAGTTCTTACCTCTACAAAAACAGTTAGAAATCCAGCCAAGGTAGTTGGGGGGACTAACACCATGCTAGTAATTATGATAGCTGAGTTGAAGTGATTCATTATAATGATGTCAAAGGCAGTGGTCATGATCTACAAAGCAAGTTGAAACATGATGCATGTCAGATATACTCAGCCATGCAGGGGTCCCTACTGCCATGTAATCAGAATTTTCCCATATACAGACACACCCATGGACATCACAATTCCCCTTACAGAGGGAGAAGGAACGGGGGATCTTTTGTTAATGAGAATACACATGATTATTAGGTCCTCAACAGAAAATTTTAGATAAAATATCTGGGGAGAAGGTGAAAGCTAAATTAACCAAATAAACTCCCTGACAGTGCAATCTATACAACAGGATGAAGAATGAAATTACTTTTTTATAGCTAAGGGGAAGGATATTTTTAACGTAGAAAAATGAATACATGAAAAGTTATACGGAAAAACTATACATTTATAAAATCTGCACTGCTTTTCACATAGACTGAAGCTTTGTTGCCTTCTCTGCTTCATTTCTTCCGCATTCTAAACAAATGATTGTTTTAAGATTGTGCATTTTGATTGCTATGAACTTATTTTCTTTTAGAATATTGATAAACTGGGGGGAAGAGAGATAAAGGTAAGTTTTTATTTTTCTTTAAGGATCATCTTATCAGTGACAAGTATATGTTGGTACTTTGCTGGATCTTATTGATGTGCCAATTATAGTAAAAGTAATAAGAATCAATACTACTAAATTTACTGAAAATTACACAATGCCAGACATTTAGAATTTCACCTGCATTGTTTAGTTTAATCATCACAACAACTCTATAATGTGGTTATTCTTAGTATCGTTCCCTTTTTATATGGGGAATCAAGGGTCCAGAGGCATTCAATAATATCCTCAAGGCCACAGAGTCAGTGAGTGACAAAATTCTGAGTGTGTGTGTTTCCTAAATCTCTATGTCAGATAACTATACTATGGTGAGGGATTGTCTTCTAAAGGTATGTTGCATTAATAATAAATAAATTTATAATTTGGGGGGAATATGTAATCTACATACGAAGACAATTGAAAAGAGAACCAAAGAATTTATAATCAAATATTCATTAAGAGCACAAGTGTTTCAGCAAATCCAAAGCACTTCTTTCATTTACACTCCCAACAATCTGCTTATGGCATGATACCCATGTTACATGTTTCTCTTCTTTTGATTTCTGTGACCTCACACTGTTGGGTAAGAGCATGTGGTGTGATTCTACCATCCAAGCAGAGTGCTCCCTCATCTCAGAGAAAGCCAAATCAACACAAACCTCATGGGTAGTGACTGGTCAGGGAAATCACAGATTCATTTCTCACTTGTAACATAGCAACAATGCATCCATCCCAGTCTAGAATAATTTCTGCTTAAGAAAAGCTAACGTAAAGATTGGGAAAAGATACAAAGAAAAAAGAACATGACTTCAGGCTGCTGCTGATTACTTAGGACTGAAGAACAATAAATTTAAAGAATGTCTATGAGGACACTCACTAGGATATCTTAAAACTTCCCTCAGAGTGGTACTAACAGACTATTAACAGCTGTCCTGGCGATAACCCTGATGGCTTGAACATCAGCTCCAAAACAAACCTTAGTTAGAGTCGAAACTAACGGAAAGCACAGTGTGAACATGATTTCTTTTTCTGTCTTTGCTGGGTATACATGAGAATGCTGATTGAAAAGAAATCAGCTGAGTATAGATTCTCTTCTGTTGACCTCTACAGCTTACTCCACACCTGGGTTTACACTGGGAAAAGGAAGGAAGTTTGCTGACAGTACAAAAAAAGTCCTCAAGCAAACTATGAATGGAAAGGTTTTCTCAGCAGATGGCCTTTGGATTCCTCTCACGCCAAGAATTGGGACCTGGGCTTCCAACACAGACATTCAAGCACCAGCTGGGAATTTAAGATAAGACACCTGACGTGCTTGGACTAGGATCTCTGGGATGGGATCCCAGAGTCTTGATATACATTTCCAAGAAAGTGTTTGGTAATCTCAGACTCCCCGTAATCTTGATTTTCATTCATCTTTACTAATAAGTTCTCGAGCACACATATAAAACCATCTGATCTCGAAACTATTAGCATCTGAGGTTAACAGAGACCTTTTTAAAGACTATAGAAATGGATTATACTGTCAAATGTTGTAAAGTCAAGTCTTTGTTCTAATGTGGCCAGGAAACACTGTACTCTGGAGTATCCATGAACTGAATAGTAGCATTTTGGACTTGAGGTTGTCTGTTAGATTCTTCATAATTTCTGGTGAAATTTCGCTATATGAATTCTTCAGGAACATCATTGGCTTGGTAACATGCTCAACTTCCCCCTCCTTTCTACAGTACAATTTAAGGTATTGATTTTCCCCTTGTTTAAGGTGACTATATTTAATGTTACATTGAAAGCTAAAATATAATAGACATTATTTATGTTTGTACAGGTACTTACCAAATAGAGACAAAATGACCAAAAACCACTACTTTTTTTCCTCTTGCGAAAAATAAATGATATCACGTATGTCATGAAGACCAAAGATGCTGCATAACCAAATATAGCCACTACCTGAAAATAATACAGAAAATATCAACATCAAAATAGGAAATGTCAACTGAGGGAAAAGTTAATTACAAATATTTTTAAATGTCTTATTGCACATGTACTTTGCATAGTTTCTAAGTTTTTGTAATACAATAAAATTGAAAATATTTAATCATCAAAAATATTAATGTTAACAATTATTATGAATTACATCCTAAGATATTGTCATGTAATGTGCTACTTACCAAAGCAAACACTGTTTGACTTGTCAGAGGAACATGTATTATGCCTAACACATATAAAAATAAATACAATAAAAGGAGAATAAAAGTGTAGAGGTGAACATCCACCAGTGCCTGCCCACACCAGTAAGCAGAAGGATAGAGGCCCGAAGTCCACAGCTGGGATTTAACTCTCCTCTGATGAAAGAAGACAGAATAGACATATATATTCAATTGAAATTCAAATCCAAAACAAACACATGGAAATGTTTATAAAATCCAAATATAACTTTCTAATAGTCTTTAACTTTCTAATAATTTTATTTTCTTAAATAATTTTAATTATGTGTATATTGTTTAGGAACCCGAGTTCTAAACGGCCAATTCCATCATGCTCATCATTCAGAAAATGGAATGAATGTTGTTTTATTTGATAGGTATGATTCACAACCACTTGAACTCATGAGTGATGAATAGGAAAAGTGGGCTACATAATGGTCAAGGCATTCCCCTGCTTCATGTCATTTTGTGACCTGAAGGACAATAGGTTCTCCACTAGACAAATACTCTCTGGGAGAGTAACTGACTCCGAATGGTGCAGGATGGTTTATCTTGATCTGATTTAACTGGTTTGCTTGGATAAGGGGCATAACCAGCATGAATATTAAAAAAAAAAAACCAAAAAAACCCAAAAACCTGTTTTCTCCACAGTAGAAAAGTGGTCCAAGTCTTACATTTGGTCTCAATTTCAACATCAATGATTTCCTCTTTGTGGTTAGGAAATAACATAGTTGGAAGTTTTATTGTATTTCCTTTTGGAGGTTTAAATTGAATCTCTGCAGAATTATTACACTTTTCCTGTAACTCTGATGTAAAAAATATTTTGTATTTTTAGAAGTGAATTTTCTGACTTTATAGAAATAATGCTTAATTACATTATCTAAAACAAACCTATATTATGCTTTTCTCATAGAAGATTCTGAACATATACCACTCAAGATACAATTGCTGAGTTTCCTAAAGTTTCTTTTTTTTTTTAAAGATTTATTTATTTATGCATACAAAAGCTGGGGTACAGGCCAGAGGTGTGGGGGGTGATAGGATTCACCAGAGACAGAGCGGGGCACAGAACAGGCAAATTGACTGAACTACACTGCTGAGGGGAGCAGCGGGCTAGTCAGGAGAGGTCTGCTGCACCATGTGGTTAGCTCCCTGGCTGGGGATTGAACTAGTGCTGCAGTGGCTGTGGATAGTTTCATAGGTTGCATCTTAACCCCTTGTACCACCAGGGAGGCCCCCCTAAAGTTTATTTTCTCCCCCCAACCCTTTTCTTACTTTGTAATCGCTGACACTGCTCATTGCAATGTAAGGAGAAATACTGCATACAATGGAAAATATGAAAACGGAGGCCTCTGGCAGCCCACTCCAGGATATTACATAATTCTGCAAATACAAAGGTACTTCAGTGACTATTTTAAAAAAGGAAACAAAATTATTCATCATTAAAAGTGTACATCTAGTTTATCAATATGGAAGTATGAAGAAGGGAAGGGGAAATAGCTTTGGATCATTGAATGAGGCTTCAACTCTTAGACAAAAAGAGAAATAAAAAAATAACTCTGTTGAAGAGAATTGAAATCAGGGTCTCACAGATGTCTGCACACACATGTTCAAGCAGGACTCGTCACAACCACCAAGAGGTGGAAGCAACCCTAATGTCCATGGCAGATAAATGGATGCACAAAATGTGGTATGTGCATACAATTGAAATATTATCCAGCTTTTAAAAGGAAGGAAATTCAGTTACAATAAAGTTGAATCTTGAGGACATTATTCTTTTTTTTCTTTTTGTAGTCTATTTATTATTATTATTTTTTAAATTTTATATATTTTTTACATCATTTTTCATTTTTTTGCACAATGTATGCATTTTCATCTTGGTTATAGTCCCCATACAATTCCCACCCCCCTTGTTTTGATCTTACTCCCTCCTGTCCCCCTCCCCCATAGTGTGTCTCTGGTTTATAGTTGCTTGTTGATTTTGATTTTTACTTTATTATAATTAGTCTTTTTCCTGGTGCCTTATTTAGGTTTTCTAAATTCTGCTATGAGTGAGACCATCTGGTATTTTTCTTTTTCTTTCTGGCTTATTTTGCTGAGCATGATCCCTTCCAGTCCTCCATGTTGCTGTAAATGGCATGAGTTTATCTTTTTTGATGGCTGAGTAATATTCCACTGTGTATCTGTACCACATCTTCTGAGAACATTATTCTAAAGTAAGTAAGCAGTCACAGAAAGATAAATACTGTTTGACTTGACTTATAGGAAGTGTTGAGACTAGTCAAATTCCCAGGAACAGAAAGGAGAAAGGTGACTGCCAATTACTGGGGGGTGGGCAGATGTGGTCTCTGATGGGTATAGATGGGCAGTTCTGCAAGAGGAGAAAGTTCTGGGGATCTGCTTCACAGGAATGGAAACATACTTTTTTTAAAAGATTTATTTATTTATACATACAAGAACTGGGGTGTAGACCAGGGGTGCAGGGATGAAAGGAGTCACCAGAGACAGAGTGGGGAGCAAAACAGGCAGATCTACTGAAATACACTGCTGAGGGGAGCAGCGGGTGAGGCAGGAGAGGTCTGCTGCACCATGTGGGTCAGCTCCCTGGTCGGAAATCGAAATCATGCTGCATGGCTGGGGATCGCTTGATAGTGCTAAGATTTTAACCCCTGCTCCACCAGGGTGGACTTAACACTATTGAACTGCACTTAAAAGTGATTGAAATGATAGATTGCATGTGTTTTTATTACCACAATACAGAAAATAACAACTCTGAAATTATGATCCTAGGGAAACAGATTACCCAGGTCTGCTTACAATGCTAGAGCTGGAGAGTGCAGACCTGGGCAGCTGCGTGGGTGTGCTCTCCTATGCATAGACCCAAGAAGGAAACTTGTGCCACCAGGCTCATCTTCAACAACATGGACTTTGAGCAGTTACCTCCAGTTCATTGTCCCCTGGGCCTGAGCTCTGGCAGGTCCAGGGCTGCCTTCTAGGTAGAATTACAGGGGAGCAGTTGGACTAGCCTGTTTCAAAATAATTCTATAGTTCTCCAATTTTATTTAAGGTTTTGGAGTCTATACCACAAGTGCCAATTTTTCACCAGCTTCATAAGAATGGTTGAGAGGGGAAAGATGGGGACCATAGGGAGGTACTAAGAGTGTGGCCATGGGGCTTTGGTCCATTTGTATGCTGAACAAACAGGTGAGGACAAGAGGAAACTAAAGGACCAAGTGGGGGTAATATCCATTTTTTTCTCCTGCTAACTGGTTCTACTTTCTGGGTAGTTCTCTCTCAGGAGTGTTCCACCAACTGCTCTTCCTTGTACCCCCAGCACCAGCAATGCAGAAAGGCTCCAACTGAATGGACCTCTCTGTCACAAAATAGGCTTCCCTTTTTGATGGCCCCTTTTCTAATTCCGTTAATTGCACTTCTGCCCTCCTGGTTTGAAACGCTTGGAGTCAGCTTTGAGAGATCCTTCTTGGGTTTCCCACAGTATCTAACCAAAAGCTCATAATCACCTTTAATACTTAAAATAGAGAGACACTAATCATGCAATGATTGGTGGAAAGAACAGGGACGCAAGAAACCACTGTCACTTCTGGACAGGAGGAACAAAAGGAGGGGGTGTGACTGGGGCCTGTTGTGCCAAGCCCCCCTGCTCTCCAGGCCCTCTCACTGCTTCCAGCAGCCTAAACCCAGGCTGTAGCCCACTGGCGGAGAAGCCTGGAGAGACAGCATGTGTGTGTCAGGGGCCTCTGCAGCATAGAGCAACTATGAATGGACAAAGGAAGTAATCAGAAACATAGCCCAAGAACTGGCAGATTCTCCTTCATATTAGCCAATCTATTACCACTTAGTCAATGGTGAGTCCACTAACAAGTTATATTAGGTTTGTAAGAATCTAAAGCCAGGTTACAAGTGTTCCTGATTTCTAATTCAGTGCTTTTGTCTGTTCTCTCTCACACTCTCTCTCTCTCTCTCTCTCTCTCTCTCTCTCTCCAATACACTTCTGTAATCAAGTATGAAAAACTTTTCAGAGAACTCCCTTAGGAGACTATGACACAATATGACAGAAATCTGCCATGAGAATTCTCTAATAGTAACTTAAAAAAAATCATACTTTGCTAGAGGAAATCCGCTTAAAATGTGAGGACAAAATAATAATTTTTAGAATGAATCAATTTAAATACTCAAAAGCTAAGAAGGAAATAAACATGTTTCTTGTCAAATTCCTAATCTTGTGCTGCGCAGCACAAGAACATCTCATACTCACAATAGGAAATGAGCTTCTCTGGGTCTGAATAGACTGTGTGTGGTTCAACATTCCAAGCAGCCCGTTGCTGATGACGTTCATCAGGATGGGAAAGCAATGCAGCCTCCTGGTATTGCACACAACTGAAAATCGATAATCCTTCAAGCAAAGCGAAGACAAGCAAAGTGAATAATATTAATTCTAAACCTTTATTTATTATTTTTTTTAAAGATTTATTGAAGTGCAGGAGGGTGAGAAAACTCACCAGAGCGGGGAACAGAACAGGCAGACTGATGAAATACACTGCTGAGGGGAGCAGCGGGGGTGGCAGGAGAGGTCTGCGTGCCATGTGGGACCCTCACCGGCGGCTGGGGATCGAACCAGTGCTGCAGAGGCTGCTGGCAGCTTCGCAACCCAGTGCTCAACCGCTGCACCACCGGGGAGGCCCTAATTCTAAACCTTTAAAGAATGAAGCTTTTCCTGCAAATCAAAACTACCATGAGATACCATCTTACACCAGTGAGAATGGCACATATTAAAAAAACTAGCAACAACAAATGTTGGCGAGGGTGTGGAGAAAAAGGAACTCTTCTGCACTGTTGGTGGGAGTGCAAACTGGTCCAACCACTGTGGAAAGCTGTGTGGAGATTTCTGGACATACTAAACATAGAGCTTCCATATGACCCAGCAATTCCACTCCTAGGTATTTACCCAAAGGACACAGAAACATCAATTCCAAAGAACACCTGCACCCCTATGTTTATAGCAGCACTGTTTACAATAGCTAAGCTTTGGAAACAACCCAAATGCCCAAAAATAGATGACTGGATCAAGAAGATGTGGTACATATATACCATGGAATATTACTCAGCATTCAAAAAAGATAAACACATGCAATTTGCTGCAACATGGATGGCGCTGGAAGGGATCATGCTCAGCGAAATAAGCCAAAAAGAAAAAGAAAAATACCGGATGGTCTCACTCATAGCAGGAATCTAGAAAACTTAAATAAGGGACCAGGAAAATGAAAAACTATAAGAAAGTGAAAATCAAAATCAACAAAAAACTATGAACCAGAGACACTTTTAGGGGGGCGGGGGCGGGAGGGGAGGGATTGGGGTCAGAATGGGGGGCGGCAATTGTATGGGAATATAACAATAAAATTTATAAAAAAAAAAAAAAATAAACTGTGATCAGAAAAGAAAAAAAAAAAATAAAGATGTTCTTGTTGATTAACTGCAAAAAAAAAAAAAAAAAAAAAAAAAAAAGAATGAAGCTTTTCCACGGGAGATTCTAACTGCCACTTCCTGGCTGTGTGGCTATTGTCAGGTGAATGGACCTCTCTGAGCTAGTCCTGTGGCTCTTGGAGGGCATGGAGTAGGCAACGTGGGCTTTCATTAGCACGAATAACTTTAGCTCACATCAGCCCCATTTCACTAGTGAGGACATTTCGGCTGAAGGAATTTAACAGTGGCTCTGACAAAGAGACTTTCAGATTCTGGAGACCAAACAAAAGAACCCTAATTTCGGGGATAGGAAATAAGCCTGGGGTTCATAAATATCCATGGTGACCCTGGCTGTGAACCATTTGCATACTATTTATGACAGTTATGTTCTTTATGTGTATGAAAATGTTCATCTATTTATCAGGAGGTTTGGTACTGTTTAAATATTTTCAATAGTTCACATAATAAATATGTTGGATAAACAGCAAGTAAAGCAGGTTCCTACAGCTGGCACAAAGGTTGCATGTTGTTCTAGTGTACTTCATTCAGGTAGAGCTGACTCCAAAGGTATATGTTAAGAGACTTTTGATTTTATTTCCATTATCAAATCCATTCCATTTGTTTTTATTTCCATTATCATGAGAAATACAAAAGTAGTTTTATTTAATTTGGCTCCCTGTTTTTCATTGGAATTTAAAATCGAGTTTTACTTGCAATTAGGCTGCATTTTTAATAATCTTGTTCCTGGAAGAAGCTCTGTTGCTTATTCCCTTTTAACCAGATTGAAACATGTTGAAATTGTAGATGGAAAACATTGTTCTCTCTGTTTCCATTGGGCTGCTATACTGTCTTATGTTTCCTCAAAATATAAAATTATTTTGGGGGATATGGGGTAAGATTCTTTAAATTCATCATTATGTTGATTGGTAATGACAAAGTCAAAGGCTTCTGAATAATATTACATTTAACTAATTTTAAACAAATGTAGAAATCATCTCATTCAAAAATCTGGACAGAAAATGTTTCATAAAAATATATTTGAACTTCACAGCTTAATTATTCACTAATGACGCAAAATGTTTTCGAGTCAAGTTGCTGTATATTAACTGGGTTCAAGCTTGCCATTTTTAAAAGTTAAAATGTAGCATTTCATTAACATTTTTTTCAAAGAAAGCAAAAACAAGAGGTCAGAGACCAGCACACCTTGGGTTTCCCAGCCACAATAATGGCACCGTTGTATGACAAGTCATCCGTGCCGTTTCGGTTTTCAAAGTCATCTACTTCCAAAAGTAAGTGTTGATGCTTCAGCGACTGTATGAAATCTTCAATATTTGATTCTAGTAAGAAATCAGTAACAGAAGTACATATAAATGCAACAGCATAGGTGTCAAATTTTTTAAAGAAACCACATACAAATTGAATGTCACTGTTCATAAAAGATCATGTGAGGCATGATGATAATATTGGCCCCTGAAACAAGTTACCCCTCCAAATTCTACTAATTAAATCATACACTGGTCAGGCTCATGGACTGGCTAACTACCCCTGGGACAAGGTGACCACAGCTCCTCCCCAGGTCCCACAGACACCACCAGCAGCTATAGTTGTTCCCGGAGACAAACAAGTCCCTACAGTTATTTTCCAGGAAATTTTATCCGGGGAAGGGCCTAAAGTAACCCTAGACAAAGTGCACATTTTTTTCTTTATAATCTGCTCTATTTCCCCAGAGGTGCTACTTAACAGTAGAAACGATGTCTTGAATATTGTCTTTCTATTCACCTGTGTTATTGATGATCAGCAGGCTGCTCCGAGGATCTTGGGGAAGTTGTCCAGGAGAGAGAAAATACAGTTCAGGTTTAAATTCCCAGTTACTTTTCTGGTCAATCAGTGTAGCTTCAAGCACACTTTCCATAATGAAAGGGAACACTGCAATTCCAAAGACCAACAACCTACCAGGATAGAACGATGACTATGTGAGTCTACAGCTGCTGTATTTCTTTAGTCAAACATTGTGTAAATATTGTTGGATGCCAATTCTGCTCGATGCCAACCACCATCACAGGTGCTAACATCCTGAAAGCCATACTTTAGCATGCTGCAGAGCACCAAAAGGTTTTGCTCCATAAACACCAGCCTATCAAGCCACCGAAACGAAGTAGACATTAGCGTAAGGCTGATGGAGGGCTGACATACAGGGATTCCCACTGGCAGCAAAATCAAATGCTCATTTTTCCCACCCTCAGGCAGGAATGTTGGGTACTGTATTCTAGTTTAAAATTCTCTTTCAGTTTTTCCCGTTTTTGAAACTCATTACGTAACAAAGCCACAGTGCTCGGATACTCACAGAGTCAAAAGCTCTTTTGTTCCACGTTTTAACTTCAAGAAACGGAGCCAAGCTACTGCACAGACCTGCATTCTCCACAAACCCATGTCCGTTACAGGCTTCTGCATTTCAGGGAGAGCAGAACGAACTGACTGTGTTTTGTGCAGGTTTTCTGTGTCTTTTATCATTTCTGCTTGTTCAAAATCTGCATGTACACATATATCAGTAATGCCATTCATCAGTTTTCTCTTTTTCAGTGATATGAAAAATTGCTTTAGAATATTTGTGGTTATGAAACAAACAATATAAGAAACAAATTATGTTTATGACATCCAGATTCAATAAACACAGAGATAAGACAGGCTGAATTCATACCAAAAGGAAAATTCATTAATTCACTATGGCCAGTTTTTCAAAAGGTAGAGAAGGTTCCATATGTAACAAGATTCTGAGGAAGTCCAAGCCATATTCTCCATAGAAATAGCCAAGCATTGATGCCTAAATGTCTGCTTGTGAGCTATCAATAATTTAGTAGGTGGAGGATTACCAGCTCTGAAAGGTCCAGAGCTATCTCTGATTCTCACATGGGGACTTAAAGTAATGATCTGGAGAAAATCACTCAGCTGCTGTTAGTGTCACATGTCAAACAGCACCAATGACACTGGGTGGAAAGGCTGGTTACTGTAGGAAGGTAGTACAATATAGCCACACATTGATCAAGGTGTTAAGCATAAGGACCCCATAAATTACAACTCTTCTCCTCATTGCCCATTAAAATACACAAGAGATGTTCCCACGATTTCCCCCATTAACACCTTAGTAGAATTTTTATATTAACAAGCTAAGAAATCTCTGCTCAGGTTTCATGACCAGGATTGAGAGCCTTTCACATTCATTCTCAAAGGATTCAGAGTAACAGAGAATATCTGGGGATAAGAGAAAATGCTAAAATTGAAGGCAACAGCTTCCAGAGAGCAATCTGGTATTTCCCAAGATGGAATCTATGTTCAGTCCTGGTAATGATGTTAGGAAACAATGGCAGCCCTTCCCTGACAGCAGAGTCAAATTTGGAATTTGTCACATTCTTTGGGGTGAATCATATAAAAACCATTATAAATAATACATAACTATAAAGCAAATTGATTCATGGTTGTTTGGAAATAGATGTTCTGTGAATTCTACAAATGGCCTGACCTTGTCTGATAGCTGATGTTCCTTCCAGTTTCACGAAGACTTCACTCAGAGTTGACATGGAAATGTCGTAACTCATCACTCCCTGGCTGGAACACTTATCCAGGTCAGAGAAAAGGTCTGGGGCAGCAGAGACATTTGATATACACATCAGTAACTCAATCTAGCAGATTAATACTTATTTAAAAGATGATGCAAAGGAGCCTCCCTGGTGGCCTAGGGGTTAAGTCTCAGCTTAAAATGTACAAACATGTCAAAACAAATATTTCCAATGTAGAACATTAATTTCTCCTTCTCCATCCTATCCAGCTGCCTCTTCTATTGTTTCACAATAATAACGCCACCTTTTCTCCAATGACCAAGGCAGAATTCTAGATGTCCCTCTTGATTTTTCCTCATGTTCCACCCAGAGGCCATCAGGAAGATTCTTTGGCATTATCTCCACATGTGTTTCAGATCTACCCACTTCTACCCATTTCTCACCCCACACCACGGTATCCCCATCACGATAACCTATTACCTAATCTCTGAAAAGTTCATGTAGTTGCTCTCCCACATGCAGGGACAATCTCTTGTCCCTCTATATCCAGAGAAGGAAAATGTAAGTCACAGCACATCAGTATTCCATTTAGTGACTTTCAGTGGTTCCTTCATGCATTTAAAATAACTCAGAGACCACACAACAGCCTCCAAAGCTCCACATGAGCAAGTTGCTATTCCTACAGCCCACCACCCCCACTTGCCACTTCCCCCCTCACTGTACCCTCGGCTTGGAATGCCCCTGACCATTCAAGAACTTCTGTGGCCACCTGTGACCACACTATACAAATCACAGCCCCACACCAGACATCTCTCTAACCCATACGGCCTTCTTTATTATTTTATTGTACGATTGTTATACAGTTTGCTTTATTGTCTGTGTCCACTTGTCCACCCAATGGAATGTAGGCTTCATGAGAGTAGGAACTCATATCTCTAATTGTGTATCCCTAAAACCTTGGACATGTCTATTACGGAGGAGTTAAAGAGAGGCACCTGCACAGTCACAGGTGAGCAGGAGAACTACCTCTTTAAACTTAATGTTTAAACTCAAAGGAAGCTATTAATCAGAAAAGACCAAGGTACATTTCCTCATTTATAAGTCAGAGAAAATTATAGCACCCACTTCATAGACCATTTGAGAGGACTAAGTAAATCGATATATATGAACTCATAAGAACAGCACCTGACTCATAGTAAGCATCGTACAAAGGGTCAGCAATTAGGACTCCTTATCAAAAAAGCCTACTTGGTACAGCTACCCAGCAGGATGCAAAACTATGGTGAAGACCTTGTGGAATAAACTCCATTCTTCTCTGTGAAATGAATGCACACATTAAACCAAATTGGAAAGGGAACCTGTGGCATACGCCTTAATGCTTTACCCCTCATCTCCTGCTCTTACACCTGCAGTAAATCTGCCTGAGGGCAGTTTTTCCTTTACTTTGAAGGGTGCTCAGCTCATATTGAACACAAGTCAGAAGGGTCAGAAAATCAAAGCTCCTGGAAGCACCTCATGAACAGTAATGGATAAGGAAGGATGACCAGCACCCCAGCTCTATCCTGCAGGGATACAACTCTACGTCCAGTTATTGATATTCACTTATTATATCCCCAGCAGTATTTCTCCCCACTGCTTATGGCAATAACTTGCTCAGTAACTCAGACTTCCCCAGCTTCCCCCTGTTTCCTACTGGTGCTTCCAGGCATCAGTTACCAAACAAATGACTAGTTCGAAAATCCTCAGTTCAAGTTCTGCTTTCTGGGGAACCCCACCTAAAATGAAACCCAAATCCATGAAACGATGAAGATTATAGTAATAATATGAACATCCGCTCCCAAGAGGCATCCATAGAAATCATATTTAAGTTACCTGGAAACTTATTTGTCTTTTCCAAAGGCAAAGTATACACAAGCTTTTCTGTGCTTTCTGTTTTTAATACAGCATCAGGGATATGTTGATTAATGAAGGATGTGGCTTTTTCTGGATCACATATCTCATTTCTGTACAAACTAATATTTAAAAGAAAAGACAATTCATTTGTATTTGTCCATCACTAACATGAGAGAAGAGCTCTTATTGAATATCTCTCCTTTGAGTACTACTTTTACTGGACTTTATGGGACAAACAAAATGAAGAACTAACAGTAGTAATAATGTCATTGTTTTGAAAAAAATCTTATGATCTATACAGAGAAGCTGTGTAAACTCAGAACAACTACAAATACACCAAAGAATACAGCATATAATTGAAAGTATTTATCAAGTATGAAGATAGATGAAGGAGGTGAAAGCAGGAGGCAGAATAGACTTTCCAGGGAAATAATTATTACAGCATACTGGGAAGGTATCAGGGATTAGCAGTGAAGAAGGAAATTTGGCCTACATGTGTGTTTTCTTTGGCTGTGGGTTGTTGTTTCATTTTTAAAGTTTTTTAGCCTTTCTTGTTAGATGCAATTTCTTCACTCTCTACTGCCAACTTCACTCCCACTTTTGACACCAGCTTTGGAAATTATCTGATGATGTGCCAAAAATGAAGACATATTATGGAATTTTTCTGGATCAGCTGAGGTAAATGGAGGGTGGGAAGAAGGTAGAAGCTTAAAGGGCTACACAGAACAGCTCCTTGGCCAAAGTGGTCCATGAAGTAGCCTTGTGGGCATCCGTCTCCCTGGGCTTACCACTTTGAAGCTTTACCTGTCATTAGCATTAGTAAGGATATAAAGAGGCAGGAATGGAGGAAAAACATTTAGGAAGCACTATCCATTAGTGCCACAGGCTGATTCTCTCACAAATGCTACTTTTTCCAAGTCAGTGCTGAAAAATTTGTACTGAACTTTATGTACGCAAGATAGCTCCAGTCTGTCTCCAAAATCTTTACCTTAAATGATAGCCAAGACCCCATCTTCTCTTCAAAAAGACAGAGGAGCCTGCACCCTTCAGCCTCCCGCTGGACATGATTACTTTTCTATCTAAGTGAAAAAAGAAGCAAGAGTCAAGGATATTAGGAGCCATTTCGTCATGCTCTCAAAAGTCTAAGTAAGGAGTCAAAGCTCAGAAGTGTTCTGTGGCAAGACTAAAGCTAATGAACATTTGAATGTTTGAAATATGCAATAACATGCATGCAATTAAAATGAGCTGATGGATTCCAGTCTTTTTCAGTGCCCTCCTTTATGCTTTTGCAAAAGAAAAAACAAAACAATTCTCCAGGCATATTTTCTACTCTGGATGCTAAAGAATGAATGAATTGGGTATTTTTCAACCAAATCTATGCTAAAGGGCTCCCCAGGTGGCCTAGGGGTTAAGTCTCAGTGCTATCACTACTAAGGCCTGAGTTTGAATTCTGCCAGGGAGCTGACCCACATGGCACAGCAGACCTCTCCTGTCTCCCCGCTGCTCCCCTCAGCAGTGTATTTCAGTTGATCCACCTGTTCTGCTCCCCACTCTGTCTCTAGTGAATCCTCTCATCCCCACACCTCTGGCCTATACCCCAGTTCTTCTATACACACACACGACATTAAAAAAAATCTGTGCTAAAGATTCAGATATTTAAATTGACCAATAGCTGGTCTGAAAAAAAAATCACAATTTTTTATTAGAGATCACAACCTACCCAATGCACAGATGGCAAGGAAGTTTACAGCGGGAGTGGGCTTTTGCCATCCTCTACAGCACATAGAACACTGGAGCAGAGAGGTGAGTATGGTAGATCTCTTGCTATGGGAATAAACATTTCCCAAATTCTTTATTTGCTACTAACATTAAAGCACCATAATTACCAGCCAGGAGGTCAGCTTCATCCATGAAATTGGTACTCAAGAGAATCACCCGGTTTGCTTTGCGCTCTTTGAGGAAGCTCCAGACCCTGTGCCTTGAAAAGGGATCCAGTCCTGCTGTTGGTTCATCTAATATCAAAACCTACAGGGTGAAAAGATACAAAACGAGTGTCTCTCCCACCTTAACTACCTCTACATGGCAGCTTAGAAACAACAAAAGATAGTAATGATGCTGCAACTATTTATGCCCAATATACCTAATATACACAGTAAGAAGAGTGAGTTTCTTTTGATATGTTATAATGAAAGTGCTACTATTTCTCGTGGCAAAAGAAGAGCTTAACTTTTAATTGATAGTCAATCTGTTTTCCTCCACTTGCATGATCTCACTTACTTGAGGATCTCCTAAAATGGCAATACCAAGGGTCAGCTTTCTTTTCTGTCCTTCACTTAAGAGCTTAGCAAGATCATCCTGAATGTTTTGTATGTCCAATTCCAATAAAATTCTTTGTACCTAAACAAGAAAACATGCAAAGCTTGAAATACCAGCTGATCCACATTATGTAATTTTAATTGTTCATTGTAACAGTAGCTATTTTTCATAGGGCCTCCTTGTCTAAATTGTTTTTTTTTTTATAGAGGCATTTTTTTTTTATTTTATTTATTTACTTGTTTGTTTGTTTGTTTTTGTTTATACATGCACTGGGTACAGTCAGAAGCACGGGAGGGTGAGAGAATTCACCAGAGCCAGAGCGGGGAGCAGAGCAGGCAGAAGGACCGAAGCACACTGCTGAGGGGAGCAGCGGGCGGCAGGAGAGGTCTGCGCGCCATGTGGGACCCTCCTCCGGTGGCTGGGGAGCAGCCGGGGATCGAACCGGCGCCGCAGAGGCCGTGGGCAGCTTCGCAACCCAGCGCTCAACCGCTGCGCCACCGGGGAGGCCCCTCCTTGTCTAAATTGTATTCATAACAGGGCAGGTACAATACTGAGGGGAATTTGAGGTCATGATTTAACTGGCAAGTGGTTGGCAGGTAAACTAATCCCAGCAAGCCTGTCTACCTCTTGTTCCACTTTCTGTGGCTGAATTCCTCTTATTTTAGCAAACAGCCTGAGGTTTTCCTTCACAGTGAGCATGTCAAAATGAATATTGAATTGAGGACAAAAGCCAGTTATCTTTCTGTTTTCCTCCAAGTCTTGCTCTTCAGAGAGGTCTTTATTGTAGACAGTAACTGATCCTAAGAATAAAAGTTAAAAATAACATTGTCAAGATAACAGGTTTTATTAATGCTTGAAGATCTTACTTAGGAAAATATTGACATGTATTCACAAATGTCTAAAATAATGACTCCAAGTTTTTCAACAACTACCAATTTTTCCCACATGAGTAGTGTATTTGCCCTGAGAAAGTAGAATCAATATACTGAATTTCATAAAAATTGGGGAAATACAAAATACATTCAAAATCACTGTGTTTGATAATTCAGAAAAACAAGTATTATTTTCTCGTATGCAGTCAAATTTAAACATTAAAACAAGAGAGGCATGCCTATGACCTGATTCAATTATCAGACATCTTGCCCTTCAGATATCTTTTTGCTCACCTTCTGTTGGAACAGACAACCCATTAAGGATGTTTAGTAATGAAGACTTGCCAGCTCCACTATGACCCAGAAATGCTGTGATTTGACCTTCATATATGTCCAGGAACAAACCTGTTTGTAGAATGAAGTATCAACATTATAAATAAAGGGCATTAGGCAGGGCTGATACTAAAAACAGAGCAAGACTATTTTAGTTTTGTATTGTCAAATACTTCAAAAGTAAAAAAAAAAATCAATATTTTCTGGTTGCTAAAATAATTATGTTTACTGTAGAATGTTTGAAAAATAAATATAATTACTTAGAGGATAAGATTAAATTAACCATAATTACAAATATTAACCTTGTAATACACTTACTTCCAGTAGATTTGCATGTGCATATAAATATGTAAATATACATATATATTTAGAAACTTTAATCAAAATCTATTCTTTTATAGTCTTTTTTTTCAGATATTAAACCATAAGCATTTTTTATGGCATTAATTAACTTCTAAAATACATTACCAATAATTTACTTTTCCCAATGCCCATTTTTCTATTCTTTTGTTATAAACTTTTTACATTCACATCTCAATAAAAGAATCACTTAACTAGCTTCATGATGGAAAGTTGTTGGCCAGAGCAAGATAAAATTCTTAAGAATCTTATAATACATTATATTTAAAAGATCAGTCCTTCCAATTAAATTATGTAACCACTTTCAAACAATGCTGAAATTAATTGTGACTGGGCCTGCAATTCCACTTCATCCATTTTCTATCTGAATGATCTCAGATAAAACTAAACTCTAAAAGGTTCAGTTTATTCAGCTACTCAGTGTGTTGGTAATGATAATTTATGTAAAGAGAAAATTCTTCCTATTTTGATCTAATTCATTAAAACCCTCACTTACAATTTGATGAAGAAGTTCTAAAGATCATTGGAAAAATAAACTCAAATCATTAAGAAAAATTAATGAAAAGTATGATTAGTCTTGACACAATGTGTTAAAATACACTGGAGAAATATAAAAATCAATATAATAATTAATTAGTATGTTACTAGTCCAGGACACATACACTGACCAACAGAATAGAATAGAAGCCTTTTTAAAATGGACCAAAGTAAAAATAAGTAATAAAGATGCATGAAATGGTCTTTCAGATTCACCAGAAAGATTAAACAATTTCTAATATTGGGACAACTAAAAAAGTACATTAGTAAAATTTATGGATTTCTTTAAGATGGAAAAAGAGTATATTCAAGGATAAGAAAAAAAGTAGCACTAGTTATCTTGAAAATGACCCGTGAAATGAATTCCAGCACAGGGTTTAATGTAGGATCTTTTTTTTTTGCACCCATGCTATTGATTGTTAAATGTAATAGTCTGATTATGAGTCTAAATAAATGTGTCTTTAAAAAAAAGAATAATTGCATTAAATAAAAATAAGGCATGTCACTTGAACTTACCAGTAATATTTTTAATGATTTATTTTATTTATTTATGCATAAAAGATGGGGTATAGTCCAAAGGTGCAGGGGATGAGAGGATTCACCAGTGACAGAGTGGGTGGCAGAAAAAGTGGATCTACTGAAATACACTGCTGAGGGGAGCAGACAGGAGACAGGAGGGGTCTGCTGCTCCATGTGGGTCAGCTCCCTGGCCAGGAAACGAACTCAGGCCGCAGTGGCCGGCCATACCTTAATAGTGCTGAGACTCAACCCCAAGGACACCAGGGAGGCCAGATAAGGGATTTTAAATATACATCCTGAGGTGTCCAATGTCATAAGAAGAACTAGGTGCATGGGGAGGAGCAGGCTGAGATGGTGTCACCTGGTCAGGAATCTCAGTTCAAAGCAAGAGTTTCAGTCCAAGAAAACAGATCATTAGTCACAGAGCATGTCTGTGCAGCCTGTGCTCTGCGTGTGTGCAGATTCAGATGCGAGGTATGGTGCCCTGTCCTTCCTCCCAGGCCCTATCATTCCAGAATCACTCCAATTTGCTCTGTTATTCATGTTTGTTTTTAATGTATGGTTGCTCATTCCTTTTAATCTTTTTAAGATTCTGCTACTGTTGAAAACAGAAGAAATTATTGCAGAAGTTTAAGATGTTTAAACATAAGAAGCAACTCAGTCACTGATATGTGTAGAAGCAGTTCAGAAGGTGCTCTGGAAACTGAAATGATAAATTTAAAAATATTTCAATCTCTCTGTGGTTAAAATTAAGAAGAAGCCAAATCTACATAGTATTCGATGAGAAAAATCTGGAGAGAGAACATGTATACTGATAAGCATGTTAAATGGTCGAAATACATAGTGAATCTCAAAGGAGTAAGGAAGAGCAAGTAGAGGGGTGCTGCATTTGTCAGAAAACAATCTAAGCAAATACACAGCAAACTATCAACCTTTTGGGGGGATCTATGGTTTTTCTTTGCTAATTATTAAGTTCTCAATTGCTTGTAAAACTCATTCAACTCCCTCCTAAAAATTATTATTATTTAAAACATGCTATTCTCTATGAAACATGGGTACTTATTTTGATGCTTATTTAAATGTTTGTTATAAAAAGCTACATTTGTGAGAATATGCAGTATCAGATAAATTGGTTCACTGACATTGTAAACTATGTCACAGGGCAGTGACTTGTGACATATAATCCATGATCAAAACTGCAGCTTATTTTGTCTTAATCTCACAGAACATGGAAACTATGCAAATTCCCTGCTAGTATAAAACATAATTTATGTATTTTAAGTCAAGATTTCCTTCCTCAGCATGCAAAAAAATAAAATATTGTTTATCATGAATTCATGTTGAAAAACAAAGAGAAATCACAATTGTCATTTGTACAAACCATTTTCGTAAATTTGTAATGCAACATTTGGAAGGATTTCACATCCAGGTATTAAACAGGTCAAATTCCAGATGATGGAATTAGATTATATCTCTTTTCTTTTTTTTCTTTTGTTTTTCCATATTTTCAAAGTTTTCCTTCATTTTTTCCCATTCTTTTTATTAAAAAGTGAATAAAAACAATGAAATGTTTTTCTCTACCTTTCAATGCTTCAATCTTTGCAGACCTTCTTCGGTATTCTTTTTTAACATTCCTGATTCTGAAATGACAAAAGAGTTACTTCCTTAGCCAACACAGAAGTCACAACAGTATCTAAAGTAACAACAGATCAGGAACAATGCTAGATAGAGTTTTAGGTGCCATCAGTGCCTTCCTTTGAGATAAAAGATGTTAAAGCCATTCTACATAGAAAGGTAAAGTATTATTTTCTGTTGCTTCTCTTGAGATGGAAAATAAATGTCTAGAAGGTTACAAAAAATTATTAGGATTTTGCTTAGAAAAAGAGAATGTTCTGTAATGATCCTCACTTCCTCTAGTCTCTTGGCAGTTTTTCTCGGACAGGTCAGCTCACTTAACTGCACTCTTTCGCCACTAATGATTTCAGTATTCCTCTTTTGTTCTTTGTCTTTCGGATAAATGTTTTCTATGGAGCTGGGAGAGAAAGGCTGTTGCCCTCAGAATTAGAAGGACATAATTTGGGTGCATAAGGTCACTCTGTATTTGTCATAGAGGGAAATATTTCACTTCCCAGCTTCAGTTCTATTTTATTCACCTCCCTTCACTTCCTGGCATCTCTATAGAGTAGCCAGATGTTTAGAGCATAAACTCAGGAGCCAGATGGGATTCCAATCCCAGTTCCTCATTTATCTGTGTTACATTAGGCAACAGACTTAACCTTTTAGTACTTCGCTTTTCTCATTTTTTAAATGGGCAAAATAAAAGTGTCTCACAAGATTTTTGTGAAAATTAAATGCATCTCTGAAAATTAATTGCATCATAGAGGAGACTGAGACAGAGTCCAAGATTATACATCAAATGAGAGGGGCATGTGGTATGACAAACTTGAGAACTGGAGTCCAAATTTCTTACTTCTTCCATCACTCCATGTAAAACAGATAACACCAAGGAAGAAAGGAGTCAAAGAGAGAAAAGAGCATATCTATATGTAAGAGGTGGGGGGCGAGAGACAAGATCAAGGAGGATGACAGAGTGGAAAGTGATATGGTAACATTATCTGTAACTAGGCAAAGAGAAATTCCCTTTCAAGTAGCAGGTAAGAAACATGCTAGGGTGATGGCTCTGGGGCTCCAAGTGACATCCACAAAAGCAAGTTGTTCTTCAGTGTTTTGCTGCAGGCTCAGCTGGTCGTTGGTTAATAACTGATTAGCCTTGCTCCCATATATTAGTATGTGAGATCACCTGATGGCTTCTTTTCCTCGGAATTCTGGAGATACCGGCTCAAAATAATCATTAGGAGCATGTTCAAGATCTGTCTCCTTTCTGATGACCTTATTACCAATCCTTTTGCGTCGGAAACAAGACGATGAGTTCAGAAAAAATAGTGGAGCATAACGGCGCTCATTTCCATCTAATTAATCAAGAGGCAATAAAATATCACAACAACAATATCAGAACTATAAGCAGAGAAGCTTCGTTCAGTCTTGGGTTTTTAATCACTGTAGAGAAATTCTTTCCCTTCTAACTTCCTATCACTGAGAAGATGTGATAATACAGTAAACAGTGAGAATTCAGAGGAAATAACATATCATCCTAAAAGTCACACAGTATAATAGAACTTTTGACAAAGGACAAATCAAAGTTTGATCAAAAAGGCAGTTGGCAGAATGAATCAAGTCAAACACCTGAGAAAAAAGTTTTAACTGGCACGTAGAAATAATTGGAAACATGCTTGTGAATTTAAGAAAGTACTTGACCACAACAGATGAGTGAACACAATACTGAAATCTATGTGCTCTGTGAATCAAAAGGGCAAGAATTTCTAATTATTCAAGATGAACAGATGATCATTTTCCAGATTTTAAAACAATGAGCAGTGTTTGTTATTAGTGTCATCCTGCACTAATCAGAAGTGACAGAGAGAAATAAATACATAGATATATATCAAGACAAACTGAAATCCAATCCAAATGGAAGGGACATTGAAAAATAAGATAAGATAGTATATGGAAGAAAAGTCTTCTAATTCCATTATGTGTGAAGGAATTCTGGACTTATACAAATTCTCTCATTGTTTGCAAGATAAAAATCTAATACAATGCTGCAAATATATTAATATATATAAAAGCTCAGAATAATGCTGCAAGTTTCCTCTCTAATTTTCCTTTTGCTATTTCCTTCGAGGATGGACATCTCAAGTGTTTCATCCAGAAACAGGGCACAGTGAGGAAGACCTCACTATATTGTGTCTGAGTTTCTTTCTAACTGTGCTCAGATGTTTGCAACCATCCCTCATTCTTATAAGAAGAAGAAAATTTTATTAGGAAATGCTTGGAAATGCTTTAGGGTACTTGAAAAAAGAAACAAAATTATAATTCACATTGTAACTATCATTGCTGTATTAACTATTAGGTGTATTATATTAAAGTCAGAAGAATACATTTTTACCTAAAAATTCCTTGAGACCATTAAAACTATAAAGGTGAAATAAAGAACTCATTTAGCTTGTGATGGGAAATATTTGTTTTTCTTCATTTCTTAAAATATATTTACATAACCTTAAGAAAAAATCTTGAGTGTGATCAATATCTATAGAATTATGACAAAAATCCACTGCTACTTACAAGGTAAGATTTTGTCAAAGTATAATGCCAATGCCAAGTAGAATAGAGCATCAAAAGCCAATATGGCAAGAATTGCTATCATTATATATGAGTCTCCTGAAGAGTCAGAAAAACTTATGCCATTTGTTGTATAATCCAGGTGCATAATCTAAGATTCAAACAAAAATAACAATTAATATTTAAGTAAATAAAAGTAATTCAGTGTAACATTAAGGAGAATCATTTTAAAAAGTAACTTTTTCAAGAAGCTCTTATAATGAAGGTATTAGTGAAATAATTTATATTTTGTAGATATCAAAGTAATATAAGAAGGAAATATTGATTTGAAAAAGCAATGTTCTAAAAACAAGAATTTTAAGTTATAATTTAGGTGCTTATTCTTGTAAATCTTCATAATATAAAATACCTATTATATACAACAAAGAAATACAAATTTTAGAAAGAATAAGAACAATTTGAAGCATTTTAAGATATCGATAGGAAAATTTACCTCTTTTCTTAAATATAAGATTTATACTCATAATTTTGTCATATAAATAGCTGCCATGTCCTAGGCACTGTGCTAAGTATTTTTTATATTTCCCCCAGGTAATCTTCATCATAACTCTAGGAAGTAGGACTGATTATTTTTATCTGTATTTCACATATGATGAGACTGAAGCACAGAGAGTTTAAGTAGCCTAACTATATGAAGTTAAAAAATCACATAGTGAGGAGTGACAAAATTGAAATTAGAATACAGGAAGTCCAGATTTGAAGTCCATTTCCTCACCCTAGATACTCCACAACTTCTCTATGTTAAAATGTCAGCATTTCAAAGTTGAGAGCAGGCCTGCTTCAACATCTGAAGGTCAGTCAATGTAGTTCAACATAAAATACATTGAAGGAGAAATTAATGTGGTCATTTTAATATTTGAAGAAATAAACATTTGATAAAAGTTAATATCCATTTATAATAAAGTATTTTCACAAACTAAGATAAAAAGTTTTTCTTAATCTGATGAATTTAGAGGTGTGAAGACCAACACCAAAAATCATGCTCAACTGTGAAATGCTGAAAGCTTTTTTCTTTGCTTGCATTTCTATTCAATATTGTAGCAGAAGTCTTGCTCTGTGCAATAGGCAAGAAAAATAAATGGCATAAGGATTACAAGAGGAAAAATTAAACCATCATTTTATGTTGGCAACATGATTATATGTAAGGAAACTCAAAGATAAACCTAGAAAAGGACTTGATTTTATAAAAGAATATAATAAGTGTGCAGAAAATCATTTACATCTTTCTACATTAACAACAAGCATTCAGAAATACGAATTTAAACACAGATGCTATAATATTTATAATGGCATCAAAAGCATTGAAAACCTTTGAGTAAGTCAACCAAAAATATGCCGGACTATACTGAAAACTAAAACAATTACTAAGGGAAAATGAATGGTACAAATGATATGTAATCTTCATGACCAAAAAAAAAAAAGGGTCAATTTCCCTCAACTTGACTGAAAATTCAGCAGCACCAAACTCTCAGCAGCTTTATGCACAATCTGTATGTATAACTTGGTGAGTAAATTCTAAATTTATACCATTGCAAACAACCTGGAAAAGAAAAGATTTTTTTGAAAAAAGAAAATAAAGTTGTAAAATTATTATAAGATGTCAAGACCTATTATAAAGCAAAGAAATTAGGACAATGTGGCAACAGCACATAGGTAGACAGATGGGTTAATATATTCTTAATTGAGTTGAGATTGTAATTCATTCCAGGGAAGGATGTTTTTTCAATAAGTGGAGTTGACACAATAGGATATCATGTGAAAAGACAAATAATGCCTCTACCTATAAACACACAAAAGTTATTTTGAAATGGATTTTATATATAAATATAAAGATAGAATCAATTAAGCTCCCAGCATAAACACAGGAGAATATCTTTAAAATCTTGGTATATGCCATGATTTTGTGAAGATAGAAAAACATTCTACATTAAAATTAAGAACCTCTGTTCATTAAAATCACCATTATGACACTATGTGTGTCAGTAACAAGTGAAAATTGTCTTATATCTGGCATATATAAGGAATTCCTACAAAACAACAAAAAAAGATTAAAATTAGTAAAAATGGGGAAAAGAGTTGAGAGACAAAAAGAAAAAAAAACAAAAAGCCACTAAGCATAAGACAAGGTATTCAATTTTAATAAGCAGGAAAATGAAAAATAAGATCACAATGATAAATCATTACATATCTGCAAGAGTGACTAGAATTTGAAAGACTGATAATACCAAATGTTGTTGAAAATTTGGAGCAACTAGAACTCTGAAACACTACTGGTGCAAAAATTCATACAACCGCTTTGGAAAAATATTTGGTAGTGCCCCCCTACGAAGATTGAGATGCACATATTTTAAGTACCATTATCCATCTCCTAGATATTATAAGGGAGCAAAAATCTATCACCCCAAAATATATCCTTGTTAAAAGGTTTAATTCGTGGAAAGGCTCTCAGGCTGGATTGATGCTGCTTTTGAAAAAGACATCAGCATGTGAAAGTCTCTCTGTAACGATGTCCCTCACACGGTATTGGGGAGACCGAATCTCCTCATGTTCTTTGACTGGATAAGGCAAAGCTTTAATCTGCCTATATTTGTTTACTGTGCCTTCCTTGGTAAGCTCCCTCACTGACCTCCCCCTTTCTTCCTCCCAACCTCTTTTGTCTTGGTTAGGCTGTTTAAGACGGTATATGAAGCCATGAGGTGAGTTCCTCCAACATACTAGGTCTCTCCTTTCTATACAGAAATTTTAAATGTTATTAGTAAATTTCTTTTTGGTTTTCTTTTCTCTTATCCATGTGTTTGATGCTTGTTTGATTATTTGGCAGCTTACATATCTCTGGAGAAATATGGGATGATCTTCTTTGTACCCTGACAACATATACCAAATAGTACACAATGTTCATATTCATTAAGAAATATGTGTAAGACTTTATGCAGTTATTGATAATAATAGTGAAAAACTGGAAAATACTTTGTCCATAAATAGGAAAATTGATAGCATAGTCACACAACAAAATGCCACATAACACTATACTATAGCGTCATATAATCTATAGATGAAATCTAAAAACATCAGGCTGAGAGAAAAAGTCAGATTTTTAATAATAGACTTTGTACAATATTACCTCTATAATGTTGAAAATAGGCTAAACTAAAATTTATACTTAGGAAACATATTCTGAGGTGATAATAAAAAGCAAGGAAGCAAGTAATTACAAAATTTTTACCTTTAGAGTATTTGGGGGAACTTTTGGGGTTGTGACAAAGTTCTTTTTCTTGATCTATTCTTGATTAATTTTGTTTATTTTGCATTTGTTAAACTATATTTACATCTTAAGTTTTCATATTTGAGGTTACAAAAAGAAACTTGCATAACAATTTTTAATAAACTAGCAGAATGCTTTCATTATGTGAAGAGAAAAGAAGCTAAATATTTGCATATGGAAAATAATGAGACAAAAGCACTTCAGCAAGAAAATGTATCTTCAGTGTGGAAAATCTTATTCAAGATTTTCTTACTCAAATTTCCTGAGATGCTAATTTTTCTACACTGTAATAAATAACATTTTCAAGTTTAGCTTTTGAGTAGAATAGTTTAGAATAAAAGCTTTTAATTAAAAAAAATTTAATAATGATGAAGTCATGAAGGATCAAATTTGTTGGAAGGTTTAATAATAAACCAATGAACTATGCTCTTACCTTAGTCATTCCAGCAGTGAAGGCAAACGGGCTACAAATACTTAAAATCCATTCCAAAGATGAAGGAAGTTGTTTATAATAGGTAGTGAACCCCACACACCCCCAAAAGAGTGTGAAGAGAAACACAACCAAACTGGTCAGGACAGTTTTCTTCAGCAACACACTCATCAGGAATGACAAAGCTAACTGAAAGAAAAAAAATTATCTAGCTCTTATTTATATTTGAGAATCATGAGTAGCATAATAAAATATGAATTTTTATATCATAACAAATATTTATCAGTGAGACAATAAAGAAAATATTACAGTGGAATTACACTCACTCCTCTCAGTTCCTTTGTAAAGAGGATCCTTACATGCGCTACTCTTAAGTTAGGCTTCTATGGCTAAGAAAAGGTTGGGAATAACTGGACAATGAATGAGCTGAGGAAAGGATAGGAAATGCAGTTTTGGAAAGACTGACGAAAAACTAAATTAATGTACTAAAAAGAGTACTTACACAACTTCTCCAGAAAACCACCTGGAATGTGAAAGAAATTAGAGACTTTTGTTCACAAAAGAGTGGGAAGCCAGAACATGGTGCAATTAAGAGGGAAAAGAGATGTGAAAATCTACTATGCAACGGGAGACATTTTTTTTTAATTTTTTTAAGATTTTATTTATTTATTTATACAGGCACAAGGTACAGTCAGGAGTGCAGAAAGGTAAGAGAATTCACCAGAAATAGAGCGGGGAGCAGAACAGGCAGACTGACAAAATACACTGCTGAGGGAAGCAGCGGGCATGGCAGGAGAGGTCTGTCACACCATGTGGAACCCTCGCCTGCGGCTGGGGATTGAACTGGCGCTGCAGAGGCTGCGGGCAGATTCACAGCCCAGCGCTCAACCACTGTGTCACCGGGGAGGCCCTGCAATGGGAGACTTTTGAGGAAAAAAAGAGGACCAAGGACATCCTCATTAATTATCTAGAAAAGTCTTTCATATTCTTAGTGAAATTTTTTTTTCTTTTTAGTGCATCATTTAATTCAGACCTTTATACAATGGAGTGGTCCAGTTTTATTTAGGCACATCACTGTCTTTACACATACCCATAAATTTTTACACTCACACACACGGACACAAACACATGCATACAGTATAAAAGAAGTAACTATTTTGTCTGCTGAGACATTAATTTTTGTTACATATAACTACGACCTAAAGCAGAGAAACTGGTAATAAACGTATGAACTTACCAAAGATAAACCATATGAGAAAAAGAGTGTGAATATGACCATGAAACCTATCGTGGTCATAATTTGGGCAGATATTATGATAACTGTAATGATTATGGAAATAATGATGATGAACCCAGCATACATTAAACCCCAGGAGAGCCTAAACAAAGACAAAAATATTTCAATTACTATAATTTTATTTTGAAATATTAAAAACACAAAAATATTTTTAAAAAAACTAATACAATGGCTCTCCTTGCATTTGCCACATACCCTAACAACTAAAATACTGCTAATAGTACATTGGCATGGCTGTACTGACTAGGGGTCAGCGCTGTATGCACATATCATATAACACTAGGAAAACTGCATAAATAGTATCATCTTACATGTATTCCTCTGCAACTTGTCTTTCTCGATCAACATATACAATATTTTATACTGCTGTATAATATTTCATTGTTTGCATATATAATAGCAAGAACATTTAAGTTGTTCCCAATTTTTATTTTGAGTGCAATGTTGCTTAGAACATTCTTGGATTTGTCTCTCTTGGGAAAATGCACAAAATTTTCCCTAAGGTGAAACTACTGATTTAAAGGGGATGAGGTTTTTGTTTCTTCAGCATTATGTATTATCAAATTGTTTTAACTTTAGAATTGGAAGGAAACTTAACATCTGGTGATTAAACAACCATAGAAAATTGGAGAATGATGACAATTTCAGCATTTTTAGGTATAGTCACCTCCATTCTCCACATTAGTAGAAAAATAGAATTTTATAACTCCCCTAAGTCCACTCCATTCTTGCCATTCCTATATGTGATTTCTTTATTTAAATGGATATATACTATGGTAAAAATAATTTTAACTAACAATATTACATTTAAATTGGTTACATTTAAATACACAACAGATTGTATTCAATCATATCTAATGTGTTATTATACTAACTTTAATATATTTAATATAATATTAAATTTAAATGCTATTGACTTAAACTGAAATAATTATAGTATAAATGCAGTGTTCACACTGTTTTCTTTCCCTGTGCTACTGTTCACATTTTTATGAGGTAGGTATAAAGAAACAGAATTCAATCTCAGATCTAACAAGCCTATAGGGTGTTTTTAGGGCAAGTTCCTCATTTTGCAGATGAATAAACTGCTATTCTGTTAGTTAATGGGTGTACTAAAAATCAACACAGTAAATCAACTACACAGCTGAGAGGAAGTGGGAGACTTTCACTCCATCCAGAGCTCTTTCCCCTACATAAAAATGCCTGATCAAATAACAATTCAATTGCTGAAGAAAATAGCAAGAGTATTTAAAACAGGAACTTGCATTATCATGTCCCAGTAGAACACGTTACCTGCTTATTTGACTTCTTTCTACATTTCATGTCATTAGGATGATTCAAACTGTTAGAAAAATCAGCATTTTTAAAAAACATACTGCACACGGCACTTCCTGAATGCAGAGGGGAACTACTATTGGTAGGAACTGAAAAATCATGGTAGGGGAATTACGAATGGAGGAAATTAAAACATAACCTAGGAAAAAAGGAACTTCATTGCCATGAGTTGAGAGGGGAGGGGTGGTGTTAACAAACTTAGGAAAACCTTCATAATAAAAAATGCATCACACTTTAAGTAGTGATTACATTTATTACATTAGTAAATAAAAAGGTTGTCACAAAATGTATTCCAATAAACAGCCTATATTTAAAACGTTTCAGAAACTTTTTCCTTCTAAGTTTTAAGGACATGTATAAAAATTCACTTTGCTAAGTTTTAGTTTACATGCATACTAGGAACCATTTACCCTGAGAATGATTCCACATCTAAATATTCTTTACCTATGTGATTTTAATCTAAAGTTGACATGGGCCTAGCTATTTATTCTCTGGGGGCTACAGGGCTTGCCCTGGACTCTAAGAAGTTCCCTTTTACATAGACCCCTTTTCTTCTTCCCTAATACATTCCACCCATTCCTTTCTTTGCATTTCTAAAATGAAAAGACACTGTCTTCCTTTCTTTTTTATTTCAAGACATTTTTCTTCTTTTTCTGGTTCATGATTCCTATATTTTGAATGAGAACTCCCTCTGTAAATAAAATACACTTCATAGAAAATTTAAAATTCCCTAAACATAATTTTATTTCAGGGACCATGTGGCTTGCTGAGCTGTTCTATAAATAGCTCCCATTTCACAGGTCCACATCAATAATATTTTCTTGATATGAAGGCATATTCACAGAAATAGCCCCTAGATTTTCATATCAAAAAGTGCTTGGTTTGAGGGGAATAAAACAAACAGTAAATTTGAATTAAAAAAATCAGTAAGTTAAAACAAAAGTAGTTGATGGATCAAGTTTAAATCATGATGTGCCAGAGCAATAGTACTTTTCACTTCCTCTTAATTTCCACTTTTATTCATTTGCATAACTTGAATCTGATACTCACCAGAATGCTGAATCTTGTAGACCCATCATGTTCATTACTTCCTTACTCTTTTTTCTTTCTTTTGTAACATTAAGTGATACAAAGTATATAAATGAAGAGAAGTAAAGCAAGCAGTAGAAAATAAATAGCTCATTTGGAAGAAACTCTTTAGAAATAAAAGACAATGTCTTCATATTTATTGCAATAACTGACATCAACTTCTCCATCACAGAGTGATTTGTCATGACCTAAATAAGGGTTTAGGGTTTAAACAAGCAAAATCATTATTTAAAGTACAGAAAATTTTACATTATCAATAAGCTGTGGGGATTGTACCTATTGTGTCAACATCCCAGTCCTACTACTGTTCTATGGTTATGCCTTAGGCGAAACTGGCAAGGCTTTGTAAATTATTTTTGCAATTTCCTGTCATTCTATAACAACTTAAAAATGTAAAGTTAAAAAAAAATCAATGTTCCTTTGCCTAAATGTAATTTCAGCACTTGCATAACTTCTTCATTGTAGGAACATATGGAAGTCTGAGCATGTGTGATATATAGTATGTAATATATATGATATTTATTATATATTATCTTTCATCAAAATCTTGATGCCTCTGGAATTATTTTCCATTAATGATTAGAACTCTTCTTACTTGTATAATAGCAGCATTAATTGCAGTTTGCAAGGCCACAAATCCATCATTCCAATATTTGGACAGTTGACACGAGTAGTCTTCATTTAATTCCCAACAATGTGCTATCGACAAACAAAAGCATAACCAACATTATGGGATAAAGGCTACTGGAGAATAAGAAACAAAAATCTAAGAGAAAACAATGTAGAGGAGACTCTATCAGTCAGAACTTTGGATCACATATTAAAAAGAAGCAATTTTACCTACGGATACTCTATAAGCAGAGAAAGTCTTAGTAAATAAAAATATGTAAATCAACACTGTTCTAACCCTGTTGGACATTGCTGTGCCACCAAGACCTAAAGCACTCCAGTGCTCAAACTGTGTGTGTGTGTGTGTGCTTGTCCATGGCTCACACCTTTCCTCCATTCTGGTCTGTTCTCTAAAGAAAACTCACCGCAGAGGTATTTTCTGGCCACTTTATAGTATAGTATAGTATAGTATAGTATAGTATAGTATAGTATAGTATAGTGTAGTATAGTATATTATTGTATGATAGATAGATAGATAGATAGATAGATAGATAGATAGAAATATAGTTCTTTCAATCAGTTTCTATCTTCTAACCCTGCTTTTCTTGGCTTTCTTACTTTATTACCACCTGGCAGAGTACATTGTTTTTCCCCATCCCACGTCCCTGAGTAGGAAGATTTAACCGAACAGGCTCTGCTTTAGGTTCTCTTCAATTTCCAGGGTCAAGAATGATGTGAGACATGAAGACCCTCAGCAAATGAGAGGAAAAGAACCAACCCAATTGATGATGAGTCACATCAATACTTTCTAAAAATCCTCAGCTGCACACACCATGCTCCTGCTCAGCCTCCAGTCTGGTCTAAGCAGCCTTTCTTTCATTGTCCCTGAGCCCTGTGCTACCTGTTATCTGCGCTATGTCCAGAGTACTTCCTTGGGCTTGAAAATCTAGTCGCTTTTCTACCCTGACTCAAGTACCTCCATTGATCTCCAGTGCCCAAGGTTTTTTTTTTTTATTTTTTAATTTTATATATTTTTTTACATCATTTTTCATTTTTGTACAACGGATCTAGTCCTTGTGTAATTTCAGTCTCATTCTCTTGCCCCTTCTTGTTTGTGTTCTCCGATCAGTTACACTGCTCTTCTTCCAAAATACTAACAGGTGCCCTTTCATGCTAAAGGAAATCCATACCTGCCTTTCCACATGAAACGCAGGACTTTCAGTCTTTCCGATGTTGCTTAAAATAGCATTTCCCCAGGTAGAACACCTCTTCTTACAGCTCACTGGGGGCCCCTGGTTCAAGTCCTTGCACCTGTTGACTGCTCAGTGTATGTCCTTCTTGCTAAACAGGAATCTCATCTGAGGCTGGGATCTATCCACCTTGATAGTCCCTCACATCCCTCACCACATGCACCTATGAGTTCACTGTATACCTGTTGGATGATTCGTGAGTTTTTGAGTCATCCTCTAGTGGGAAGATAGGATTGATCTTGAAATCAGTTGCACAATAAAATGTGTTTTATCTACCTTCTCACATGACATTAAAAGCATCTCTGTTGCCCATTCCAACCCTACCCTTATGTTAAGAACAAGAAAAATACCATAAAGACATTTCATATGAAAAGTCACCTGAGATAAGATCTTCCTTCAAAAATGGAATGTTATAACCCTGAAAAAATCTTAAATTATAAGACAAATTATCATTAAAGATGACTTCCACTACATTTGGGAAATTGTCTTGAAGCATTTTATCCATATCTTTTTGATTTGGCATTCCAATGATTCTTCTTCCTGTGAATCACAGGTGAAAACACACATAGGAGATGATTAGGGCCTCACCACAACAGAACATCACATCTGGTGGTATTGTCACAGGTTTTTCATTGGAATTAAACTGAAATCATTTCCACATCAGTTACACTTACCCCAAAAGGCAAGGGAGGCACTTTTATTTTAAAGTTTTAGATTCTAGAATCAGGAGACATGTATGAGAATTAAATGATTTCATTTAATCATGAGACAGGTATTAAAACAAGTTTAGGTTCATAAAAATATGATGCCAGGGTCAATCATTATAAGAGAATTAGGGTGGAAAAATAGAGGTTATCGAAGTAATTACTACAGGCAGAAAACTCCAAATTTCAGGTTTAGGCAACTCAGGATCTTTGTCTCATGCAGAAACCAAGATCACAAAGTGACTCCATTTATGACAAAATAGTCTCTATTTTATATATTCTTGAAATATTTCTGTTTCCACTAATTGTGTCTCTTAGAAATCGGGATTACAGAGTAGAAGGTCAGGCTATAGGCCTTTGACCCTTGAGTAATATACACTGTGGCCTTAGAATACAGACCTCAAAAGATGTTACAAATTATACCATATAGAGGACAGAGTATCTTTAGATTATCTGCCCCTACTTTTTCATAGTTCTGAAATTATTGTTCAATAACTGTGGCTTAATTTCTTTTAATTAGATACTTTTTAACTGAGTCATAAATCTTAATCATTGCATTTCCACATTAAAAACACCCACATCCACCAATGACAGACTCTTCGTAGACTCTATTCTACAAGTTTGAAACTGTAACTCTATTGTTTCATAAATTAATTTCCAATAGAAATGTAGGCCTCCATGTTTTGGGCCCACATCAAGCTGAAAGGGTTTAAAAGGGTAATTGTTGGGAGAGAAAGGAAAAACTAACCAAATTTACATGCTATCTTAATACCTAAATAATTAGCATAATGGATCACTGTCACTTCACATTAAACATGTATACATTTTATCATAATGACATAAAGTAATACCTGTAATTATTTTTTGGTCATTATTATTCTTACCTTTCAAAAAGGGAGCAAATGCCGTAATATTCATTATCTGCTGGGTTATATTAGAGATTGGTGTATATATAAGTACAAAAGACTCATTAAATTTATCTACTCTTCCCAGATTCTGAGGAGGTTTTTCAGAAAAAAGGTCATATTCTTTGAAGTATGAAAATAGGCCCATATATAGTGCTAAAAGTATTGGAAACCCCCATTCCTGTAACACAGAAAAAAAGGATAAATTTAGATTATATCCCTAAAAGAACTCAGTTAACATCAAAGTACAGTTGAAGGCAAGTTCCAATTTTGCCACATACTTGGCATCTCCACACTCTCCACTCTTTAGGGTAAAGGGAACCTGATGCAAGGTGCATCTGAGGCATTTGCAGCATAGATCCCAAATCTAGAGGTAACCTTTCCCATTAAATCATGGAGAAGCCAGGCTAGTAATGGATGATGATCTTAATAAATGTGGCATACAGAGTATCACAGTGGAGTCAAAGAGGCAAATAGCAACATTTTTGTCACATCCTTGTATTGAAAATCAAAGTAAATGAAAAGGATTGAATGGTAGAGATAGTCTAGCAGTTCACCAACATTAGTCATCTCTTCTCCTTGACACAATGCTACCCTACATTCTGGAAATTTAGTGAGGTGAAATAATTGAGTTCTCTCTCCCAGTCTCTCTACTCCCTGATCTTACTGGAGAATTCAGTGGAGATCTCCAAGGTTGAGGGAAAACTGAATTCTTAGATGAAGAAACCTGGGTCCCTGAATGACTATATGGTGATGATTCCTTCACCTGCCCAACCCACTTCACTTCCACTGTCAATCTTAAAACATGAAAAGGATGAAAAGCAAACCTTTGCTGTGTAAAAGCCACTGAGATTTGGGGCTACAGATAGCCCCCTACCAAATGCAAACTGACAATCATTTAGGGGACAATCAGTGTCCCCTAATTTTGTTTCCCCAAATTAACACTCTGTGATTTCTGCTAGGCACTATTTTTATTAGTTCTTGATTCTAAAACTACTATGTGGAGTAGTGACTTTAATTTATACAAAATTAAATTTTCACTTATTCTCATTTTTTGATTTTAATATGAGTAATATTTTTAGTCTTCCTCATTCTACATTGCTTTTCAGAGACTGCTGTAAGTCTCAGAATTCAACAAGGATGACTAGAGATAACCACAAAATCAATCAATTCAGCCACTGCTTACAAATATAAAATAAAAACATCACTAGGCAGCAAAACAGAAAGTGCTAACTGTGGTGAGGGGAAACCTTCACACATACCAATGAGCTTTCTTTTTTCATCCTCCATTTCTTCAGAAAATTCTTCCACAGAAGTGCTTGAGTTTGTCTATACACACTTTTCTGTTTCATATGCATTTAGTCTGTTCATTAAACAAACAAGCAGAAAGGAAATATGGTGGAGCTCAAAGAAAAATAAATGTAATGAGAAAAATCTCATTGGGGAAGGAAAAAAACTTGACTTTATTTTTTAAATTAATAGTCCCTATTTTTACAAACTGCAAGAATATTTAAAATGTATTTCAGTAATTCATGATTGTGAAATTTTATACCAGATATGCTCAATATAAAGTCTTTGAAGAATGGGTAATGGTGTGGCGATAGAGTGATTATTTTAACAATTTTATAATAGCATACAATATTACAATAGAAAAGACAGAACTGGATTGGAGAACTTATAAGATCCTTCACATTTGTAACCTTTAATAACAAAAATGCAACTGTATGAGTAGAGTAATTGAAGTATAACTCATCTGACCCGTAATTTCTTAGTGTTTAAATAGAAATCCTGGTTATCAAATTAACATCAAAACTCTGATTAATTAAACTCATCTAAATAATTGATTATACCCATCAGCTGTAATGCTAATGAGATTTCTTCTCATAGTGTTTAGCTTCTAGAGTGAATTGAACAAATCTTATCAAAAGTGGCTCTGAGATAATAGTCCAGGTTCAACCTACTTGAAACCTGATTCTGAGATATAGGAAGAATAAAATAACTTATCTCAAATTTCTGAATTCAGAAGTCCCTGAATAACTGAGGAAACAAATCACAAAGTTAATGGAGAGGAGAGGAGAGAGAAGAGAGGAGAGGAGAGAAAAATCACATGGCAAAGTAATTTTGCCCAACTGTTTGCACATAAACCAACAGAGAAATTTTTTTCAATGTGTATAACTTTAAAACTAAAATATTTTAGATTTACATATCAAAATAGTCAAACAATTTTCCCCTAGCTAGTGCAGAAGTAAATTTTACTGTTATCCTATTGTTGGGAAAACATTAAAATTTGGTTGGGAAAAACAGAAAAATATTGTCAATAGGTCTTCAGTAGAAAACACACAAGTATTTGGAAACATCTGAAAAAGAGATTGATTTTACAGTGTCCACCCACATGTTTGACAAGCACAACAACACTGAACTTTACTTACTGTCAGGAAAATGAGAAAAAGCGCTCTGGAAACACTGGCAAAGCAGATCTCTTTTTGTGTAAGGCAACAATTACAATTTTCTACTGCCACTTCTTCCTTTATTACTTTGATGGTTGTCTGCTCCCAACAAATCTTACTGGTTTCTGAAAAGGGGTGTAGTCAGACCAAGCTGTACATGATGAACTTGTTGGATTTGGGTTTTTTTTTCTGTCATTTCTTTGCTAAGCCAATTATTCTGGAGGGATATAACTGTTCTGTGGTTGGTTGGGAATAAAACAAACCCTGTGTTTGTGCACTTGGCCTTTCAACCTCCCGGCTAAGGGAGAAAATGGTAAACAAAGAAAATGGAACTAGCCCGTCAAACATGATGAGCCCAGGATGGGGAAATAGCAATAAATGAGTGAAAACAATAACTGACTAAGCAAAGTGGTGAAATTGGTATGAGAAATCTATAGCTATTTTTTTTCACTACTAGTGTCTAAACATAATCACCAATGATATATTTGGTTAATTACACAAAATGAGCAAAATGTGCTGAAGATGAATTTTTTTTTTACCTATTAAAACCAGCCCATCCATAGTCTACTGCAGAGAAACCTCTATGTTGGACAAATGAAGAGTTGTGAGCAAGTTTCTTTCTTCTGCAATGTCCATTGTCGAAGCAGAGCTTCACAAAGAATAAAAACAAAATAAAAGTAAATGGATTGCTAAGCGCACAAAAAGAAAAAAAAAAAGAAAGATTCCTTTCAATTGTTGTGCATAAAGGGGAGGAAAAATCTGAAATGGACTCAATTCCCACTGCATAGTCTATCTCTCCCTGTAAAGAATTGCAAACTTTTCTTGACCTGCCAAAGTAAATGGCAAAACAGGAAACCAAAGTCCACGAATTGGGAAATCTCAAATATTTGACATGGCTCCCAATCCACAGATGTTAATAATCATAAAGCTAGAGATATTCTGGGGGAAGAGGGAGATCATTGGAAGCATTTAAAGCCTTCATAGTATATATGTAAATATCTTTCCTGGTAATGAGCTCTCCTGCTAAAAAAAAAAAGTCAACAGTGAAATGACATCTACATCAAAAACGAACAAAAACAAAGATAATAAAAATATTCTAAAGGTCTCAGGATGGGGGGGTCAAAAACACTTAAAATTTCGTGTCAATCTCAGGTCAACAATAAGTCAAAGTTTCTTTTAAATCACCTAAAATACAGTTCAGGTTTTCAGAAACCTGTAGCTATTTTTTTTTCTCACTACTAGTGTCTAAACATAATCACCAGTGATATATTTGATTAATTACATGATTTATTTTTATTTGGGGAATCATTTTCTATATTTAAATCTGAGGATTTGGTGACCTATAATGATGAGGAAGTACCCAATATTCAGCTAGAAGTACATTTGAAATGGTGGGTAAAACATACGCAAAAGGAGAAGTCCAGATACACAATCAAACTTAACAGGGAAGGAGAAAAAGATAAAGAAACTCAGACTCAATGGAAAAAGCAAGGAAAAAGAAAACTACATCCCAGGTGTTAAAAATGTAAAGGGAAATTAAAACCAGAACTGGAAGTGGTATGTCTGAAATCCAGCTGGTCAAAGTGGTGCTGTCATACCTTTGTAACCTAGACATGACCTTGAAAGATTATGAACCTAGGTTTCATATCTCTGCCTGAATCTAGAACCACTTACTACCCAAAGGATGAGTAAAGATGTGTATTCTTTGACCAGTCTTTGGGTTAAAAATATCTGTCCTTCATTAAAAATGAAAAACTCAGTGCCAATAGCACAAGCCAGGCACAGGACACAGTAGAGGGATCTCAATTTATTCTCCCAGCATAGTACGTGTCTAGGAATAATATTAGAGCAGTTCGTGCATATACTGTGGAGCCAAATTCACATTAGTTACATGACCTTGCACAACTGATTTAACTTTTAGCCCTTCAGTTTTTTCATCCCTAAAAATGGAGATAATAAAAGTAGCCATAAATATAGATCTGCACAAACAGCAGGTCCTCAAATAACATCATTTTGTTCAATGTCATTTCATGATAACACTGATGAGCTGGTGTGGACTTTGCATGTTCTCCTATGTCTGAGTGGGTGCTCTGGTTTCGGGTGCTCTGGTTTTGGGAGCTCCCACATCCCAAAAGGTGTGCATGTGAGGTTTACTAAATGTCGCAATTGTCCCAGTCAAGGTAAGTGTGTGTGGGTGTGTGTGAGTGTGCCCTGCCACAGGAGGGCATCCTATGCACATCAGTTCCCACCTTGTGCCCTGAACTGCTGCAAGAGGGCCCTGCCATCTGTGATGCCGAACAGAGACTCTAAGAGGGTTGGAAAATGAATGAATACAAATTACTGTTTTGTATTAGAAGTGTTTTGTGTCTTTGGAAGTTTGGTGGTGTCTTTGGAAGTTTGGTGATGTTTTTGTCAGCAGAAATCTGCCATAACTTAATCCTTGTTTCTATCAATCAGCCTATGGTAAAATTGGTTTTGTTATATGCCATTTCATTTAAAGTAAGAATTTCCTACAACCTATCGATGGTGTTTAATGAGAATTTACTGTATAGGCATGTATATTTACACACACATATGATTTGTGGAGATTAAATTCATTAATTCAATTGTTTATTATAAAATACTTGTTTACAACAATGCCTGAAAAATTGTAAAAGTTTAACAAGTGTTACTTTTTGCTGACAATCCCAGTGCTGTTCTCCTTCTTGTTTCTAATGCTATTATCCTGCAGCCCCACAGAGAAGACACAAATAATCCTATAGAGATACATCCAGAATTTAGGCTATAAAGCAACAGAATTAAAATGAAATATTCCTCCTAGCAGCTTAGCTCATAAAAAAAGTCCACCATGAAAAAAGAATCAGCAGAACAAAACAGTGGGATTCCTAGTAAGAAGTCAAGAACTGAAGATAACAAAATTATGACAGTCTATTAAAAACAGTTCCAAAGTGTCAAAAGAAGTAACACAAGCTTGTTAAAATAGGACACAAAAGGAAAACTAATAGGAAAATAACCCATCTGACTTTATAGACTTTATAAATGATAACAGTTAAAATTTAAAATTTAATAGGTAAGTTTTAAGCAGATTAGACACAGCTGAAGAGAAAATTAATAAGCCAAAAATGTATCTGAAGAAATTATGTAAAATTTAGTGCAAAAACAGAATATGGAAGACAGGTTAAAGGACATGAAGACAGATTGAGGGAGTCTAGCACATGTCTAATAGGCATTTTGTAGTAAGGAAAATTTGTAAATAATAAGAAGAAAGTTTGAAAAATGAGAATTTTTCAGAATTAAAGACATGAGCCCATAAATTAGAAAAATATGCCCTTTGCAGAAAACAAACAAAAATCCAACAAATATTTTGCAGTTTGATTTCAAAGTATGAGAAAATGTGAATGAGGAGAATAGAGAGAACAATATATTTTTTAAAAAGTAAAACAGAAAAGACAAATTATAAAGTAAGATTCAAAAGTTAGCTAAAAGATGTCCTAAAACAGAAGAATAATGTCTTCAAAGTGCTAAGACAAAAAGGACTGTCAACCTCAAATTCTATCCCCAGGTAAACGTGCATGCAATAAAGATATCCTCTCTGAGGATATCTTTACATTTTACTTAGCTTGGCTGAAAGAATATTAAGGATGTACTTGTGTCAGATAAAGCATAAGTAAAAAAATAATAAACCCTTGAAATTTGACTGGAATGGGGCAACCAGAGGGGGACAGGGAGAGAGAAAGGTGGGGCGAGAATAAAGCAGGGAGGGAGCACAGTGTCTTGGCAGTCGACTGTGGGTTCTTTGGTAGCGAGAGGATTATGGCAATGATGCTTGAAGGTGGGATGGTGCACTTCTATTATGGAAGCATCAATGTAAACAAATTCAATAAAACATTTTAAAATAAATGAAATATTTCTTCGAAATAAGGCAATAACACAAAAAATAATTTTTGAAAAGAAAATTGAACAGATAGAGTTGAGTATCCTGGGTGTTTGCCAAATGAGTTTCAAAGCCAAATAATTATTGATTGTCAGTAATTTTGTGGGACAAAAGACAGAACTTCCCATCAACTCACACATTTCTTCAGTTTCTGCTTCTGATGAACTCTTAGAGGTTTCTGTGGTTTTGTAGACTTTTAATTGCTAGGTAAGAACAGAGACAGGTTGACAGGGAATTACCTGCATACTAAGTCATTGCTTTCCTCAGAGTTTGTTGTGGGAGCTCAAGATTACCTGGATTAGGGTGCTTTTTATCTATATGTCATGAGAATCCCTCCCATTTCACTTAAAAAACAGCCCTTATGGTGATAATCCTAAAGATAACACAGGTGGGCACTGGAAGGAGTGTGATTTTGAATAGAGGAGAGATGGTAATGGCCCCAGGTGCACAGGTGGGGGCTGGTGGCCTTCTGGAGGAATGTTGTTCATTCACAAGAGTAAGGAGAAAGTCAGAAGGGTGGGTACAACACCTGGAGGATTCCTGAGGCTGTAAAAACCCGTGAAGACATTCTCTTCTACATGGTTGCATTCTGCTGACAGTGAAAAAGGAGAAAAGTTATATTCTGAGAAAACAGAAGATGGAACTAAGTCATTTGATTAGTTATCCAGAGTGAATCGATGAAAGGAAGGTATCCTGTGACCATCTCAGGATACATTGTTTCATTGTTGATTTGGGCAAATGGGAAAAGATCTCTGCAATCTCCATCAAGATCTCTCTTGTGAGCTCCCTCTTCTCAGCCTGGGTGTCCATAATTACAGGCATGTGTGTCCCATGTTCATGCTCCCAAGTGCTTTTTGCAATAACATGTTATCACATATGGGTAATGAAACTTGGGAGGAAAACAAAGCAGCAGGTGGTGGTCCCAGAGGCTAGAGGCAGAAGGCGAAAAAGAGGCTAAATTACTCCACTTTCCTTACAGAATATCAGACAGAACCAAGGCTCCACTTGAAGGCTGTGGCCATTCCTTTAAAGTGAGGCTAGTTCATGTGCATTTTCCACCAATGTTTGTCTTCCGAATACAAACGTTACCAAGATTTGGGTTTGCAGGCAATTGGGTTGAAGGGTGAGAGGGTCAAGCACTGGTGGTGTATATGAGGGAATGGCTTTTGGCTGAGGTCAGCCTACCCCTTGAAAGGTTGAGGACTCCTAAGTGGAGCTGGAGATGCCTCTGCTTTCTTGCCAACTTGATTTTTGTCCAGGGGCTGCTACCCTATGCTTTCATGGTAGAGAGTTTGCTCCTTGTGTCCAGACAGGTAGTGAACATGGGAATGCCAGGCTACTTAAGGCTCTATCAAAGTTTTATTGAAGTAAAACAAAATATGTCATCAAGACTCATTTTTCTAAGTAAAGAAACATTTTGAGTAAACTAGAACTTGGAAATTTGTGTGTTGTAGCTAACCGCAAGTTTTCTGGAATTGCAGCTGCAGCAGTCATGCTAGCCATCCATTTCTTCTCTGTGTGCATGTTTTCTTCTCACACATTTCTACAGTTTTATCTGCTTTTTCAAGAACATACACAGATATCCATTTGTGACCAGAAAGACTGATTAAATGTCAGGATTATATCAGCATTACCCTACAGCAAAATCTCAGCACTGAGAGTGTGTGGGCCTCCCTGGAGCCACGCCAGCTGCCAGCCTCTCAGCTCTGAT